AATATACTCTTTCTTTAGATTTTTATAATAGACGTACTTTACTAACATAGCTACTACACTATTAGGCCGTTACTCTTTACTAAGAAGGAATACTTATAGTCGTTATCCTTATACTTTAGTAAGGTACCTTATAGGTCTTATAAAGCTATTTAGTTTAAGTATTACTTATAAGCTACTAAACGCTTTGTTAGTACTATGTTATTATTAATAGTTTAATAGAGGTACGTTAGAAGTTTGTTAAAAGAGTTGTAAGAAAGAGGGGACGTAGCGGCGTTATATTTGTATAAGGTAAAAAGAAGAAAAAGAGGTAATAAACTAGTAAAAACAAGTCTCTATATACCTCTTAGTACTATAAAAGACAGACTAAGTAAAGGAGGACAAAAGAGGTGTTTTTTTATATTTACTTAAAAAATACGATTACAAGTAATATAGTTTAATCTTTATAGCTACTTACTGTTAGTATACTATCGACCTTTTAGTAAGAGGTAATAAAGGATTTCTAAAAGTAGTAAAAAGGTAAGGAATACTAGCGCGCCTAGGTAATACGGTTTACATTACGTATTAGGGGTCTTACGACTATCCGGTAACTTACTAGTACTTTACTATAATATGTCTTTACTAAAAGTAAATATAAGAGGCGTACTAGGTAGAGATCTAAAAGTATAATATATAACAGAAATCTTACGGTTTAGCTACGTACCTTTACTATACTATAAAGTCGCTACTATTCTCCTTTTCTTAATACTACTAGTTATATAGTTATATAGTTATATATTTACTTACTAATTTATTCTTATACATTTATTCCTGTTTCTAAGAAGGCATTAGCCTACCCTAGCCTCTCTACGATCTAACGGCTACCTATAAGCTTTTAAGGATAGAAGCTAAAAAGGAAGGATACTATATTAGGTACGCTAATACGTAAGACTATAATAGCTTAGAAATCAAGTACGGGGTAACTACGTACTACGACTAAGGTAATAGTAGGCATTAAAGAGTATAAGAATAGAGGAGAGAGAGGGGAAAGAAAGGGGGTTTAGAGATTAGTCTATAGTTAAAGTAGCGATATACCTTTAAATATACTACAACTGTCTATTAACTCTTGCCTCTTCTACTCTATAGAAATACACTTAATACTAGTGTATTACTTAGGTTTGTCAACTATTAGTATTATACCCGGGATAAGGTCGATAGTATGTTTAATTAAGTTAGTAGCTTTTACATCTTGTATCTGTGTTACAAAGTAATCCTTTTATATATACAGTAATCTCTTAGTCTTCGCTATTTTGTCCTCTATGTCTATAACATTACTAATATTAATTCTAATCCTATTAAACCATTCGTTAATATACTGTTATAAGGCATCTAACATTAATCTAGGCATAGGCCGTCTATTAACTAGAAAGCCGGTTACAACTCTCTATAAGATAGGCCGATTTACTAAGGGCAGGTAGCTATATAAAGATAGTCGTAATAAAAATAGCGCGTTTAGATCTTAATTCTCTAGAGCTTATCTAATAGATAATAATATATATATAATAATGTTAATATAGTTAGGATTTAAACAGACAGATATAAGGTTAATATAAGTAGACGTGTTGCTATACTAGTAAGGAGTCTACTTCCCTACTAATACATGCCTTTTCCCGCCTAATATACTACTTAGTTAAACGTCTTAACCTCTTATAGTAGCTAATTTATGTCCTCCTTAGTATCTTTATTAGAGCTAGTATTATTATCGTCCTTAGTGTCGTTAGAGTCCTTAACTAGGGAAGTATTGCCTGTCGCCTTTAACTTATACTAATTAATAGTAATATAAGGAGTTAAGGCTACTAAAGCTAGTATATCTACAACTAGTCCGCTTCTTTCTTATATACGTAGAGTTCCCTTTCTATAGTCCTTAACGGCTTTAACTAGAGCTATCTAGTGTCTAGATAGTAAGATGTTATAAGAGTCATTAATACTTATAACGAAAGTGTAGAGAAACGTTCTAATGCCTTCTACTATTACCTCTAGATTTACATATTTAGTAATAGCGATTTTCTAACTATCTACGACTGTTACATACTATCCTGTATCTAATTAATAGACCTTTAAGCCTAGCTACTATACTACTTAGGGAGGGATTAGCTCTACTACTACTCTCTTATTAACTAGAGCCTATACAAACTTCTAGCTATCTATATAAGTATTTATATAGAGGCACTACGTTTCTAGTATATCGACTAGTCTATTGTCTATAACCCGGGGTAGAGGTCTGTTTACGACTACTATAGCATTAAGATTCTTACGCTAACTACGTCTACTTAGTACTTTAGCTTAAAGGTATCGCGCTAGTTAGGCTCGAATCTATAGCGATTAGTCGAGTAGCTAGCCGAATTTAAGAGTAATATTAGTATTATAGAGAAATTCTCTAATATTAAATCTCGTAAGTACTACCTTATCTAATAACTTAATTAGGATAGATTCTTTTAGGCCCGGCTTAGTATAGTTAGGTTATAGAGACAAAAGAGGCGGTATAGCTAGTAGTCGAGGAGTATACTAATACCCTTATAGCTAGTGATCTAGTATAGTTTACGACTCCTTAGTATCGACATCTCTTAGGTCTTTGACTCTTAATGTTAGATCAATCTCTTAGGATACGTATAGCTAGACATACAGGCGCTCTCTAGTCTATAAGGGACCTGCTATAGTTAGCGTTTATAACGTTAGTAAAGGAGTCTGCCTATCTTCTTGTCCCTTACTCTTATTCCCGCCTAGTTAAGCATATAGTTAAGGTCGATTAGAAGCTCGCTAGTCATTTATAGCACGTATTACTAGTATAGCAGGCATCGATAGTATACCTAGAAGTAGCGCTTATACAGCTTTTAGTACTACATTAGTACTGTAGCTGTATATTAGTCGCTTATAGTAAAGTATTATAGCTATAGTAGGGAATTCCTTTAATAACCTTTTAGCTACTAGCTTTAATGATTCTAATACTAAGGGTTAAGCAGGCTATACAGGCTGTTAAGCCGGGTAGTTAAATTAATAAGATGTCTAATTCTGCGCGACCTTTAGTAGTTCTCTTACAACTATATATACAGCTGTCTACTGTCCTATAGGTAGTGCTATGTATCCTGTTCTATAAGTTCTTGTTACATTAACCTTCTGCCTGTTCTCGTAATACTAGGATTTAGTTACCCTAGTCTATAGGCACGTTAATACTATGTGACCTTAACCTAAACAATTATAATAAGTACCTGTATAAAAGGTTAATCTCTACTACTAGAATAGTATAGTTAATAGAAAAGGATTTAGTAGACGATATAAGGGTAGTAAGGCCGTAGTCTTTAATAGTTTAGGCTTTTCTAGACTCTTCTTTAATAATTAATATAGCTTAAAGTTAATTTGATTCTATAAGACTATAGTTTCCTTAAGTAGTTCTTCTTTATTAATTTTAAGGGGATTCGGCTTCTTAATTAGCCTAGTAGTAGTAATAAACGCAGAACGCACATCCTTAAATTTAGTATCCTTAACTAGCTACCTATCCTCGTCGATCTTCTTTGCCTAGAAAAGATAGCTCTATATATAGTACTAAAGTTCTACGTTCTTTAGCCTACCTAATGTTCGCCTAGCGACTTCTAATACTAATAATATAGGGCATTTTTTACTTAGCTTTTTGATTCTTTATAAATACTGTACTTTAGTCTCCTTATCGTCTTATTTAAGGTTATAGATCTGTTACTATAATAGGAATTATTAGTTAAAATCTGCCTCTTTATCTACTATAAACTTTGTCTTAAATTCCTTCTTTAAAGCTTTCTAGTCTACTCTTATAGTCTTTAGTTAGCCCTTGTACTATACTACTGCCCGACTAGTTAGTCTATATCTAAAGACTACTTTTATCCTTCTAGTCCTTTCCTCTCCCTTATATAGATCTGTATAGTACTTAATCGCCTTAATGTATTCGCCTATATCTTTTCCCTTTGTTCCTCTAAAGGTTAGTTAAGAGATCGACATTATAATAGTTTAATACTTAGCCGGTACTATAATAGGGGTTACTAATAGTAAAGTAGTTAATATCCTTATTAATAGCTTTACTACTTCTATAACTAAATAGTCGATCTCTATCTCTATTAGTCTTAATCGGCTTGATTCCGATACTTTTACGATACTTGTTAATAATCCCTTTTCCTTTAGAGAAGGAGATCTTAGAAAATTTAAAGTAGGTTTAAACGGATTAGACATTAATAACACTTAAAAGGTAAAAGAAAAAAGAGACTAAATAATAAGAGAACTATAATAGGTAATCCGCGATCACTAATATATAGGAAAGTACGACTGTACTACTAGTCGATCCTTAAAAATCACCTTAATTCTCGACACTAGTTCTTTATAAACTAAACCCTTCTTCCTATACTTAAATACACTAATAGAACTGACTTTAATAAGATAAACCGATTTTCACTAATCTTCCCTAGGTCGCTATGTAATAGAGTGGTAGGAGTTGTCTTATTAGTAGGTTGTATTTCTAAGAATAAAAGTGCCACTACTATAGGGATATATAGCTAAGCGAACCCCATCAAATAGTAGTAATATCATGTGACCAGTTCCTATCGCTACAGTACCTAGGTAGGCTAAGATTTCGGGCGGCGAGGCTGTCATGCAGCCTTGTGGTCTCCAGGATAATCCAGCTGATCGACAAGCAACCAGACTCTCCCACAATATAGGATTTTAATGTAAAGAGATATCATTGGAGGTGTTAAACCTCGGAGCGTTCATCTAATATTGACTTTCTTGTCAGTTGTAGCCATGTATATTCACTCACGATATGGCCTTACAAGGGCCGCGGCATACCACGCTAAAGACACTTCAGTCTAACCGAAGACGGTAGTAGCGTGAGATCAATCTAAGTGCCTCGCGAGATTTCAGACCATCGCGCGCGTCTCCTCCAGCTACTTTCACCTCTCCTCAACCTCTTTTCATATCTCTGCCATCATCGCAACCCCTCAAGAGACATGGCAGAGATCAAAATTGACAAGAACCTCTTCCAAGAGCGGCTGTCACACTTCTATTCAGCATGGAAAGCCGACAAACGCAGCGGAGACGCGCTCTTTGGCGGCGCCTCTTCGATCTTGGTGTTGATGGGCAAGACCGAGGAATCTGCACAGTTCCAGAAGAATAACGCTCTTCACGTATGTGTTCTATGTCTTGGAATGCCCAGAGGGATATGTTCTGACAGTATTAACAGTTCTGGCTACTTGGCTATGAATTTCCCGCAACCCTGTTTCTGTTCACCTTGGATGCCTTGTACGTCGTCACGACAGCGAAGAAAGGTATATTCAAAGCCACAGACAATCAAATTATCAATGGCGCAAACTGACTTCGTGTAGCAAAGCATCTGGAACCATTGAAAGGCGGCAAGATCGCTCTCGAGATCCTTGTGCGGGGCAAAGACCCAGAGCAGAACGCGGAGCTTTTTAAAAAGGTCACGAAATCCATTACATCTGCGGGCGTGAGTCATCCTCTACCTTCGTAGGTTCTGTATACAAGGGCTAACAAAATCGGGGTTGGCAGAAGAAAGTTGGCGTTCTACCAAAGGACACCTCGAACGGACCTTTTATTGACGAATGGAAGAAGATCTATTCCGAGATCTCGGATAAGGTGGAGGAGGTAGATATTGCGCCGGCTCTCTCAGGTGCTGCGTTGGCTGTGAAGGATGAGAACGAACTGGTATGTAACAGAGCAGCTCTCGGGATGGAAAATGCTGACTTTACCAGCGCGCAATGCGAAATGCCTCCAAGGCCTGCATCGCCCTTATGAACCCATACTTTGTTGAAGAAATGTCAAACATACTGGACGAAGAGAAGAAAGTCAAGCACAGTGCTTTGGCCAACAAAGTTGATAGCAAGCTGGATGAGACGAAATTCTGGACCACGGTCGAGCTCCCGAGCAAACAGAAGATGCCTTCGGATTTCGACCCCACACAATTGGATTGGACCCATGGCCCCATCATACAAAGTGGTGGCAAATTCGATCTGAAGATGAATGCCCAGGTTGATGATGAGATACTGCACCCCGGTGTGATACTTGCCTCAATGGGTCTCCGATACAAATCGTACTGTTCTATGATTGCTCGGACCTATTTGGTTGATCCGAACAAATCACAAGAGAGCAACTATAAGCTTCTCTTGCAGGTCCACAATCTTGTCATGAAGGAGATTCGGGACGGTACACAAGTGAAGGACATTTATGGCAAAGCTCTGGCCCTGGTTCGCAGCAGGAAGCCGGAACTTGAAAAACATTTTCTGAAGAACGTTGGTGCTGGTATCGGCATCGAGACACGGGACAGCACCTTGATATTAAATGGCAAGAGCACACGAATCCTGAAAGATGGAATGACGCTATGTGTTACCACGGGATTCAGCGACATCGAAAACCCGAACCCCCAGGACAAGAAGAGCAAAGTTTATTCTATGGTACTTTCGGATACCGTCCGTGTGACGTCTTCGGAACCGGTGGTCTTCACGGGTGATGCTCCTTCAGATTTGGATGCAACCTCATTCTTTTTCAAGGATGATGAGGAGCCTGACCCAACACCCAAGAAGGCAAAGAGAGACTCTACTGTAGGCGCCGTGGCGACCAAGAACATTACCAAGACAAAATTGCGTGCCGAGCGAACCACGCAAATTGACGAAGGAGCCGAGGCCCGACGCCGGGAGCATCAGAAGGAACTTGCAAGGAAGAAGCAAGAGGAGGGTCTTGCTCGCTTTGCAGAAGCTACCGGCGATCAAAATGGTGCGGCAGTGAAGAAGTTCAAGCGCTTCGAGTCATATAAGCGGGATAATCAGTTCCCCTCAAAGGTTAGGGATCTTGCAATTGTCATGGATCAGAAGAACTCGACAATCGTACTGCCGATCATGGGTCGTCCAGTACCCTTCCATATCCAAACGATCAAGAACGCAAGCAAGAGTGACGAGGGTGATTATGCCTACCTACGAATCAACTTCTTATCCCCAGGTCAAGGTGTTGGTAGAAAGGATGAGCAACCTTTCGAAGATGCTTCGGCCCATTTTGTACGAAGTTTAACCTTCCGTTCCCAAGACGGAGACCGCCTCCAGGATATTGCAACCCAGATCGGCAACATGAAGAAAGATGCTGTGAAGCGGGAGCAAGAAAAGAAGGAGATGGAAGACGTCGTTGAACAAGATAAGTTGATCGAAATTCGAAGTACGTTCCCCCAACTGCCCCCTCTTTGCAGATTCCTAATCATTTCCAGATCGTCGCCCTGCTGTTATGGACAATGTCTTCATTCGTCCTGCTATGGATGGCAAGCGTGTGCCTGGAAAGGTTGAAATTCATCAAAACGGTCTCCGATATCAATCTCCCCTGAATCCCCTTCATCGAGTGGACATTCTGTTCAGCAACGTCAAGCACTTGTTCTTCCAACCTTGCCAGCATGAGTTGATCGTTATCATCCATGTTCATCTCAAGGACCCTATTCTCATCGGAAAGAAGAAGACCAAGGACGTACAGTTCTATCGAGAAGCTACCGACATCCAGTTCGACGAGACCGGAAACAGAAAGCGAAAGTTCCGATATGGTGATGAAGAAGAATTTGAACAAGAACAAGAGGAACGAAGACGTCGTGCAGACCTCGATCGCCAATTCAAGGCGTTCGCCGAGAAGATTTCAGAGGCTGGCAAGAACGAGAATGTTGATGTCGATGTTCCCTTCCGTGAGCTTGGCTTCAACGGTGTACCTTTCCGATCCAATGTCTTCTGCCAACCTTCCACGGATTGCTTGGTTCAACTAACCGAGCCACCCTTCATGGTCATCACTCTCGATGATATTGAAATCGCACACCTTGAACGTGTACAATTCGGTCTGAAGAATTTCGATTTAGTCTTCGTTTTCAAGGATTTCCATCGACCTCCATACCATATCAATACGATCCCTGTCGAATCTCTCGAGAATGTCAAAGAATGGCTCGACTCGGTCAATATTCCTTTCAGTGAGGGTCCACTCAACTTGAACTGGCCCACTATCATGAAGACCGTCACTGCGGACACTCATCAGTTCTTTGCTGATGGCGGTTGGTCTTTCTTGGCCACGGAGACAGATGACGAAGACGAGGACCAGGAGTCTGAAGAATCCGCCTTCGAAATGTCAGATAGTGAACTCGCAGCTTCAGACGAGTCGAGTGAGGATGACAGTGATTTTGATAGCAATGCTAGTGCAGAGGCTAGTGAGGATGGCAGTGACGAAGAGGATGCGAGTGAGGGAGAGGACTGGGATGAGCTGGAGAAGAAAGCGAAGCGGAAGGACAGGGAGAGTGGACTGGAAGATGAAGATGGTCCGAAGAAACGACGAAAGCACTAAGTGACTTATAATACAATACAGCTGGTACTTGCTCGTTATCTTAGGATCATGGGGGGAAATTGCCACACGCGGGTAGGCTTGCTAATAAATCAGTCTTCGACTCGCGGTTACGCAGCTCTTTCGTTGGGGTCCTGGCGTTAGGTTTAGCGAAAACAGAATTGCTGGTCCTACAGTGCGCTCTTCTTTTGAAGTGGGCGATCGATCTCCTGCTTTATGGAAGGCATAGCATTGCAGTACGATAGTTAACGGGAATAAAAAATACAAATGTCTATTCATGCATCACAGCCTTTTATCTATCTCTTCTTCTTGGCCTTGACAATTTTTGACGTAGGTACCTCTCTCATTTCGTTATATACTAGAAATCAAACCCATGCATGCCCTTGGAAACTTTCATGCGTGCATATCTGACCTCGAAGCACACGTAACCAGCCGGGCTAAAAAAACAAAAAGAAGACGCCGGACCGCCTATTTCCCAACATAAAGAAAAGAAATTTATAAAGCACGCAAGAGGGAAAGGAAAACGTTACTGTACATTCGACATCCCCAACCCACCCCTATTTCTTTTCCCCCCCCGGTACGTCCACTTCTATACCCCACCTAGGTCTATAATCACTGTAGTCCCTCCCCGACCAATACACCATCGCGTCCAGTCGTCATTCCAGTGGTAGGTCCCACATTGTTCCAACTCAAGTAATTGTGGTCGCCTAATTTCCTGGGCCTGATGAGATGGGTGACGGTGAAGAGGGTTCCAAGCACGACGCAGATTGCTGCTACGACTACGTAGGCGATTCCGAGGAAAGGATTCTTGCCGCCCACAACAGTGCGGGTGCTAATAATGATGGATTTTGTGCCGCCATATTCGGTGACATTGAAATCTGTTTTGTGTTAGGTATCGTGAAGGAATGGCTGACTGCCTGGGCGAGGAAAGGGGAAAGGGACGTACGGTGATTAATATCAACACTGTAAGTGCCTGCCTGCATAACCGCAGTATCGTTTCTCTGTGCCAGTTTACTGAAAGTGGGTAAACCAGCCAACCGCATCCAGACCTGGAATTGCTCGTCATTGACCAGGTCAGGATGATAATCATCGCTATAGTTATTCGGATATCTCAAGACCCAGTTCGGAGGCACAGCGACATCTGCCCAGTTGTACGCTGATTGACCGTACAGTGCTTTGTCACTCTCCCATGCGATCCCAGAGCTGTTCCTCATGTAGTAGGTTTGGTTGTCAACTTGTTGGCCTGGCACGTTCAAAAGGACAGGGGAAGAGAAAGTGTCGTTGAAGACAGAGTTAGCCGCCACACCGCAGGGGTAGTAGGGCTTGCTGACGTTGCCGACTTGGGTAGTAGTAAGGGGTGTGCAGTCACTGCTGTGGATTGTGCTCGCCGAGACAGCTTTCCCTGACAACTGATCGACGTCGAAAGACTTGGCGTATCTGCGGTGGTTCTGGTAAAAGTGTGTCAGGCGATAGTAGAACAGAACTGGCGGATTCAATGCATTTGGAATGGTAAAGGTAAGGGTGCATTGGGTCGTGGGCACGACCGCGTGGATGACGGAGCCGTTGCCATAGGTGGCATTGATGGGTCTTTTGGTCCATGTTGCAGCACTTGGTCTATCTGTATTGCTTGAGTTCGTCTTAAAGTGCATCGTAACGAGATCCGAGGGCATCGGCGCCGTCTCTGGGTAGTCAGGCGCATCGAGATGACATCTTGAGTAATCCAGTATGATCTCCTGCACCTGTTTCGTGTCGTCGTCAGCACCGAACCAAAGAGCACTCCCCAGCCATCTAGACCTGTTGAGCCACTGACCTGAGAACTGGCGTATAACAACAAACCCCCGAGTGGTGCGAATATGATGGCGATCGCGAAGAATAATGGAAGGACGGTCTTGGGCGTCAGAATCGGTCTGTGGTGCTCTTGTCAGCTCGGGTTGCGCGGGGGTGTCGGATATCGCCCAACTTACTGCCATGCTTTCAGTCGCTGTTGACGGAAAGCAGTATCTGGTAGAAGAGTCCAAAAGTCAGCCTCGTTGCCCTCACTTTCTCTCCTGCTCATCGTCCGGGGGCTCTCTCACTTGCTGGTCTTCTGCTCTTTTCCTTCTTCGGCTGCTGATTGCGGGGATCCTGCGACGAGATGGAGTCTTCATGTTCAATGGGCAATGCTGTGTCTGCCATCGTGAAGATGCTTTCGAGGTCATGGACCGGCTCTATCCGGACGGTTTTCTGACTCGCTGCTGGTGTTGTTCAATGAGTTAAAGTTGTCGTCGTTGCGATCATGCCGCACTGCCATTTTAGCGCGAAACTCGGTCAGCCAAGCCACAGGATAAAAATAGGCCCGTGAAAGCCTCAACGCCTCAAAGTCTCAAAGTTTCAAAGCCTCAAAGCCTCAAAAGACCCTTCCTTCTATTGGCGGTGTTGAATTATCAAAAGTTTCACATTCCTCTACAAGTATCCCTATGTCCGGCAAGTCGTGAGCAATGGCCTTATCTAACCAAGTTGGCCCGCAAGATATTCATGCCCATGTGCGTGTGATCTCATGTACATCTTGTGCAAAGCAGAGCAACTCCCTCCATTTTCCTAGACACCTTGCTGAATATCATAAGCTCCACGCAATGCTACGCCCGTAGTCATGCCTGTCTGAATGCGCCAATAACAATAACGTTAAGCAATTTTCACACTCTTCACTCGTCTCTAAAGATATAGGCACCGCCAGGTCTCATCGCTTCCTCGTACCTCTGAGCAACTAGATCCCGCTCCAGTTGCTTACTCTTCTCACGATCCTCTATCTCTTCCTGCGTGGTGGGGAATTCCACTCTCCAAAATCCTGGTGGGCTCCGTCTCCTTTCATACGCATGTCTATGTCTGCCATGCTTATTCGCGAGCTCCCTGGTTCTCGCTTGCAGCAGAGTCTCATCTCTTTCAGCTTTCGTCATGTTGCGGAGCTTGTATGCATTGTCGCCCATGAACTCTTCGAGCAGGCGAGCGTCATCCTCTTCCTGCGAAGCAGTCAGAGGTTTATTAGGATCCCGTGCCGCTGCGGCCAGGGCACGAAACTTGTTACCACAGCATTCCGGCTTCGTGCAGCCCTGTAAACATCGACGCGCATCTTGATTGCGAACAACATCTGCGAAGGCGTAGTTATAACCGTGATTATAATTTGGGTTGATCTTGAAATCCTGAAGGCTTAACTTTTCCAATGGCCGAGCCCGAAGTGGTTCATTCTCGGAGTAGTCAGCCAAATCCAAATTATGTTGTTCTCCTCTTGCGCGAGATGACCTCTCTTTCGTTGTTGAGGGTTTTGAGGGAATTGCTGATTGGTCATTTGGGGTTTCCAATGACCGTAGTGATCTGGGTACGTCGGTGGCTCCCACTGAGCTCCTCGTGGGCGGTCTTGACAGTTCGGCAGATACTCTTGATAGACCCTTAAACAGAATTGCTTTTGAACGGCCTTCGTAATGATTCGAAATATCTTCTCTAGATTGTGGTAATGATACATAAGCCGAGTCCCTAGATGCTGGTGTTGAGGGTTCCATGAAGTCTCTGAGTGGCCCCTTAAAAGATGGCCCAGATGGAGTGGAAACTCTATCAGGAGTGCCAGTACGACGAGCCGGATCCAATGTTGGATTCAGCGTAGATGGAGCGTTAGAAGGGCACAGTGGAGATTTGGTCAGAACAGAACGTCTAGCTTGGCTGATGGCATGTTTCGGTGGCGTTGGCTTCTCAAGTAAATCGCCCAATCTTTCGGCAGAGGAAGCTGTGTCCCTTTTGCGAGAGGTCTTCTCTATAGGCCGTAGATTTTCACCATCCTCAGCCAGTTCCTCGACAGCCTTATTACTGGTAAGCCGGCGCCGCTTTGGCGCTTGGTTCTCCGATGTCCTAGGCATGATTTGTTTGTTGGCACTCAAAGGTCGCAGAGCAGAATTGACTGGGTGTCTAGCTCTGGGAACTGGTGTCTCCTGGAATACCTGCTCACCCTCTATAATATCACTGAGGTCGTCGTGGTCCTGGTTATCGTTTCCATCTTGTCGCGCGGAGTATGCACCATAAGGTCTGGCTCCACTCATGCGGCCTATTGATTGTCGCTGCTTCCTGGGTGTGATTTGCTTGTCACCAATATCATCGAGATCAATGCTCTCACTCTGATCCAAACCATGAAAAGCAGCGAGACCGATAGGACTACTCGATATTGTTTCAATCTTTATTTTGGAAACAGTCTCTGGCTCATTACGGTCTTTCCTCTTATTGGCACGGCGGGCCGATATGACCATAGGGGTGTCTGGTGAAAGTCGGGTATCAATTGAAGGCTCCTTCTTGATCTTCGGATCTTGGTCATCATCTTTGCTGGGGGAGTTCGGATTTGAACAGTCCTGAGTCGAGCTGGAGTGGTGAGGTTCAATACACTCGAACTCGGTGTCCGCGACGCGGCCATTCCCATCAATTTCACCGCTAAATAGCACTGGAAGTTTGTTGGATTCGCATTCTGGGCCTGCGGACTTGTTCGATCGTGTCGCCTGCTCTCGGCTGCTAGTATCTGGGCCTGGAAGAGGAGCGCTTTGAGATCGCAATTCTCCAGACAGGCTGCTTGCCGGCACCTCAATTCGATGGGAAACTTCAGCCTTATTATTGAAAACTTCGAGAACCCTCACAATGTCATCAATGGTTATGACTTTGCCTCGGTAGTGTATAGGCGCGAGCGGCGCGGAGTTGAGAGCCCTAGCAACTTCCTGCAAGCCTTTGGGATCTAGTCGATGCTGGTTATGGCTATCAAAAGCTTGAACAGAACTTCTCGGTGCTGTTTTACTGATATTGGGTTGTCCAGAACTTTGCATTTGCGCCTTCAGAGACCCAAGCTCTTCTTCTAGCCTTCGTATTCTATCCCGTTTCTTGTCGATTTTCTTGCCTTGACTATCGCAGAACTGTTGGTACTGTTTATCTTTCTCCTTGAGCCTCCTAACCTCGCTCTCGAGCCTTTTCCTGGCAGCTTTGATATCGTTCCAGTTCTCGTACAGGATGTTGTATCTGGTTACCAAAGTGCGGTAAGGCTTACTTTTGACGGCCTTTGAATCGTCGTAGTCAATCTGCCGTGTAGCTGGAGAAGGATCATTCGCAATTGATCTTGCATCTTTACCTCCTTCATTGAGACCACCTGTATCCCGTATATCCTTCGGCAGTAACAAGGCCTGCTGAAGACTCGCTGCCAGCCGCTCGTTCTCTTTTTCCAACTCAGAAACCCGTGAGCTAGCACTCTTATATTCCTCCAGCTGTTCAGCAAGGCGTGCATTGTCCTGAGCCAATCGCTCATTTTGCGCATTCTTCTCTTGGGCTACTCGAACATCGTCCAATTTGGCATCTTGCGCCCGCTGCAGCTGTTGGAGAGTCAACAGCTCTTTCTCCAGACCGTCGGTTTTGGCAGCCTTGTCACGTAGAGTTTGGAGCTCATCTCGCGAGACGAGGACGCGGTTTTGCTGGTCGAGTTCTACCGGGTTTTAGGATCAGTATATGTTCAATAATCCGTTCTCCATTCCTACCAGCTTCCACATTCTTCCCAATTCGATCGAAGATTGCCGTGACCCCTTCCAGCTGCTCCAACAGCGCCTGCCTATCGTACTGCAAACTCTCCAACATTACCGTATGGCGCGCAGCCAGTCCATCACTGTCGACGTCGTGAGAACACGCGTAACCCGGGAGTCGCGTACCTGCGGCTCTTGCTGACGCGCTTGGACCCTCGGCTCACGCTAAACTGCCTTAAACGATTAACTCTCCTACCTTATCTTATCCGTTATCGTCACGAAGCATCTTTAATCTTTAAACTGTGCCTGTGACCTTTCTGCACATTGATTCTCCTTGTAAATACTTATCAACTAGCTCTTTTCCACAATTAAGTAATAAGCAGGCCTATTCGACGTCAATAACGAGACAGCAATAGTCCGTACAATTTCGGCATCAAATAACTACAGGTCCTCGTGTGCAGGCGTTTCGAAAAGCTGTACGTTTGCGAGATGGACGATGCATCATAACAGGAGAAGTAGCAGATGATACTCTTTAGCTTTAACAGTAAAAAATACTACTAGAAAACATCTCGATCAATAATTTCTTGATGATCCTCAAAGGACCACCAAATGAGCTTTTCCGGTGGCATTTCCTACAAGCGGTTCTTATTAACATGAGGGGTACTGGCGAGCCTACCTACTTTCGAGCATGATTTCTCGCCTGGTTCTGACATGATCGGTAGTATTCTTCAAGGTCCAAAGGCTGCTGAGAGGATGGGATTCGAGCTGTTTAATCGCATGGCTACTCAATTTGGTGTAGTTGTATAGGAGCAGCATGGCAAAGGTTAGGCGTTGTTTTAAAATCTAGGATGTCTTTTTTTAGACTTCTTGTACGGTTTTCTGCTGCTGCTGCTTCTTCTTCTTCTTCTTCTTCTTCTTCTCTGGGATAACTCGGTCACGTCCCGTTGCTTCAGTCATGTTGCACATACGGGCGTCTTGTAGATATTTGAATGGGTTTTCATTCGAGGATGGATGTGTAAAGGTGGATTCGATTCTGAATCAAGGGGAACACTGTATGATATACTGCGCATGGCAAAAGACAATAACCGGGTATCGAATCGATTCATACTCTACAGACACTGTCTATTTCTATAACCCCCCAGCCGGTGGAACATATGGCTTAACCAGCATCTCACTGAACTTCTCCAACCTCTCCTTGCCCCTAACTTCCTCCACCAGTAGCGGCATCTTGACAACATTAAACTCGTCATACAGTTCCTCGATCTGCTCCAAGTATTTCTTTTGCATCTTCCTCCTGGCATTGCACTGTTCGCAATCGCTCCCCTTCTTCGGAAACAGCAGTTGATTAACCACAATACAATGCGTGTCGATGCCATAGCTAGCAAGCTCCTGAATCATGCGTTCCGTCTCGTAGAGCGACAGGAACTCGGGTATGCAGACACAGACGAACGTGGTGAGGTTCTCGTCCTTGAACTGTGTGTTAACCTCGGAGATGGTCTCGCGGAGCCCTTCCAGCTTCTCCATCATCTCAGGCAAGTTCGCACCATTGGGGAGGGAGCCGTTGGTGCCAAGGAGGCCGTTCAGCATGGGGCCGAACTGTGACGAGAGCTGCGAGACTTTAGCAAGGGCCTTCTCGAGGACCGAGGGGAACTGCAGGAAGCGGAGCGTGTGTCCGGTCGGCGCTGTGTCGAAGATGATGGTTTCGTAGGACATGGATTTGACTTGTTTGAGCACCTCGGCAAAGGACATGGCCTCGTCGATACCGGGAATCTGCAGGCCGACTCTGTTAGCACACACGTTCCATGTTGCGGGAAGGCTGACAAGAGACTCACAGCGAATGCTAGATCCTGCATCATGCCACCCATACCAGAAGTGGGAGCCTCCCCCTCATCGGCCTGGCCCAGAAGCTCTTGGATGCTGCCGTTGGGATCGATCTCCATGGCGCTCAGGTTGGTGAAGCCATTGATAAGCCGGGCCTCCTTTCCAAATTTCTGTGAAAAAGCGTCCGAGAGGTTGTGCGCGGGATCGGTGGAGATGAGGAGCACGGAGCGGCGCACCTTGGCCAGTTGGATGGCCAGCGAGCAGGAGGTGGTGGTCTTCCCGACTCCTCCCTTCCCACCGACGAAGATCCAGCGGAGGGTCTTCTGGTCGAGGATGGATTGGAGCGTGGGCTCTAGCTGCTCCTCGTCGGCGTTGATCACCGCGGTAGACATGTTTGTCGGCGCAGAGTCGGGGGGTAGGAGAGAGAGAGGAGGGGAAAGATTTACAATGGGTCGAGAGAGAGCGCTGTTGGTGGGATGTGTGCAAAGAAGTGACTTTTGGATGAGTTGACAACCGTGGGTTTTTCGATTTCCGCCGCCTTCTCTGAGATGCCTGGTGTTGGACCCGTACTAGCACTTGATTCGCCAGTCTGTCCCGCGCTCAAAAGACACAACTACGCATAAAACTCACAGCGAGAGAGACGCAGAGGTAAAGACAGTCTGTATCTGATCTTGAAAGAGCCTGTCTGCATCTTGAAGGTCATTTCTGCCCATTCCTGGGTCGAGGCTGAGAGGCAAACCTCCTGCGGGGGAAGCTTAAACACTCGAGCTAGTCCGCCCCTCCGCAAGGCTGAGGGGGAGAGGCTGAATGCATAAGGCGACCTCCGAGAGACAATCTACGCATTGAAGAGGGTGTTCTGTCTTTAATCTTAAACCTTTTTGATACAACGCCCTCCCTATCTATGAGACTCGAAGTTGGCCGGAACCATAGCCCTGAACAGCCTTGGCAACTATCTCCAGCAGCTAATCTTCGGTTTCGTCTCCTGTCATATCCAAATCCTTATTCCGGCTCTTGGTCAGATCACGCCCGACTTTCTTGGAGAGCTATAACCCATCAAGCATCAAGACTGTATTAAGGATACGTATAATATGGCAATAATGTACAAGCATAAGTCCACTCAGGCACTGATGTGCCGGCGGAGAGCCGACTTTGAGACACCAGTCCACAACTTTCCTGTCAACGTCTCATATGCTAGAAGCACGTATACTTACTCCGCATGAATCCCCGTAAGACCACAAGGGCCAGGCTGTCGTCACATCAACTTTGTTCTCTCCTTAAAAAACATACTTGACCAACATTAGTGACAACAATGGGTCGAAGTGACAGACTGTAGACTTACCGGGATGAACAAATATGGCACCAATTTCTCATACTCCTCCCAACTCTTCCCATACTTCGCTTTACACCGTTGGATGTCCCTAAATGCACGGTGAATAATCATGCAAGTAAAGAAGACCGGGTAGAACCATGGGAATGGGCTGCTGAACCCAGTGACCAGACCCCAGGTGTTCGCAAAGAAGAAATCACAGGTGTAATGTATCTTCCTGGCATATCCATACCATCCGTCAGCAAGAATCGAGTCTCCAGTCTTGGTCTTGATGATGCGAGGGTTTTTGACGGTCTGCCATGGGAGTTGAGGAAAAGTCTTCCGTTCAATAAGCAAGCCGCGCTCTTGAGCTCGGAAGCGGTTCTTTTGAGAGTTGGTCGTATCCCAGACCCAGTATACAAAAAGGTATGTTACGAAAAGCACGCCCATTAGATAGGGGTTCCATTGGTAGGCTGACGGGGGGTGGTTGGCAAGGAAAAGGGTGCAATGGCAGTAGCTAAGGGGAACGCCTGCCAGGTTCCAGAAAATCAACATGAAACCCCATTTCTCGTAATACATGTCCCTGGAGCCGTCAGCAGGAGTTGGCAATGGGGAGAAGTAAAGTTACCATGTAGTCGTGATGCACTCTTCGCCTTTGGCACATGCATTTGCATACAAGAAATGTGCCATGATCAAAAAGCCTACTTCAAGAGAGACGTAGCCATAGTCCTCGTACTGTCGAGCAGCGGTAGCGCACGAGATGCCGAGTAGGATAAACCATGGGAGGCGGACTTCGAAAAACATTTTGAAATCCAGAATACCGAACATCCTCGGGTTCAACTCAGCACCCATAAAGAAATCATAAATGGGATACCCCGTCATTCTGTGTTGCGCCCCGCGGATAATGGCAGAAAAATAGGCAACGATTGCAACCAAGAACCCAGAGATGATTGCCACAGACAAGAGCGGGCCGAACTCATCAATAATTGTGTAGAGTGGGAACAGACGAGTATAGTGAAGCACGGCAGCGACCAGTATGGTGGTGTAGAAAGACCAGACTCCGGAGCAGTAGTATTTAAGCTGCTTGCCTCCTTCATGGGCAAGAGGCTTGCCATAAGTCTCCACCCCAGGAAGCAGGCAATAACACGCTGCTTCAAAGATGAAAAAGACCCAGTATATCTTCCAAGCTCGCAGAGATGGGAAGGCGTGTTCACGCACAATATCCGCCATATGCTTGACAAAATCGACGAACGTCTGGTCCGGGGCTGGAGTTGGGAACTTTCCATCGTAGAAGGTTGCACCAATCCACATGTAGTACATCAGCGTTGGGAACCCAATCATCATGGCACTGACACCAAAAGATCCACCAAAGTCGAAATGCCCAGAGTAATCGATCTTGGGATCCTTGCCGACTGCCCAGCCATCGATGATGTCCCCCTTTTCTGCGTCGAGCTTCTTCCCCGCGTGGCCATTTGCGGCCTTGGTCGTTGAGCCATTGCTGACGCTTCCATTCGTCTTCGTCATTGTCTCAGTGACGACGGCTTTCTTCTCTGAGACTCGAGTTGACGCGACTCTGGTGGTTGAGTTGTCGGTCTGGGAGGACGAGTCGTCTCCCTCCTCTTCAGGGAATTGGGACTTGCGACGGTTCGGCCGACGGGGGCGTGGGGTCTCCACGTAGCCAGCACGCTCTGTTTTCCTGGACAATTATTCAGCTATAAAGATACGAGGGAAGAGCAGGGGGTGAGGGAGGTGTTTACTTGGGAGTCTGGCGCAACGAATACCGTGTCGACATATTCGACCGTATCGATGACGCGAGTTCAAAGTAAGTAATGAGCGATTCAATTGACTAAAAACAGCATATAAAGGACGAGTGAAAGAAGGAGAGTATATGGCGCCAAAAGAGGGTCAAGGGGTCAGATCAAAGTAACATGGCGCATCGAGCGCATCCAGCACAGTTCATGGTGAGTGAGGTGGGATCCGTTTTCGTGCCAAGTTCACGTTGGCCCCGTAGCCCGTATCCCGTATTCCGTATGTCGTATGCCGTATTCTGTACCAGGCGAAAAGAAATTGCACGTGTGGAGTCTGGAAGCGGTCCCCAGCAAATCAGGTCGCCAGGCACGCCCAGCAGTAGTCAGGGGCTACGCGCGGCATGGGTCTTGCGATTACTGTCCTTTTGACGAAGTGTCCTTTTTTTACGAAATAAACTACAAAGCTACACGAGAAAACAGAAAAGGAGAAGAAAAGGAGAAGTCTTGATCATGTGACTTCTCTTCGCGCAGTTCGAGACCTACATATACCACCCGGGTTTCAGACCCTTAGTCGGGGTCCGTACTCGTACTCGTTCAAGTGAGGTATTTGGCGAAGTTCCCATACTTCTACACGTCTGTCTAGTTGAATCCGTCGTTTCAAACCTCCATGAGTAAATGTTGCCATACGAGAGGCTTCGTCCAGGACTAAGCTGATTTCTCCGGTTGAGAATCCATCTGTGTCCTGAACATACGAATAGTCTGCATAGTTGTAGTCAGCCGTCTCGACTTGAGACCACTTATGTACCGGAGCTGATTGGAAGAACATTGATGTCAACTTCGCGTTCATTCCACCACCTATGGTACTTGTCGTCTAGGTTGGTAGAGCAGGAGCTTGGGAGTCTTTCAGCATGAGAATAAAGCGTATGGCGCCCATAACTGAGCTTAGGGCTACCGTTGGCAAGTTTTGGAGAGCTATAGGAGACAGTCAGGGTCAAACAATCTAGAAGGTCTTTACTGCGATCGTCCAGGTCATTGTCATCAAGCTCTGAATCGTCGGGGTCAGCATCGCCCTGAACAGGAGTAAGACTTTGGAACCTATTCTTGGGGCTTTATATATTAGACTTTTACCCACATCAACCGGCGTCGGTCACAGTCAGTGCGTTGATTTGGTATATTTATCTTCGAATTCTCGCCAGGAGCAGTGGTCTCCCGAAAGTACTCGCATCTCTTCTCTTGACATCGTCACCAAGGCAAGCTCAAAAGTCTTCCAGGTCCAAACCCGTAGGTATTCCGATCCTGGCGGAAATGGCTATGCGCCATGATAGATCATCTTTCAAGACAGGATCGGCGCAGTATTCAACAGCGGGTGCCAAATTCGAAGGGAAAGCAGTTGTCAGAAAAGCAGTAAATAATGACTCTGTCCAGACTTACTGGAGACTTTATTAGTAGGTAGATGCATATCCAACTCGCAAGATTATATAACCCACTACATCTCCTTCTTTCACGGCATTCTTGGCCAATATCTCGCTGGCGGGCTCTTCAAGTTTGATAACCTTGCGAAAACCTTCGCGAACCTCATCTGCCCGGTATAATTAGAGGTGTTATGTGTCTGTTAAAGCGTACAGATAGCTTGCGTTTAGTTTCAAAACAAATGGGGATATCAAGCTTGGGGGAGTTTGAAGATCAGAAGTTCCAGAACATTTCTGCGTGGTTGGAAGATGAGATAAACAGGGTAGAGGGTACAGAGCAGAGAAGAGCAAGTTTTGAGGTGTTGAATGATGGAGTAGAATGTTGAATAATCGTTCAATAAGATGTGTGGGAAGTGTACAGGATGGATGGATGAAGGATGGGACTCATGGAAGCCATAAGGCAGCCACCCCGCACGGCCACAGCCGCTCAACCAATGGACAAGGTACGGTCCAGGGATGGGTAGGTGGATTATTTATAGATATACCCTGAGGCGGGGTGTGGGGCTAGGTGGGGGTGGGTACATCAACATCAGAAACCCAGGACCCCATAACCAATTCTCGGGTACTGGAATGACTTATGTAGTAGGTGGTAAGTAGTAGAAGGTGGTTGCATTTCTCTGCAGTTACATCTATTTTTTGGAGAGTACCGCTGACTAGTCAGAAGCAATGTGATTTCTAAGTTGCTTCTACAACAGTCGGCATTGTCTCTGTCTAATCCGTGGGAATTGCCCAAGCCTTTTTGTTGTAGGTGCTAGGCCAGACACCATTCTTGCCAGGCGCTAAAACTCCCTTTGGATCAAGCGCATTCTTGATCTGCTCATTAAGTTTCATCTGGGCGTTGTCATTGAAGTTGTAGGTTCCTGCGATTTGGTCCATGACTGCAAGGTGAGTACGGTACTCGCCCCATCCATATGCCGCACAGTCATCAATCAACGTCCGAATAAGCCAATGGGCCTTCTTCTTGGATTCTGGGTCTTCGCGATCGAAGACTATACAGACGATGTGGTCTGTTAAAAGTGTCAGTGAGAGTTACCTAAGGGTTGGTGTCTCTAGGGCCCGAGGATCTTGTTTGATGCATTGAGAGGGCACTAGTCGAATAGAACTTGGAAGGCATATCTCTGCCTTCTAAGGAAGCCACGGTCTGGGGATATATAATACGAAATTGGGAATAGACTCACGCATTTCTCTCATTCCAACGACGAAATCTCCAATAAAATCCAACCCAGCTTCATCGCACCGCTTCTTTGTCACTTGATATTGTAAAGTTGCGTCGTCGCCGGATATCTTTGCAATTGGCGAGAAGAAGAGATGAGCACCGTTTGGAAGCCAATCAACCCATCTAAGTTCATCAAAAGTAGGTATACCCTGAAGCGTCAAGGCTCTGGTACGAAGGACAGAGTATTCCTCGTGTCGGTCCTCTGGGAAGTAGAATTTTGCCCCTGGGACTGCAGAGAAGGCTTTCTTAATGATGCTCCACAGAGCTTCACGAATTGGCTCTGGCCCCTAGAAATGATTGTGAGCACTCGACCGACAACGAGTCAGGAATTCTGAACTTACGTAAAGAGCGCCGTAAAAGTTCCAGCGGCCAAGGTCAAGCTTCTTCGCAATTTCGTCCAACTCAGCATCGGTCAGTGGTTTATCGGAATTGCTGAAACTTTTCTTATTTCCGTGTACTGCAGCGTCCATTAAAATAGACCGCAAAGTCGGTACATTCTGTAGAACCATTTGCTAAACCAGAATCTGTCAGCTACTGAGTCAATCAAGATATCAAACTGCCACTGACTATGCGGAGCGGACGTATAATATCCATTACTTGGTGGAGGTCCTCATCCCTTGGGAACGTGATCATATAGGCTTGGTAGCCGCCGGGGTTTGGCATTAACTAGGGAGTTTTAGTGGTAGCTTAACCAGTGTGTTGTTCATAGGTAGTTACCCAAATTCCCATCTTGACGACAATCCCAAGGTTGCTCTGAGTGAATATGCCATCGTTGTAGGGACCGAAACCATAATTAAACAGGTGCCAGGCCTTGTTACCGGGTTGTTCATCAGGCCTTAAGCCGTCTCTGTGGCCAGATGTTTTGTCGGGTAAGGCTCCCATGCCCGTACGGATGAGTTCGCCATTTGGAAGTACGACTTCCATACCGCAGTGCATCATGAAATGATCTATGAGCCAGTCAACACATGACTTGAAGCCATTCAGAAAGAAGGGCTTCTTACCTCCATATGGGGTATAACCAACACCTCTCTCGATGGTGTTTCCAATTATAGAGCCACCTCCCAAATCAGGAACCTAGAAGGCTATTAGTAGTTGAATTTAGGAATCATGAAGTACTCACATCTATCCAGACTTTCTCCCTCAGATTATGCTTTTCCAGATACTCATGCAGGTCGAAATATGTCACACCAGGTTCGACCAATGCATAAGCATCTTCTGTGTTGACCTCCAGGATACGATTCATGTTCTTCCCCAATTCTAGGCAAATGCTACCTGGTACTCGAGGTGCAGCCCCTCCATAGCCAGTGTTTCTTCCAATCGAGAACGGCCAGACGGGGATATCAAACTCATTGCAAAGACGCATCATTTCTTGTACCTCGGGCACGTTTCGAGGGGAGATGGTCGCTGAGCAGACAAAATAGGATCGGTCCAAAACAGCATGCATATCATGCGTTTTGTTGGGCTCCTTGTAGGTGCCATCAATCAACTGATCCGAGGTCTCGACGATGAAAACGTTCTCGGCACCACAGATGGCCTTGGCACGGCTGATGAAATCCGCAAACTGCTCAGAGCTGGTTCCGGGAGGAAGAACTAGGGGATCACCACTTGATCGGCTAGTGACTCCATTTGGCTCTTTAAGCTTTGTAGCAGTCTTTGGATGATGAGGGATGCCACCATTGGTATGGTCCACCGTTGCTGAGGGCGCCATGCTAGCGTTGGGCTTTCCGATGGTTGTATGAGATTGGATACTTTCAGATAGAAAAGAGGATTCCCAACGAAGATTGATAACGGTTTGGGGAGGTGTTGCTTTGAGCAGTTCGAGTCGGTTACATGGCATGCATATAAGTCCTTGGGGACGACAAGAGAATGGTCGGACAAGCGGAAGAAGAGAGTGTAAGCGTTCCCCAATTCGATATGGCACTATGGTATTGGTGATGTTGGGACATGTTGGAAGAGGCGTTCGGAGGGTTTGTAGGGCATTCCCAGCGCACTGGAGATGGAGGCGTGGAGAAGCGCGGGGTAAAATGGTGGGGTTGATGTGCTAGCCCGCATCGGCAGATGTTTATTTGGACGTCGGCCTCCCCCCTTTTCGCGTATGGTCGGCCTTCCCCCTTTCCCCGTATCGTCGATCCCCCCTTTTCCCCATATTGAGCTCCCCCATTTCCTCGTGTCGTCGGCCTTCCCCCTGCCCCCGCCTCGGCCTCCCCAGACTGAATCTCCAGTTCGTCCGGAATCTGTCCGTAGGCAGCGTCGGGAGAGTCGAACGGCAGACTGGGCTGGGCGATGCTGTCCTCCGCCCTTCTGGCCCATTTAACTGGGAATTGAGATTTCAGGAGGTGACTTGTGCGGCTTGTGCAGGAGAAAGAGAAAGAGACCGCTCAAACCTCTCAGCACGGCAATGACTTCCGTCCAGCGTTCAAAGGCGGTAGTGCTTACAGAGAGCAACACGCCTCTTCAAATCTGGGAGCGCGATGTTCCTCCTCCAGCTGACGGCTGCATCAATATTAGGGTTTTAAGGGCGGGTGTTTGTGGTACGGATCCTCATCTATGGAAGGGAGACCAGACCTTGGGTGGCCCAGTTGTCCTCGGACACGAGGGCCTTGGGCAAATCATCGAGCTTGGGAAGGGTGTCACCACAGATCATGCCAGCAGTCCTATTGCAGTTGGTGACATTGTATACTGGAACCCAATCAGGCCTTGCAACTCCTGTTACGATTGTACGGTAACGCAGGATTTCACGGCGTGTACCAACGGTACGTTCTGGTCGCCTGCAAATCAATCCCAAGTTTGGGCAAGCTATACCGAGGTGGCCACCCTGTTGCCAAATAACTCCTTCTATCGAGTCGACCAACGAGTGCCGCTCGATGCATACATTGCACTGGGCTGTGCTCTTCCTACCATGCTTCAGGCGGTTGACGCTCTTGGTGGGATCAGCCGCGGTTGCACTGTCGTTGTCCAAGGTGCTGGCCCCGTAGGATTGGCCGCAATCATGCTGTCAAAGCTTGCAGGCGCGGAGCACATTGTGTGCATTGAAGGCAACAAAGCACGTCTCCAGCAGGCCGTAGGTTTTGGAGTAACGATTCCCATCGACATGCGAAGCCCGGAACTCGCCAGCATGGAGCAGCGCCGCGGATATATCAGCAGAGCTGTGGGCGCTCGAGGTGTGAACTTGGTCGTCGAGTGCAGTGGAAATGCTGCGGCTTTCGAAGAGGGTATAAATCTATTGGCTCGTAGTGGAAAGTACCTCCTTGTTGGTACATGGGCGGGTTCAAGTAAGGTCGCCGTATCCCCTTTCCAAGTTGTCCAGAATGCCCTCACTATCATCGGGTCCACCTACGCTTCCCCTGGACATTACTATCGTGCCATCAAAGTTGTCCAGGCCAACCATCGCCACTTTCCTTTGGTCGAGTGTGTTACGCATCGATATGAATTGGCCGATGCGCAGAGAGCACTGGAGGACGTTGCCGCTGGAAAGGTTACCAAAGCGGTTATCTTTCCGCAGGGCATAGATAAATGAAGAAAGATGACGGACTGCTCTGTATAGACTAGCATCTTCTGCCATACCCATCATGAATGTATCTTTAAGATTCAAATTCTTGCTGCAAGCTTAGGCCTCTTCTTTTGGTCCGGGTGTCCCAGATAGACACTATTTCGTGACTTCTCATTGATGTGCTTTGCCAAGATTAATTGTGAGCCTTGCCTTGCATTGTAAAACGAACTCCAATTGGATTCTTGTTGCTAGGTCATCAGTCTAGGTAGGTACCTTACCTTGGTAAGGACTGGATGGACCATTTTACTTAAACGAAGCATTCAAGAGACACTCAAGTATTCGGGTATGACACCTCCCCAACTTACCAATTCTAGACGAAGGTGCCCTCCAAGCGCAATCTCAGGCCAGTTAGATCGTGCTATTTACACCTCGTCTCTTCGCCAGTCGCAAACCGTACTATCAGAGCACGATACACGAATCGATGCATGATAGGTTCATATTCGAATGAAAACCTATTCTAATATCTACAAGACGCCCGTATGTGCAACATGTCAGAAGCAACGAGACTTGACCGAGCTATAGTCGCAGATTCTTTATCCTGTCTGTCAGTTCTCCAACGAACCTATCCAGCTCAGCTCTCCGCATCCTGTACACCTGCCTCCTCCCCATCCTGTATGTCTGTCCCATCCGCATCCTGAACACCTGTCTCCTCCCCATCCTGCACACGTGTCTCCTCCGCATCCTGTATGCCTGTCTCCGCCATCTTCTTCGCCAGCTCTGCCAATTCCGCCAACTTTGCTTCTTTGTCCGCCCGTCTCATTGCTCGTAATTCCTCTACTGGAAATACCTTCGCAACCTCAGTGCCATCCTTATAGCAGAGTGTGTCCTTTTGCCACAGCTCTCCGCCAAACTCCGCGTTGATACGCGTCATCGCCTTCTCCATCCGCTCATACACCTTCATCTCCTTCTCTGGATCCTCGAAATCGATGGATGCCAAATGCCGTAGATCTAGGTCCAGTAAGATTTTCCTCTTTGCCTGTCCTAGACTGTTCCAGCTCGGGATGGATCTCAAGGAAATCGGGTAAAGCTCGAGGATTCCCGGAAGGATTGTTTGACTATCTCGTTTCTTCAGCATATTTTCGAAGATATCTTGGAGAGAGATGGTCGGCCTGAGCGTGAGGGTCTCCATCTTCCTCGAATGACCTTCTCTCATCCCTAAATACTCCAAAGACAAAAGGACATGAAATGCACTGAAGCATTTACTCGATTCTCCCAACTCATGGAACTCGATTGAGATTTCCGCGTGTCGTATCAGATCGAAAGGGAATCTTTTGAAGTGGCCGAAAAAATTGTTGACATCATTAAGGCGGACGGTGTTGTGTTCCCAGAACAAGTCCTTGCACTCCTCGTAAATCTGCTTGCACGTCCGGAGTATAGAGAGGCTGATGGCTTCCGTGGGATCCGAAGACAGCAGGCTCTGCGCGGATGGTACAGCCTTGAACCGACCGTTGATTCTAAAGGGCGGTACTGGTACGAAGTAGATGACGCCGGTAGGGGCAAGGACGTGGAGATAGATCTGATCCCGGATCTCACGCGGCATACCTTGCAGCAAAATGGACGCCATGACGATATTCCGATCCACTCTCAACTGTGGAAATGGTACAAGGATGTTTAGGAGTAGAACTGGAGGTTAAAGTGGCAGGTGACAGGCGCGAGTCGGATGGAGAGGCCAGGCGCGTATCAGCCGCGCGACTGTATGATGAGGTTCTTGATGTGAGTCAATATCGATTCGCTTCCACCGTATTGCTGTAATGAATTGGATAAATCAGGAGCCCGCATTCACTGCCTTATCGTGGTACCTCCTGGTCGTCCAATGCCTAGTTATCAGAAGGTCTCGGCAATGGCATACAACGCGTACAGTGAAGTTGCTTCTCTGATTCAGCTCCAGGTCACACGCATACTCCCCTCTTGCTCCGCTTCTGAATCTCTCTCCACTTGGGAGCTGAAATCACAGATCTGACCTTGGAAGCGGCCTCGACCGAGATAGATAGACGATGCCACCAGGGTTTCCAGAACGTAGGTTCAAATCGCTTTGTAAAGATCCGCTTTGATGCTGGTGGAGTCGTGCCACAGCAAAGCATCCGCTTCTGCCGTTGTGGGAGTGTGTGGTCAGAGACTGGCACACCTGAATGGAAAAAATAGATGCGGAAAAATCGAGACACGTCCGAGAATATAGCAATAAGAAACTCTTGTTTCGTATCCAGGTAGGCACTCACTCGTACACCGAGTTGGATACCATTCAACTCAATCCACCAAAAGATAAGGAGAAAACAGGAAGTACTTATACTGTGTTAATATGTACGCAGTCGCTATCTGGCGGACGACCCTCCCACAATAAACTGTACTTCACCATCTCTTGGATCCAGGTTGAAGGCTTGAACAACCTGTTTCTGGTCTTTGAAGCACAGTACTCCGTCAACCCATAACTCACCACGCAAGGTATCATGCATCTTCTTGAGAAACTCGTATGTCTGGCTCGGATCTAGCAGCATCTCCCTCAGCCACATCTGTTTGCCCCAGTGGGAAAATTGTGGCCATCCAGTATTAATCACCATCGTAGTCCGGGCCGAGGATTCTCGATATAACCTCCCATCCACGGGAACGCCATGTATCATCAGATCTAACTCCTCATGGAACTCATCGACGCTGCGAGGCCTGTCCCGCACAGCAGTCAGGGTAATAGATCGCAGGCTTCCGTTCCGCGACCATCCTGCGAGTGCCTGGAACGCGGTGCTCATCCATTCCAGCTCGTCTCGGTCAAGCAGTGCCAGGTATATTTTCAGATGCTGTACGTATTTGACGCTCCTAAATTTCCACAGATCGTTGAGCTTGTGGGTGAGCTGCGTAGGTTCCCGCAGCTTAAGACCGTTGTGCAGCCAGATGATATCCTTGCACTCTCTGCGGATCTGCTTGCATGTCCGGACAAGAGACAGGGAGCGTGCGACTTCAAGCGTCCACGGGGAGAGGGTGACAACGCCCGATGGAGATGCCAGGACGAAGGTGTATATCTGGTCGCGAATCTCCCTGGGGAAGACTTCGAGAAATGGGCGTGTCATGTCCGTGTTGGAAGCTTTTATTCGCGCCGTTTGCCACGAACGAATAAATACACCGACAAGGAAAACGTGAAGCGGCCTGTCTTAGCGAAAACCACTCTACGCGAGTCGCGTGAATCCGACGCGTCTCTTGTCGCGTTGCCCAACCTCCTAGTCTCCTCGTCAACATGAAAATAAATCTCATGGTCAAGAACCACCACCGGCTCTCACCTTCCACCAGTTACTCTGCATGATTTGAACATAGTTTCATACACCATTGTACCTGCATACTTTCACCATGCCAGCAGCTATTAAACGGCGCAAGGTGACTGCGACGTCCAAGAACGCATCTTCCCCTAACACCAGGTCTCGGGGAATCGAAGCCTTTGCTAGGGTTTCGAAGGCAAGCAGCACTCAGACAGCTGGTACCGAGAAGAAGGATTATGATACCATAGCAATTACCCCTTACTCTACGACTGAGAAGAAGAGGAAGTTGGACAGCAGCGACGAGGAAAGCACTGCAGAGCAAGCTTCAACTCCTCTCTCTGCTATTATCAAGCACCGTGATATCAAGCCGTTACCTCCTCGACGGTCACAGAGTTCCCAGCTATTCCCACAAACTCCACATAGGCCACTCCTGAAAGCAGGCTCGTCCACCGACACCCCCACAAACGGTGCAAGAACTCTCTTCGAGCACCTCCTCGTATCCTCGAAGCCTCCTGCAGGATCATCATCTCTCAGCAGCGACTCCCCTCCAAGTCCACCTCCTGCGAAGCTCGACCCCCCTAAACCCACCCCTGCATCAGCTCATGACCTTCCAACCGAATTACTTGACCTCATAAATCTACACGCAGCATTCCTCACGGCACTATCACTTTACTATGCGCATAATGGAGCACACTCGCCTGCAGATCTGCGGATCCTTTGTACAGACGTTGCTCGAGTTTGGGGGAAACGCCAAGTCACGTTGGAAGACATTCGAAGGAGTCTTGGGGTTACGAACTCGGGTATCCCAGAAGATACGAATGACCGTCGAATATCCAGACTCGGCCTGTCTGATTATGGACACGGGAAAATTTGCATTGAGATAAAAAATGCTTCTGGAAAGGCGGGCAGGTTGGCCCGCCCTGTGAATGAAGTTTTATTAAACGAAATATTTGTGCGAGAGTTGAAAACCTCATGGGATGAGAGGAGAGCAAGTGGCATGGAGGCAATGGAATTCATCGGGACCTTGCCATTGGAGCCAATAACGACCTGCTCGTCATTGGTCAAGATGTCGCCATTACTTGCAAAGGGGCAACGAAGATTAGATTACCTCAAAAGCGGAATCACTGTCAAGAAAGAGGCCGCCAAGGAGAAATCGCCAGTCGAGACATCCAACGGTACCAAGCCAACCCTCCTCGAGCGTCTACGGGCGAAGCAACTCCACCAGTCCACTCTTCCGGCGGCACCATCGAAGGCAGAAATCGCCCGGAAAGCGGCATTGCAAAGGATCGATGAGGTTGTTGCAGTGTTGAGCATCCTGAGCACCTCGACCTCCATTGGCCAACAGCGGATCTCGTTTACTCTGCCAACTGTTCTGGGAAGACTCTGCGATTCTTTTAAGACGCCGATATCAAAGGAAGAGGGGGCTACTTGTGTTAGGCTTCTTGCTTCGGAAATAGCACCGGAATGGGTCCGCATTGTCAAGATGGGTAAAGTCGAGGCTCTTGTGGTAAACAGGGATGCTCGGCCAACTGAGTTGGATATCAAGGAACGCGTAAAGCGTGCAGCTTGAATCTTGTACTTGTATACACGAACTTTTGTATTATACGCACGGTCACTGGATACCCACGGATGGATTTGGATGCTCGGTGCACGGAGAAATGGGCGATGATAGATGAGTTCAATGAATGGATTGAGACAATTTGACAATTTGACCGTCCTTCTTTCTATCCCTGGTTTTGTGTGACTTATCTGATTGTAAACCATGAAGAAGCACGAAGAGTGCTTTGCAGCCTCCCGTCTTATGCCAGGTCGCGTTGACCGTCTATCCACCGAACCGCTTGACTACGTATCCCTCCTCGACCGATTACTTCTTCTTCGGACCAAACTTCGGAGCGCCAATATCGCTCCCCCGCAACTTGATGCCCAGAACCCTCTCCATGCTCGCCAGGATCTTCTGGTCAGGGGCAGCGGTGCCCCTCTCGAAATCAGCGACGATGCTCGCCGTCGTGTTGCACTTGGTGGCCAGGTCCTTCTGGGTCATCTTGGGCTCCATCTTCTGCCGCCGCTCCGAGATGACGGAGCCCACTTCCTTGCCGACGGTGCTAGGCTTGACGATATCGTCGGATCGGTCGACCTTGGTCAGATGCTGACCTTCGATACCTGGTTTGGAGGCCTGGGTTTCATCACGGGTTAGTAAGGAGCTTGCTTGTAGGCGCGGGGGGGCGAGGGCGAGGGGCGGGGGGCAAAATTTCGGAGGGGGGAGCAAAAACGAAAACGTACAGAGTTCCCAGCACCGTATTTCTTCTCCGTGCCGATGACAGCGCCGCTTCTTTGGGCGGCGTTGAGCGCGCTCTTGCCGCGCACGACCGTCTCACGAGCGACTCCGCCGCCGCGGGTCTTGCTTCCAATTTTCGTGACGCTGTCCCAGTCATCCATGGTGTGTGTGCGTGAGCGTGAGAAGAGAGGAAGAAGATAATAAGTAATCAGAGGAGGTTTTTTTTTGTTCGGTTTTGGTCGCGGGAAATAGGGAGATGAGAAAAGCGAATGCTGTTGTGTTGGGGTGTTTTGCGCGGTGAATGAGTGTTTTGTTGTTGTTGGTTGGTGTTGTGAGGCAGTGAGAGTAATGTTGTGTGAGAGAGGCGGGGAGGGGGGTAAAGTAGTAAGAATGGGTGGAAAGTTGGAGATGGTGACGAGAGCGAGCGACAAGGCTGTGGCTTGAGTGGCGCGGTAGGAAGTGTGGCGCTTGGATTACATCAGCACCCACGCGTGATCGCCCTCCCGATTCGGATGTGCGTTTGATTCTCAATCGTTGCTATTAGTTGAAGATATAGTTGTCTTCCAACAGAATCTTGCTCTGCTTTGCTGCCCTCGGGATATGTGTTGCACAACCCATCTTGGATTGGAAACATGCAGTGCTACATTCTAGACATATCGTTATCGCCTCCCCTCAACCGCATTTCCCATACCAACATCTCCCTAGAACTCTTGTCAGTAGTAGCCAGTCGAGGAATTTCTTGACATTCTATTCTTTCTTTATCAGCATTCTTTCTCTCTTTTCCTATGTTTTTTTGAACTGTATTCTCCCTCAAACCTATGCGTTCCACGAGTGTCATGCACCAACACCAAGTCCACCAACCCCACCGTCGTCGCAAAAGGCCACAAATATCACTCTTTGCAATTCTCCAAGATCCTGCGATGCTTCACATCTGATAACCGGAGTACCCATACGCTCGGAGTTCATGTTATACATACCACAAATCCCACAACCCCTCTCAACGCCCTCCCTCCTAACTATCTCCGATCCCTCTCTTTTTCACGACACCAGGGCCCATGCGTATTATACACATCATCATCAGCCGTCATGATTAATTATCTCATTCCGAAAAATATGGACTGAGAGGTATCTCTTTGAGCTCAGGTATGTCTAGACAGTCTAGTCCTTGGACCGTGGTAGTTGACCTCCCCCGCTGAGTCTTCTGAGTGTATGTGTTTTTGGAGAACCTTTTTGTGAAAAGGAAGGGAAGGGGTGCTTGGTGTGGATTGTAAGGTAGGTAGGTAGTTTTGCTGAGATAGGGAGGCGTCAGGGGCATGGCAAGAGGAGGGCATGATGGGGATTTTTTGGGATTTTTTTTTATATTTTCACAAAGTATCCAGTAAAATAACCCATACCAGGTCGCACGCATATTTCATATCCCGGGTTTCTTGGACGTGCGAGGTTACCAAAAAAAAAAATCATATTTCACTACCCAAACAGATGAGAGGCCCTCTCCTTGTGAACAGACACGCTCGGTGAACCGTCCATCGTCATGTGCCTCGTCAAACCCGCCATCCTGAACCCCGAAACTCCTCTCCAAATCTCGAATGGGATTCAATGTAGCAATGCCACGCCACGTACGAGACTTGAGTACTGCATGACAATAAAAATGAGATTCCCCCTCCGGCCGCCCTTCCCATTTTAATATTACCCACCACCTAAGACCCCCAATTAATCCATGTCACATTTTCAGACAAGCCCTTGTCTACCTACACCCCACCGACAGAGAGAGAAGGTAATAAATAAAACAGCTGTGGGGAGTTGAGAACGCCACGGTATTAGACGCTCATCCATCCGAACATGCCCGTGACTCCCAGGAGCACGAAGGTCGTGAGGATGCCCGCGCCGGCCTTCGCACCCGTTGTCGGAGGTGAGATCGCCGCCGGGTTCTCTACGCTCTGAGAGCCGGCGTTGGGATTACCAACACTCGTTCCACCTGTTTGGTTGGTGACCGGGGGCGCGACATGGACGAAGGGTATCATATTCGTGATAATGACTGACATGGCGGCCATCTCTTGACCTACACCTTGCGTCCCATCCCAATCTGTTCCTTTCGACCAACTCAGTCCACACATCCGGCCATTTGCGCCACCCGAACACTGCTTCGCCGCTGCAACTGCTGAGGTCTTGAGCACAGGCATGATGGTATCGTACGTGTAAGGAGCCAGCTGGGTCGTTGTGGCGAGCCAGCGGGTTAGGTAGGATTTAAAGCTGTACATATCCGTTGTGCAGGTGAGCTTGGGCTCGCAGGCGACTTCGTAAGCGATGCCATTGGGGAAGAAGGTGTCCAATGTCGAATTGATGAGTCCGTCCAATCGTCCTTTCCAGATTTCACTGCCATTTGTCTATGGAGCTTCTGTTAGCGAGTGTCAAGCCAGGATACATGGCACAGGCGTCCACCTACATAGTTGTACATGTTTGCAGCGCCCAGGGTCCATACGGCCATATTGTAGGAGAACTGGACCTTGTTGATATCCGTGCAGTTGGTTTCGATATGGGCACCATCGTAAATTCTGTAGTCCTCGTCCATCAACCCAACACTCCTGATCCAATCCCAGATCACTTCGACATGTTGAGCGTAACTATCGTTGCCAGTGTACCTGGCGAGACGTGCACCAATATTGAAGAAGCAGCCATTGGCAATGGAGTTCTTGTAATCATAACCAGTGAGGTAAGGATAGACTTGCCAACGCAATCTACAGACATTAGTCAGAGGGCGGAAGCCCGAGGTATTATAAGAACTCACCCTCCACCACATGTGTTATCCGGTCTGACGGCCTGGGTATTGAAGACTGCCTGCGCCAACGAGAGCCACGACGGCTGGTTCGGTGGGGGGTTCTGAAAGTTCGTCTCGGCGGCTAACATGGCGGTCATTCCCCAGAAGGCTTGATCATCGTTACCCATGGACTGCGACCAATTCGAAGGCATCATATCGTCGTGTTCACCAACCTGGAACTGGATTCCCTGCTCGATGACATCGTTGTATGAAGTATCGCCCGTGTAATGCCAATAGTCGATCAGTGCTCCCCACATCGCACCAGATTCCCACCAGTAGTCTGGAGCCTGTCAGCCTTCTCCGGGGCGTTTGGGGATATCTCGACACTCACATCCCCAGGTTGGATTCGGGGGAGGCCCAGGCAGCACGCCAGGAATCCCTCCGGACTGATTTCCCTTGTAGTATGTCATCATATCATAGGCGATAGTTGCAGCGGCATTCTTGATCGAATCTAGGGCACGAGCGTCAGCATCGAAGGGACTTCTGAGTTCGGGGCGCATGTTTATACCTGGCGAGTTGAGATCAAGGTCGATAGCCGACGCAAGATGGCCTCCGAGAAGTAGCGCAGCCGCAGCGCGTGAGAAGAAGCCGGAAAACATCTCGGCGAGGTTGTCTGGATCAGATTGGGAGTCGGCAGAGGAGGAGAGGGCAGACGGATGAAACGAGTGGACGTCGAATGCTTCTTCGCGGATATGCGGACGGTTACACGGCGCACATCGGAGAAGGGGATCGGAACGAAAGGACAGGCAAGAGAGGTCGTGAACGAGAAGCGATCGTGGGGTGTAGAGAGGTCGTGACGAGGGAGAGGAGAGGCCGTCGTCGAGAGCGAAGGTGAAGATGGATGTGAACGAATGGTGGTGGACTAAGGCGCTTCGCGAAGGGGGGTCGCTGACCACCTGGTAATATTTTATTACCGTACTGGGCAGAAAAGGCTGCCCGTATTTACCGTGCTCGCACCTCTCCGAGTCCCTGATTCGTCTAAAATATGTTACTATTACCGAGTTATACCGTAAATCAATCTACACCCTCTTATTGGCGTTAAACTTGCGGTAAACATGCAATGGCATCATGGCGCAGAGGCCAACCCGAAACGGGGCTGTGCAAAGATTTACTGAAATAATGGGGTTTACTGGGATGATTACATCATGATTTACTGTATTTCATTTGCAACACTCCATATATAATTTGGAGAAGGCCGAGGATCAAGAGAAGCTGAAACTGACCGCTGGACCGGACAACATATAGGGAGGTTGGTACCTACAACACAGCGCCTGTGAAGGATGCGATATAAAGATACCAGGGCTGGCTTATCGTCGTGGGGCGTTTATTCCTTCCTGCGGGGTGGGCCTGTACGAATTGAGGAGGCAGCTGGGGGATCGGCGCCCACAATAACGCACCGAGTCGCCAAATGTGATGTTACAGTACGGCAATCTGCAGTTGATACAAGGGGATCGTGGGTTTCCCAGCAAGTTAATTTCTACCGTCACAGGAGATCACCAACGACAGTTTAGTGTGTGCTCAACATCAGAATGAATGAATGTATAAGTGACAATTGTTACTTTTGCCTTATAGAATACAGACCAGTAGCAGTAACTCCTCTACCGTTTCCTCCATGACTCGGTGTCATGGGCCCAAGGGAAAAAAGAATGCCTTTGTATAAGCTCGTACTTTCCACGTCATGCTCCTGATATGATGGCAAGTCCCCTCGCTCCATCATGGCCATTATTAATGTGTTACTTACAGAGCCGCGAAGGCAGCGAGGACAGCACCCATAGCGAGAACGAAGGATCTCGAGAGGGGAGAAGCTCCATTGGCGCTAATAGTGAGGGGGGCAGTAGGGGAAGAGCCAGGGCTGGAGGGGGTTGCAGTTGCAGCACCGTATGAGCCGTTGACTGGTGCTGAGGCCCCGGCAGGGGCTTCTATGGCGGAAGCGTTAGCAGCGGGCCCGGCGCCTCCAGAGACCGAAGATGGAGAGCTAATGGAATATGGAGAGCTAATGGAAGAGCTAATGGAAGTAGAGGCAGTACCTGTAGCGGACGCGGGAGAGGAACCTGAGCTGGCGCTAGAGCCGGAGGCGACCGCAACACCTTGGGAAGGTGAGACAGCAGCACCGGACGAGGCAGCGTGGCTTCCAGTGACAACGGTGGAGAAGGAAGTAGCGGCGCTGGACGCAGCAGCAGATGTAACCGAGGCATGGGCGGCGCCAGTGGCAGCGCTTGAGGCAGCAGAGGTGGCGGTAGAAGAGTGGGCGCTGCTAGAGCTGGAAGACACAGCGTTGCAAGAAAGATCAAACAGAGGGGTGGTGCTCAGGGTGCTTCCAACGATGCCGAAGCTGGGGTTTGGAGTGACAGGGGCGGCATCCTGGAGAGTGTACCACCAGGTGTTGATCTTTCCAAAGTTGGGGCAACCGACGGCGTCCCAGTACTTCTTGGCGTTCTCGACGGATGGGACACCAAGGTTCTGGGTGCTGCCGCTGACGGGCCATCCAGTCTCGGTAATCCAGACAGGCTTGCCGGCAGTGGCATCCTTGGTCTGTTGAAGCGCAGCGTTGAACAAGCTAGCACCGCTCTCGATGGAGTTCGACATGGTGCTTTGGAAGTAGGGGTAGGCATCCATGCCGACCCAGTCACAAGCCTCCGCGACAGCACTGTTCGAAGAGTTGGCCCAGGCAGTCCAGGTGTCAACGTGACCGATGGGAGCGTCGCTCAGAGGGGTGCCTTTGATGGCATCACGGACCAGGCCAATGTATCGGACGATGTCAGAGGGCTCCGCACCGTAGCCAGACTTGGCAGCGATACCCATGGGCGAGCTGCGGTAGAGATCCTCACTGCCAACCGAGATACCGACGACGAGCTTTGTGAAGTCGGTTCCGTATTGTTGGATGGCGGACTTGAGGGCAGTGATTTCGGCCTGGAAGGGACCCTCACCGCCGGAGGCCCAGAGACCGAGCAGCAGAGAGGTGTTTTCCGCAATGGCGGCGGGAATGGCAGATGTGGGCTCGTTGGTGGAGCTTCCACCTTGCTAGAAGACAGTTAGGACCGATGATGCTTGTTTACGATAAAAGGGGGGGATCGCGTCAAGACGTACAATCATGGTATACAAACGCGCACTGGTGAAGCCAGAGGTGCCGACGAGGTTCTTGGCGGTGGAGAAGAGGGCCTGGTAGTCGGACTGGAAGTTGTAGGAGCCATCTGACTTGGTAGCACCGTAGTTGAAGCCCTGGAGAGCGGCGGATGTGGTGGAGAGCGAGGCGGCGAGGGCCAGGAGGACAGCAGAAGCCGAACGCATGTTGGCGGCTTGTGTGAAGGAATAACGATGCAAGAGCAAGGAAAGTGATGCCGATGGGGATGGGGATGGATCGATGGATCGATCAGATCAAGGGCGGCGAAGAGCCAGTAAGAAGTAGAAGTGGTTGTTGATCAGATTGGTTGGATTAAATACGCCCCAAGTTGAAGTTGAAGAATTGAATGGGGGGTGGTGAAGAAGAATGATGAAGAATGGAGAATGAAGAATGGAATGAAGAACGGAGAGAAGAAGAGGCCAAGGAGTGTGGGAGACGCGACGTGTAAAAAGAGAAGTCGAGACCCGTGGACGATGGAGGATGAAGAGAGAGAAGTGACCGTCAAGTCGTTGCCGTTGGGGGGAAGTTATTTATGGAAGGAGCCATTCATGTCCGCGTACGGGGGGGTGATGACTAACCGCGTGTTCCTGCTTTTCCTCGCCTGTCCGCCCCTGGCCAAGACACGGAGCTAGCCGCCCTGGGCCTAGCCGGGCTGGGCGGGTGTCCAGACCCCAGAGCTCGGGCCAGTGTGGCGTTGCGCCTTCCCGATTCAGGCAGGGACCCACTTATAGTTTATACGGCGCATCCTCCGTCGGAACGGGACATGGACGGATTTTACCTTTACAAACAGCAGGAGCATGAGCAGAAGCATCTTCATTGGCTGGGCCGCCCTGCATAATAATAAAGTTAAAACATAAACATCCCTCCGTGGTAATAACTTCACGTGACGGCTTACGTACCTTACCTTAACCTTTTCATTTAGTGCATAAAGTGGGTCACCCCTCGCTAGAATGTCTTCTTTCATTCTCACTACTTAGGGGAGAAGAGCATCTATCAAATACTGCAATTCCCCTAAACCCCCTCATCAAACAAGCAAAACAATCAAAGCCCGCGTAGCTCAATCGGTAGAGCGTCAGACTCTTACTTAAGAATCTCTTCAGTTCTATCTGAAGGCTGCGGGTTCGACCCCCGCCGTGGGCTCAATTCCCACTGGCTTGCTTAGAATGCTTTTTGCTTTTTTTTTGTTCTTGTTCTTTTTGCTTCTTTTCCTCCTTTTTTTTTCTCCGTAGGTCGATCTTTCTCGGCCCACCCGCACCACGTCTTCCATTCTTCCAGACTTCACGGTCTCGATCACGTCGACCGGCTTCTTCGACCATGGTTCCGGCCGCGTCGGATCTCAGATCTGAGGGCGAGAACCACCGATGGGGCCGGAGCAGGTAAGGCTGATGGCTCCATCATGTCCACTCTACAACCCCTCATAACAGCTTGATGATTGATCTCTCCCTCCCCATGCCGTATCTCCCGCACCTTCACACACCTCAGATGGTTCTGGCCCGTCACATAGCATAGGAGGTGCAATATGAGAAGTAATACGTCCCTGCGCACCCGTGCATCCACCGCCGCCTCGCCCACGGGCTCCCTTGCTCCCAGCGACCTCGTCCATAGCGGCCCGAGGCCCAGCATTGCATAGCTGCCCGTCCCAGATGCCGCCGGAATGCTCGCCGGGTCGATGAAGTAGCTAGCTGCCCGCGATGCGTTCGGGGTCCGGCATGAATAGGCACGGCGACGTCAATGCGGAAGATGCATGCCCTCCTGGTCTCGCGCACGGGGAAGTAGAGGTGTTATATATAGTACTTCCCATCCCATCCCTGAACGCTGCGTCTGGCTGGCACCCACAGGCTGTTTAGATGCCCACGATCACCGACCCGTCGAATTTCCTCAAGCCAGAGGACGTGGTAGGTAGACAGCCATGCCATACCTTACTAGTCGCCTAAGGTATCCTCGACATCCTTGTCTCGAAGTCACGGGGACGGGTAGATATAGATATAGATATAGATACAGTCATTGAGGACGTGAGTGAGCCAGCCGAGGGATCTATCTGCTGTGTAAGGTAAGGTAAGGTAGATGTGTGGTCGGTTCGACATACCTATCGTAGTACCTAATTCAATAGAGTAAGTTAGGGTAGGGTGGGTAGATGGGAATGGAATATCACAACAATACCTACCTACTTTAGGTACCTACTCAAATCCAATATCATAAGGTAGGTATGCAACGTCCTGTATTTATTTGTCCCATGCAATCCCCCCCCCCCCAAAAAAGCCCCCACGCCTCCCCGCACCTACCTAGGAGGGTGCTCTATACCAGTATATCTTCCAGGAACCCCCCCCTCCCCTTTGGGGGCTCAACTCTAATTCATAGGGTAATGCATAATAACTAATCAATAAATAAATTCATTGAATAAACATGTTTAAAACCAGGAGAATGTAGAGCGGATTTATGGTATGTAGGTGTGTATAGGTAAGGTAGGATAGAGAAGGGTGGTGCTGTTTTGAATGCAGATTTATCAGATTTATCAGAAAACCCCCCCCCCCCCCCCAAAAAACAATCTACTCACCCATCTAAGCTCATTAAGCACTCAAGCAGGCACTCAAGGAGTCAAGTGAGTTCCAATAAATAAATATATAAATAAATAAGTGGCTAAAATAGTGTAATGTAGCTAATATAAGATACGATGATGAGTGATGATGAATCCCAAACCCAACCCAACAAAACCACAAGATACATCCCAAAGAACACCGATTACAGAGAAGAGAAGAGATGCTAACTATGCCATCCACCCCGCTACACAGTGCAGAACCCAATCCGGGATCTAGAGATTCGATTAACTAAATGAACTATGCGAGAAGAGCAGGAGCGCTGCGAATCGAACGGGAACTGGCTGGGCTTGCTAGATGTGATATATGCAGAAACAGAAACAGGAATCTCATATGACCTCATCTTATCTCATCTCATCTTGTCTCGTCTCGTGTCGGAATGCCCTATCCTGCAATGCTGCAAATGCCTTTGATCGATGCTGACAATCACAACCACACACCTAGACGCCGTATCCATGGAGGAACCCTGATGCCGTATCCATGGGGAGTCTGAGTCTCAGACTCAGAGCCCCTCCCTCTTATACAAATACATCTCACACCTCTCCCCAACTTCCCATCGCCCCGGTGCTGGCGAGCAGGCTCCCGCCACTGCCCACACTGCCGGGGCCGAAATCCCAGTAGTGCCGCGAGCTACCGCTCATCTTGCCCAGGGCGCTCGCGCTCATGCGGCTCTCGCTCGCACAACTCGAGCTGCTCCGCCGACGGTGCGTACCCTCACGGGAGATGCCCCCGCCGGTGCTGGGGATGGTGGCGCGCCAGGTGCTCACTCGCGTTCGTTCCCGCTCGCGGTCATACGGCCGCACGAGAGGGTGGTGCTGTCTGACTCGAGCTGCTCGAGCTGCTGCGTCGGCGGTGTGGGAGGTTGCGAGGTGAGGGCTGGCATGTGTGTGGAAGTCGGAGGGCGGAGGGGGGGAGACGAATTTGGAGACGAAGCGGGAGCGGAGGTAGCGGAAGACCATTTTGATGTCGAGGTCGGCTTCCCACTCTTCGCGTGAGAGCACATGCGTGGCCCGCGGTGTGGCGTCTTCTGGTGAGAGGAGGCGTTCGGAGAGGGAGGTGCTGCCCTGGGGGATGGAGATCGGCTGAGTGGTGTGTTGGAGGGTGGGTTGGAATTCCACGGAGGGGGAAGAGGCGGGTATTAATGGATCAGTGTGGGAGGGAGGGGGTTCATCCCGTGCAGTTTCCGGTATGACAGGAAGACCAGCATAGGGGAGAGGCTTAGTCTGGGTATGAAGATAGGTAGTGAAAGCTCCTGGATGATCTGTCAGTTGGTTAACGAGAATCCCGAGCTCACGGGCTATCCGCTCGAGGAGTCGGTATTCCCAGGATGATTGGTCGTCTTGGCTGCTTGCAATGAGACCATCTGCGGTGTTGAACGGCGGACTTGTCGTCGGGGTCTTGGAAGGGTCTTTATCTTCTGGGAGACTCTCGCCGAGGATAATGGACAGTAGATCGTCGTCAACACCTAGCAGCCCGCGTATGACTTTCTTCGTGATCCTATCCCAGAAACTCTCATTGTCCTCACTTGGGACCTCGTCTGCGTCAGGGCCCTCGACGTTACTCAAAGTTGCATCGTCCTCCTGCTCCCTCTCCTCAACCGAACTCCGCCTCTCACTGGTCATGCTCTGCCTCCGTCTCGTCTCCCTCTGAATCTCATCCACGAGCAATCGACTCTGCTCCATTCTCCAAGCCTCAATCCGCCGAGTCCTCTCCACTCCCAGCGCCCTCTCACTCTGCTCATCCTCTGCAGCTCCATCCATCTGTCGTCTCCTCTTCACCCGTCTCGGATTAAATCTTTCAAATGAGTACAGATGGTCCTGTACGACCTCCCCTGTCATCATCCCATCGATCCTAAAGCTTCCCAGCCCATCGTGGGTTGGCAACACAGTGGCACCACTCGTCTCCAATTCCGCCTCTCTGGCCGCTCCATACACACTCGGCACCGTGCGGAATGCATGCAGATGCGAGTCTAGACTATCCAACTCGCCATCCTCTCCATCTTCGTCGTCGTCGAGTGCCCCCTCAGCGTGTTCCGACTCCTCGTCAAATGCGTAAGATCTAGCTGCTGACTGGGCACTCCCGAAGTCGCTGATGTGTGAGCGGCCCGCCCTGGGCGTGCATCCCGTGGATGCTAGGTATGTACCATCGGTGGCCGAGCCTGCGTCTGAGAAGACGACCCATCCTTCGTTCTCAGCAACGGGTTGGGATTGTAGAGGTTGGATTTGAGCCCGTGTTTGTGATTGTGACAGTGCATGCCCCTGTGTTCCTTCTCGTGCTCGCCCTTGGGTATGTATCTGTGAAGCTGCCGGTGGTTCTTGAGCTTGCCCTCGTCCGTGTGGTTGCCCCTGTGGTAGTTCCTGTACCAGTGCCTGAGCCTGTACCTGTGCCATGTCAGGAGCAGCAACTGGAGACTGCGGCGGGTGGAACGAGGGGGGATGTTGGAAGGCCATGGTCGCCCGGCTCCTCAAGTGAAGACAGAGGAAACGAAGAAGTTCCTTTGTGCGTCGAGGTAATGCTCGGTGCGAGATCGAGAGGGAGATTTATTTATAGTTGAGAAGCCGGTGCTTTGGATCTGATATCCGGCGGTTTTAGGCCGTGGGAATGATGGATGGCCGCACGGGTGCAGGTCGCACGACCAAAGGAACCAGACCAGTCTGGCTCGCCGGGGCCGTCGGTCAACGACGCGAGGGAGCGGGTGAAATAGGAAGACCAGAAAGGAGAAAGGGGGAAAGGGTTAAGTAAGAGAGGAAGTAAAAAAGGAAGAAGAGAAGTCGGGAGGGCGAGCAACGAGGCTCCGGATGATGGGTTGAAAGTGCTCGAAAGCCCTCTCTTTGTCTTGACGTTTAGCTGAGCTTCGTTGTCGGTGATAAGGGAGACGAGCGGGGGCGGCGGCTGTTATCACTTATCGATGGGACGGATCCTGGCGCCGCTCTCCTCTCCTCTTTGCTTTGTTATTCTTCGGGGATGACCTGGATATTATTATTATTATCATTGTCTTTCTTTTCTTTTTCTCCCCTGCAAAAACCGCATTCTTGAGGGGTATATACGTCTGCCCTTCATTGGAGCATTTGGTATGCGCCTACATGATATTGGGATCTGACATTCTGACTTCATCATGCGAGGGATTATGTCAGCCTCGCCACGCTGCTCTCCCCGAATGGCGCGTCTGGATTCGGGATCCTGCACTGCTCGACTCAAGACGGAAATATGACTCGTGAGAGAGATAGATATCTATACTAGAGAAGAGGAACAGGACTCGATCTGATGATAATTCTGCCGCGTCTCCTCATCCAAGCCTTCTCTGAGCATCATCATCATCTATTCTTGTCTTGTACATCAACTTTCAACTCAGGAGCGGCAACTACTCGAGCACAGTCAGCATTCCGGGAACTCCCACCCTTCCGCCCCTTTTGGTCTTGCTCATCTAATTCACCGTCTCCACACGAGTCCAGAGTCTTTGCACGCCACACAAGTCACATTACGATAGAGTCCATGTAATCAAGTCAAGGCCGAAAGCCGTAGCCATTTCCTTTACATACAATGATGATCAGAAAACTGAATGCCGTGCATCGAGGGCATCGTGCAATTCAGCCAGTGCAAATGTACGCCTTTCTCAGCCCCGTATCCCACATAAAACAACCAACCCCATCTACGCCTCCTGGAAAGCAGCTGGGAAACGCTTGATGTTGTCGGCCAGCTTGCCGTGGTTGCTCAGGAATTGGACGTAGGCACCATCAACCAAGACCTTACCCTCAGCCTTCTTCTCGAGGTACTCCTCGCGGCGGAGAGGGGTGAAGCCCCAGTTCTTGGAGATAATGATCTTTTGGCGTCCAGGGAACTTGTATTGTGAGCGGCGGAGAGCCTCGAGAGCGGTAGCACGGTCTGCTGCTGTGTTAGTGCCGAGAAGATTTATCGACGGACATCGAAATGGGGGTACGTACGGGCATCACGAGTTCGGACACTCAGGATGATCTGACCGATGTTGACACGGGCAACGGATCCGTTGGGCTTACCCCAAGCACCACGCATTCCAGTCTGAAGTCTATCGGCACCGGCGCAAGACAACATCTTGTTGATGCGGACGACGTGGTATGGGTGGGCACGGACACGGAGATGGAAACCTTCCTTTCCGGCGATCTTGACCAAGTACCTGTAGAACAAGACATTAGTCTCTGTGTAGACTAATTTGAGAATATCCGACTGCTGTGACGTCTCTCCACCGCTTCATCGTCTTCCAGATGTAACCCGCCAAACTATCCAGGGGAGACTCACTTGTTGGCGCAGATACGGGCGGCTTCGAGAGCCTCAGAGCTCAGTTGCTCATATTCGTTGGAGACCAAGTGGACGCAGAGGGGGAACTCGTCGACGTTCGCACGCTTTCGGCCAAGATCGAAGATGCGGATCTTGGGGTCAGGGACACCACGGTTAAACCGAGACTTTGGGTACGGCTAGAACGAGAGGAAGTCAGTACTTGCTGCTTTCAAGATATTGACATCCACGAGCATCCCAGGTCTTCGCATCCTCCGTGAATGCTCAGACAGCCAATGTGGCGACCGGGAATCAAGGACTCATTTCTGCCTCCGAAGGTTCATCGCGACGTGGAGAGGCCAACGCACCTTGTTCTTGCAGTAACGGTAACATCTCGCTGGGCGGCGGGCCATCTTGAATGATTTCTAGGTGGACTTTGATGGTTGTTGATGAGAGGATGGCGGTGGGAAGTCAAAACCTCTTGTCGATATTCGCCTTGGCGCCAGTTTGGATTTCCAAGCAGGTTTCGGCGCTAAGCCTTCGCTAAACTGGCCAACCCTATCGCCCACAACAGCCATTTTTTATTAATTTTTTGAAATGGGCCGGAGAAAATAAGGATAAGGGCCAAGAGTGCGACAGTGAGAGCATGAGCGTGAGCCTTTGAAAGCGACGTTTAAGCAAAATTTATGGCGGCTATCAATCCATTTCTCATTAATTGAGTAAGTCTGCTGTTCAAAGGCTTGGATCACAACATTGCCACAAGATAAGAGAACAGCAGAGAATTCAGGGTCTTGAACTCTTGGATTCAACCTCCCGGAGAATGGAATGTTCCTCTATTTACCTTCATGTCAAACCAATGCCTTCCAATCCTTTCAGACGTTTTTCTCAAGTCCATCGCCGTGTAAGGTACCCATTTGAAGCGGTTTGGCCTAGAACAGGAGGTATCATTCGCTAAGGTATGCTATAATCGTCGACCATGCGAAAAGTCGACAAACCTGAGGTAGGTCGACGATTACTATACTATACAGCCATGAAGAATATTGCCCATCCCATAGCCCCGGGACTATCTCATTCCATCCCATCAAGTGCGCTAAGTAGAATGCACTTAAGCAATCTCTCCGCTCAACAGGTCCGAGTCACCCTCATCAAGGACAGCGATGGTCGAGCACCGGAAGAGTTTACCACAAGCAGTTCCGAGCTCAATCTGTAGAATCGTAAGTAAGGGACCCTCCAAAGTCTTGACGACTTTTTCGCTGGGTGATATGATCCAGAGACTGAGGCCAAGCTGTGGTCGCAGCTTGACCTCAGCCTCTGTACTGCTCAGTCTAAAGGACGAGAGCTTAAGGATGTAGTGTATTTGTCCCTTGAGACCGGATGGTCTTCGGGCGGGCATAGCAATGATATGACGGTCTTAGACAAAGATGTGGTAGGTACTTACGTTGTTACCGGCGAAGTGGTGGACCTGGGTCTTGGAAAGCATGGAGTAGTCTGGAAGGGTCAGTCTTCATCTGTGTGCCTGAGACATGGAGGACAACGTACACTCAAGCTCACTCTTGCGGAGAGGAGGGGTGTTGCCAGCAATGATGACGAGCTTGGCCTTTCCAGATCGGAGGGTCTTGAGGGTGGACTTGTATCCAAGGGTGACCTTTCCAGACTTCATCACAAGCGCAAGGCGCGAGTTGATGCTGTCAGCTGCAGAGGGGTCAGCGGCAGTGCAGAAGAGACAGAGGAGGGGAAGACAAACTGGTCTTCTTGGTCTTCTTGGTAGGTGCCATCGTTGCTGGATTCAAGGTCTGAGTCTGGATCGGATCTTGAATGTGGTGTTTCAATTGATGCTCCGGCTTCTGTTGTGGTGTTGTGTGCGCAGCCAGACGAGAAGAAAGATTTTAGAAAGTTCGCAGGGTTGCGCTAAGGCACCCGACCTAGATAGGGATGGTGCACGGCTGATCTTCGGGATTTGAGAACGTTCAGTCACATGACTCCTGGCCACGTGAGCACATTCCGTCCAGCCTTGGGACACGTCGTGTCAACGTTTCAACGGGCAGAATCCTGGGCATCATGAAACCATCTGATATACAACGTCGAGGGGCGCATATTTATCTGTTCTGCAGGAATATCATCTATATGATATTATAATAACCCTTAGCAAACTACCTATACCTGATCATATAAACCCCCTAATATATAGGTAGGTAGGTAATCTTGCCTCGCCCCCTTTTGAGTTGCTCGAGAGCGCTCGCTGCAATTCTCTCTCTCCATCCATGACCTCGGTGTCGGAAGGCGCATGAAACAAGAGATCACCATATCAAACTCCCTGTCCTCTACTGTGGTTTGAGATGTTGCATAATAATTACGATTATTTAATCCATTTTTTGGTGGTGACTGGGGCCGGTAGCTAATCTCCACGGACTTGATATCAACATGCCAACCATGAGAACGCCATCATATCCACCCTTCGAATCGTCTGTCGTGAAGAACATCAAGAAAAATATCTCCAGAGTTGGCTGCGTAGATATTCATCCTACCTCAGGACTTTTACAAGCAGCTGAAGCAGTCTCTTCTCATACTCGAGGCGCAGTTGGACGTGTTTCTATTATTACACATCTGTTATTTATTATTTTTCTTATTTACAGCGCATCTCCCGCGTGGCCCTCCAGTCGCTGTCCAGTACGAAGTGACGGTCCACAACACAACAACATTCTTTGCTTAATCCCCTAATCCTTCGTACAAACCCCTTTTGCTTGCTACTCTATATCCTATACCCGATACACGATCCGCGATGTCTGCAGCGACGAAGAAGCCCCCAGCGGGATCCGGCCATGCACGAACACCCTCCTTAGTAGACCGAAACTCGACTACTTCGCCGCCATCGAGAGGTTCTGCGCGGTCCCCAGCATCTGCAGCATCAACCGCAGCAACTGCGAATGGGCTCGGACGAACACGCTCATTGAGAGGGAGCCCTTTACCTGCGCGCGCAGTGCAACGACCAGGCGCCGGCGCTTCGAATCTCAGCTCCAGCAGCACTGCCTCGAGCGCCGACGACGACGCTCGAGCCCAAACCGTCGCACTCTTAGATGATTTGAAGGAACGTCTTCACAAGACCGAGACAGAGTCTGAACAATTCCAGAAACAGGCCCAGGTCCTACAACTGAGGTTGGATGAGGCTCTGAGCGAGCAGGGCAGATTGGAAGATAGGCTGCACGAGAGCGAGGAGAGATTGGAGGCTTTAGAAAATGACAAGAGAGATGCTCTTAGACAGAAGCGCGAGATGGAGGCGATATACGAGGCAGAGAGGAGTGCCATGACCAAGGAAAGGGAGGAGATGGCGAACCGGGAGGAAGAGATGCAGGCCATCATCCAGCGGTTGAAGGATTCCCTGAATCAGAGGTCCAACACGGACGAGGAAAGTAGATTATCGAGGCGCTGTAAGTTGGTTCCATGTCCCAATGAATCAAAATACTGATATATTTAAGCAAATAATTCTTCCCCAAGCGTGGAAGGCCAATTCGCCCCTCCGTCTGGCCTGAATCGCAGCGACTCGAAAAACAACTCCAAATTACTCCTACAAAAGGACAGACTGATCGAATCCTTGCGACTGGAGTTAGCAGAGGCGCAGATAAAGCTTGTCGAAACGGAGAACATGGGTGGTGGGAGAATGCAGGAGGTTGAGAGATTACTCCTGGAAGCACGTATGTCGAATGCAAAGTTGATGGAAGACAACGAGAGCTATCAGTTGCTCCTATCGCAGAAAACCTTGACCGGAGATTTTACAAACATCGACTTTATGGGCCCTGCCGCCCATGCCGATACCCTAAATGCTCTCGAAGGAAGACCGATGGGGACGAGTCTTGCAGATGAGCTCTCCGAAGCAGCAGAAGGAGAAAGCGACAACTACAGACGTCTAGAATCCGAATTGAAATCTCAGAAGGACCAAAACAAGGCCCTAACATTATACATCAACAAGATCATCGAGCGCCTACTCCAGCACCAAGACTTTGAAGCTATCCTCGACCAGTCGGCCGACTTCAATCCCTCCAATAACAACAAGGAACTTCCGCCACCACCGCCTCCAAAAGAATCAAGCGGGGGCATCATCCAAAGCGCAAAGTCCGCCATGGGTGTCACCCGCCGTCCACGTCCCCAATCCCAAATGCCGGCGACGCATTCAGCACTTACGGATCCTGAAACTGCGCCCAGTATCCCCTTTGGCCTTGGGCGCTCTGCAAGTATTCGTGCCCGTCCAAGGAGCGAACAATATACAGCTGGCGCCGCCAGTGTCGTAAACCAAATGTACAAAGGCGGCGGCCCAATCTCCCCTACGCTGCACGGCCCCCAGACACCGCGAGGCTCACAATCCTTCTTCGCGCCCTCGACTGCGGGCACCAACCCCAACGCGGCGCACCGCGTCCCGTCTACGGGCCAAGTATCGGGTAACTTCCCAGGCATGAAGAGCGAGTCGTCTTCCATCAGCGGGGACTCAGGGGAGGTCAGTACGCCTCCGAATGTGAGCCCTCCAAGGGGCCAGGAACGGACGGAAAAAACAACGACTTTTGCAGGGAACAAACCAAGACCGTTGAAGTTAGTGGATAGCGCTCGTAAGGCCAGTGATGATGCAACAAACAAGAGGGCGAGCTGGATGGGCTGGGCATTTGGAGGAAAGAAAGAAGAGGTCGCGATTGCGGATAGTGGCATTCCCGAATAAATCTCCTAGCTTACGAGGGGATGATTGGGAGGATCGGTATGTATGACTTGGATAATTTGGATACGGGGTTATGGACTAATAGACATCACCTCTCCTTTGTTGGTTGGATACGGCATTCTCGATAAGAGGCGTTACGCTGAATTCAACACTCTAAAGACCATAACGAGGACGGCGAAACGGATGAGATACGCTGGCGCAGGACTTGGTACCACGCATTCGGGATTGTCGATGTTCGAGTTTCAAACTAATAATTCTTTTATATAAATTTGAAAAGCTAGTAGAGCTCCTCACAGTGATCAAAGTGTAGGCCTCTGTAGGTAGCTTAGGATTCTCTTTTAACCTAATTCTTTCTACTACAATGCCGTCTTCACGAACAGACCCAAGGAGAAAGGTAAAAGTACTGTATGATCCCTTCATGCCATCCTGTGTTATATAGGTGATGGCATCGTAGACAAATCGGTCTTAAGATCCGTTTCTCCCCACGGCGGCCAAGACCAGAATCAATCAAGTTCTCCAAATTATAGCATGAATTCAAATCCATCTACCATAAATATCAAGATTATCCAAACATTGACTCCTTACTACTCTCTACATCCTTAGAGAGAGCCATATCACACTATCCCACACTGCACATCGACCCCCGCACCCCTCTAAATCTCCCCATCATCACACAATAGCCCAATCCATATCCGGCTCCATAAGCGCCCCTGACATATACGCATCCATCTCCTCTAAAACCTGGTTATCAACGTTATCCTGCATAGTTTTATCTTCCTCCCCACGCCCATCTTGCATATCCGAGTCCTCACTCTCCGACGAATCATCATCTTCTTCTTGCTCTTTTATCATACTTTCTTCCTCCCTCTTTACACTCTCTTTGATATTCTCGGGTATGGGATGTATCACCCGCGCGATTCCAACAGGACCATGTCTAAACACCCCGGAAAAACGAATCAGCTCTTTCCACGAATCTACACGTCATACAGGGAGAGAGGGGGGAGAGAGAGATTCTACTTACACGATATACGTCCCCTCAGCCGCAAACTTGGCGATCAAATCCTCCATATCACAAGCATGGATATGGAAGGGTTCGTGACGATAGCGATTCATGATGCGTCGTAGCGTGTCGTGGTCTACATCGCGGAACTCGCGCATGTGCGTGTACAGGCCGGTGAGGAAGTTGGGGTCGGTCCAGGCGGTGGTGAAGGAGTCGATGTCGTCGGCCGAGGGGAGGGCGCGGGGTGGTGGGGGGAGGTAAGCCTGCTGCTTGTTGGGGGGCCAGCTGTGGGGGATTCGGGTGACTAGACCGAACCAGTTGTTGGGTTTGGTTGTCCATCTGTTTGGGTGTGTTAGACGGCCTCTTCGAGGTGATGGGATTTACTTGGTTTGTACTGAGGGGGATGGAGGAAAAGGTACGTACCTGAAATATTCCCCTTTATGATTCGCAGTCCTGAGGAAAGCCCTCCACTCAGTGGGAGAAATGTCAAGTCCGCCTCTATTCAAGATATATCTATAGAGTGTCGGTTCTGGAATTTCAAAGGTCAAGGAATCCAAAGCCAACTCCAGCGGTCCTCTATTATTTAACAGATAATTAAGGATCTCCGTCCAGCGGGGGCAATCCGGAATCCCCTCATCTTCTACCTGCACACCTTGAGCTTCCGTCCCGGGATCCTTCGGCTGATTGGGAGGTACAGCTAATGGTTCAGTTTCGCTTCCCGTGGCGATTGAGTAGAAGATCAACAGGGCTTGACTTCGTCTTTTATTCTCAAATTCCCAGCCTGCTTTCTCGCTCTCCGTCATTCCATCATGGATAACGTGCTGGGTGAGATTTTCCTCTATCCTCATCGCTGGTTGCAGAATGATCTGATAGTTCTCCGGCGCCTCACGATCCTCGGCCAGCAGGCGCATACCTACCGACAAAGGACCGAACTGCGTCGCCCTCGCTCCCATAGCACGCACCGAGCGGTCCCAGAATTCGGATTGGAACAGGTTGGTCTGATATGTGACGGGCACGGGCCAGTAGTCAAAGCAGTAGTAAGGATCTGGCTCTCCTGCAGCGGGTGCTTTGTGTGCTAGGACGATGGGCTTGTAGAGGTTACGCTCGCTCTTCTGCGTGAACCATTTGGTAGCCAGGATTCCCATGTTAGGAAGACCTGGGCCGCCTTGCCACATGTTGGAGCTGACGATGTCTCGTCCGTAGCCGCCCCAGAGCTGGGAACTGTTAGTTTTGGGGAACTGGAGGAACGTTGTCGGTTTGGGGGGTTTTACCTTGTCTTCTAATGACCAGCCAAGTTCAAATAGGGGCTCATCTTCAAAATATGGCTCTGTAGGCCCGATATTAGGGAGCAATTCTGCCATCGTATCCCAGACTGCGTGCTATAGGAATTATCAGTACAGGAGATTGCTCTATTAAAAGTCAAGAGCTTGGTGAAGGGTAGACATACTGCACATTCGTGAATGAGGGTAGTAGCAACTCTGAAACAGTTCGTTATACTAATCTATATCAGCCACCACAGTTGAAGACTTGAGGAAAAATATTGGACATACCGTTCCGCATCAGTGAGATCTCTTCTCAAAAGTGGCTGCAGAATCTCTACCCCCAACCATACCTTAGTATATGGGTATATAGAAGCGGGCACAGTCTCCCCATAGTGGATATGATCCTGCTTTAGATCATAAGGCATCCCAGTATCACCCCGTGCATACCCACTATGCAATCCAAACCTGATCTTTTCGGACGCCTCAAGTATCTGCCGTTGCAGCTCCTCCAACGCTTCGGGGTCATTGCGAAGCGCCGGGCCACGTTGGTGGAAACTTAAGAGAAATTGTTTGACCCGGTCTATTGGCTTCCGCGAATTTTCAATGGGCTTGTACTCGCCATTGAAGAGCGCATCCCACCTGCATGTAATCTTGCGATTAGTTCCTGTTTCCGGCAGAACAAGAAGGTTCACGTACCATGGCCAATAAGAAGCATCCACAAGAAGCCTCGACGCGAGCTGTAATGGAGATCTCAGTATCTCCCACACCTCGGGGTTGTCGACCTGTGAGAATTCTTTAGGCCTCTCAATCATCTCATCGTCGGACTAGTAGATAAACATACCTGCCATAGGCCTTCATATCCTCCTAGAAGGGGCAGAAAACTCTGGTGTTTCGGTAATGTGCTTTCGGTATCCCACTTAGTCTTTTCGAACATGGGATGGATGGGATTTTCAAGTGTGCTCAATATCTGGCTCGTATTTAATGCAGCCATGGATTCCATGCGCCCCAATTCTGCAGCTGTGAAACCGAAGTATCGGCGTTGTTGATACTCGCGTAGTCTCCTTTTGATCCACTGATTTGGGGAACGTTGGCCAGGGCTTGAAGGGAAGGGACTCAATGGAGTCAAACCGCTCTTCCCTGTGTTCTTCAGAATTTTGTGGTTCAGTTTACCAGACTTTCCGACGGGATGACCGTACTTTTTAGCAAGAGTCGTGAATGGTGTTGGCTTTTTCTCCTGGACTGAGAGAGAAGCCATGCTGGAAAGCTGCTTAGACGGATCCTCCATCTTGTCTCTACTAAAAGACTGTGAGCAGGTTTTGGTTCTACGCTATACATATAGACAGCGCCAAAATCCCATTCAGAGAAATCTGACCGACAGTTCCGCTGTTAGAATTTATTAAAACAATTCTCTTTGTCCGTTTGCAAATCTCAAGAAAAAACGGATCATATAACAGGGCACGACAATAGATCTCTTAGCGCACTGCGCTTTCACCAATCTGAAATAAAGAAAAGCAACAATCCAAACTGCCGCATTCAGCCTCTTGGCGAAAACGTTGCCCTGCAAGTAATGCAGTCTTGTACAGTCTAGCCTAGAACTCTCATGTCCCGATTTGGGCTTCACCGGACTGTAGAATTATTCTGAGGGGATCTAGGAGGCAGATGCTTTCATTTAACAAACCATGACCAAGCTTGAGACATGAAATCCAACCAATACTCGAAAGATTGCAAGATTCATCACGCGCAAGCAAGATTAGACATTCCTAAATGAATATCTTCTTTCTCATCAGAGTATCTATACTGCGTGAACTAGCGCTCTTCGACAGAGTAGCCCTCAATATCCTCTCAGTTAGGGGGCTGAGTTGACTTCGCAGAATAGTGAGCTCTGTTCCGATACCTCTGCTGACCAAGAGGCCCGATCTAAGAGCAATTATCTTACATCCCAATGCAACGAGCCATAATTATATTACCATATTACTCCAGTTTTTGTACCACGATGTTCAGAATCTCCTCCAAGTTCTTTGTCGCATTTTTTGGATCCTTCGCTACGCTCTGCCATACCTCACCGTGTCTCGGCTCATTAAGAATGCATTTTGCCACGACATCTGCTCGTTTTTCCTGTACACATATGTTAGTCTCGGTTTTCCGCGTCTGGGCCATTCCCCGAGAGTGTTGGAGACTTACTTCTGTTCCATGTTGAAGCAAAAACTTGTAGTACCAAGCCCATGCATCCCCAAGATCGCTGTCCACCATAATGGCCTTTTCGAACCAATTCTGCGCCTTCTCTAATCTTCGCTCTCCCCAGAAAATACGCGCGATGGTGACAAAGAGAATTGGATCGTTGTCGACTTTCTTGATGGCTTCCAAAGCGCGAGGTTTGCGTTGTGTTCTTGGCTCGAGATTCCAGATCGACTCGCTGTAAAGCAGACCGCTGGTTGGCACTTCTTGTAAAGCCTTCGCCATCAGAACCTTTGCTTGGGCGATGTTGTTCGCTCGTCTTTCAACCCGGACAGACTCAGTCCAGAGCTCAGGGGACTTAGGGACTGCTAATCGTGCTCGGTCGAGGACACTGCGTGCTTTGACGATCATACCAGCCTTCTCCTCGAGCCTTGAGTAGAGCAACCAGAGCGGAACGGATTTTGGACAAGCTTTGGTTCCTGTGCTGTATGCTTCCCGAGCCTGTGGTAACTTTCCCTCGCCCTCGTAGATTTGTCCCTTCATCATCCACAATTTTGCAGCGCCAGGGAAGAGCTGCAGAGCTTGATTAACAAGATCAAGGGCAGCCTCGACATTGCCTAGTTGACGTTCAAAAGCAACACTCTTCGTCCAGACACGATCGGTGGGAGCTTCTTGCCGCGCAGTCTTCAAAAGCTCTCTCGCCTGCTCTGTTTGCTGATTCTCTGCTTCCAATTTCACCGCGGCAAGCCAAATATCTTCATTATTCGGGTTCTGATTGAACGCCCTACCCAAGACTCGTCTTGCATTGTCGATCTCTCCTGCTTGCCACTTCTCTTTCGCTAGCATCATCCATAATACCTCAGCCTGGGGGCATGCCTCGACTGCTTTCTCCAAGAGCTGCCACAATGCCTCTCTAGTACCGTGATTCTTCTCCAGATCCGCCGCTGCCAGCCACAATTTTTTGCTGTTAACAAAGACTCGGAGAGCATAAGCGTAGATTGCCCGGGCTGTTTCGTACTTTCCACGCCCGATACTCGATTTGGCATCCTCTAGCCATTGGTCTTTTCGATCGTCGTCCTCATCCAAGCCCCAACCAAGAGTCTCGCGAATGATGTTTCCACAAGTCAGGATAGCTCCCTCCTCCTCACATTTCTCTGCTTCTGTGATCCAGTCCTCCCGTTTTAACATGGCGGATTCCTTAGCAAGGGCTTGGACGGCTCGCTTCATCACATTGACCTTATTTGCATTACCCATCTGTTCTTGAAGTCGTGCTGCTGCAATCCAAATCTCGTGAGATGTCGGAATAGCTTTTCGAGCCTTGTTGAGAACCTTTTGCGCATTTTCCGAGGTCTCCAACCGTGCGAGTGCCAACCACAACTCGACCGAAAGGGGGATAAGCTCGGTGGCCTTGGCCAGGAGAAGTTTGGCATCCTCTGGGTCTTCTTCGAGATTAACCGCCTCCTTCCAGAGAGAGACAGACTGTGGGATATGATCCAATGCATGTCTCAAAACTCTCTTTTTGGCTCTCGGATCCGACTCCAATTTCATAGCCTCGATCCAGAGACGGACAGAGTGGTCGTTGGCCTTGATCGCATTCGCTGCAATAATTTTGGCGTTGTGATTGTCGTTCAGGCGTATGTTTTCCAGCCAAGCATCTTCACTCTTTGGACAGAACTCACATCCCCTTGCAATCAAATTTCTAGCGGCCACGGTCTTGCCTGCTAGTTCTTCAAGTCGTGCAGCAGCAATCCACCCAGGCGCGTGCTTCGGATTGGTCCTAATGACAGATTCCAGGAGAACCCGTACTCGCTTTATATCACCAACTTGCGCCTCCCCCTCGCTAATTTGCGATTTCGCAAGACTGGTGAGGTAACCCTTGGGGTCGATATTTGTTGCACTGCCAGCGACCGAATCAGTGCCTTGAGAAGCCTGATCAAGTTTGACCTTGAGGACTTTGTCTCTGGCAGCACCAATCTGCGCAAAGTTTGTCATGGTCCCGTCCAAGCCATCCCCTCCAGAAGTCGCCGTACCGTCATCTGCAACAGTTGTTCCTAGTTCTGTCGAGTCTCGTGCTGAAGCAATGACGCTATCTGGTACGGCATAGAACCTCTGTCTCATTGCCTGCTTGGCTCTCCGGTTCTTCCCCGTCAGATCTCCCACCTCTGGCAGATTCGCCCAGTCCTCATCGCTCACGGTACTCAGCGCTCTTTTTAGATCTGCAAACTGCTGTTGGATCTTGGGATTATTCCGCTCGTACTCTTCTCGTTCTGCTTTCTCGCGTGCTTCCCTGTAGGTAGAAAGGTCGGTAATCTGCTCATCTACTTGGGTATTTGATAAACCATCTGCATTGAAGACGTAAAGGGATTGGAAGAAAAGGGGAGACCAACCTTCTTGCTTTGCGCCTCCGATCCATCTTCTCGTCTACCTCCTGATATATGCGATCCGCCTCGTCATCGTCCTTGTCGTATGCGCCACCTGCGAACAGTCCCACCTCGTTCTCCGGGTCTTGGAACCGCTCGTCATCTTCGTCTTCATCTTTCTTCTCGGGGATTCCATAAGCTGTAGGTGCGGCAGACCCTAGAGCAGCGGCGCGCTTTGCGAGGGCTTCTTTGATCTGGTCCTCACTTGGACCTTCGCGCGCGGGGCCGAGATCTGATCGGGTTGTAAAACCTGTAGCCCCACGACCAAGACCGGCAACATAATTCTCTGGTGCCGGCTGGTTAAGAAAGTCGCGTCGACCGGACATAGCTGCTGCGGAAGTTGCTCGATGGATGAGGATAGAGAAGGATTGTCTCGAGGAAGTGGTGTCGAGGCCGAAAAGAAAGCAAGCTTGACGAGGCTGAGTCACGTGCCCCGACCTCTGTCGGCCTGACCTTGCCATCTTTTCCGTACATCATCTATGCAGCGTACATTGATGCGCTTACCAAAGCTCTCTACGATGCAGAATACAGCGAAAGTAAAGGCCACAGTGGGTAATCCACTGCAGCTGGGGCAGAATAGCGATGGCATGCTGCACCCATTTGGTTCCTACTTTTGTCTCCCTTCTCGCCTCTATGGTCCCACGGCCAGGACAGTTATTGGACCTGACTGACCGATGACAATTATACAAGACAGGCCTTTTTTGGCTTGATCTTCAATCTTGCGGCCAAAATCGAAGAACTCATCATTCAGGAAATATGGCGGAGAACATGTTTGCTCATTATCTCTCCTCTTTTGCTAATTATAGCCTGAAGGCTTCACTGATAGATATCCTGCTCTACTTTACAGCAGAAGTGCGCAGTTACATGCTGCATTCTCCTTCCCTTTCTTCCCTCCTTCCAGCCAGGGTCCATTCAGGTAAGTAGAAAGACTCTGAATAGGGACAATCCCCAGAAGCATCCGGTTCCATCCATCACAGTTGAATACATCAGCCCAACTGTGCCGTGCTCACAGCTTCACATTGACCCATTCGTTCTTCCAGGCCACACCACTTCGGATGAAGAGCTGGCTCAGGGGACATCTTCGCTCTGTCTCGTCGCGGAAGAGCTCAAACTTGGCAGGATCAGCGTCCGTCTCGACCTTGATCTTGAGCTCAATGCTATCCCAGTTCCCATGGCCCTCCTTGGACCCCTTAATCAGGACCGCGCTGTCCAACTCCCCCTTCACCTCGACCTCCCACTTCCCAAGCTTGATTCCCAGGTCCCGCGCCACGAGCCCGCCCGTCACCTGGTTGCATCCTGCTAGGCCCGCAAGCGAGTAGGAAAGAGGTGATGGGGCCGTCTCTGTACCGCCCAGAGTCTTGTAGGTATCGGTTACAATCGTGTATGGTGGCGAGGCGATGGTCTGAGCAAGACCCGTACCGGAACCGCGGACCTCGATGGATAATGTGCTGTTTGCGCGAGAGCCAATGCGAGCCGCCTGGGAGGCCGACGCAAGAGACAATGGGCCTTGGCGGAGAAGGCTACGGGAAACACGGGCGAACATTGTGAAGGTAAGGTAGGCAAGATATCCTTTCGCGGGGTTTTATCAAGAAACCTGGGGTAAACAATATGGATGGATTATATGACACGGCAGTGTTCCCTCGACGGAAAATATAACAGTCAGTTGTAGCAGAATAAAGCCTAAATGCTTGAGCTATATACTTAGAAAAAGAGCACAATCACCTAATGTGGACATGAAATGGCACCATCGAGCCTTGCGGCATTCCGGGCTTTGGAAGTTTCGCAACGATGTTTTTTTGATTATCGATTTTCCCCTTTTTCCGTACGACCGAGGCCTCAGGAACGTTGCGCCACAGTAATGTACCTTAAGGTACACTTTGAAGAACTTGCCACCATCTTACACTCCAGCGCTGTATGCCCTTAATATTTACTCGCAGCATGAAACTTTACAAGAGAGAAAAAATGACAGGATCACGATTGGTATTTCATTGCTTAAGCGATTTCAATAAACCGTTGATCTTGTTGGTTTCTGGGTGATGCCTTATTATACCCGGATCGCGCGAGATGTTCAACAACTCACTCGATCACTCATCCTTCGATTGGTCTTCACTAAGGTAAGGTACCTAGGTACCTACCTGGTACCTTACTTTGCATACGTTCTAGGTACGTAGGTAGCTACTAGCATGTAAGTTAAGGGGAATACTCTAATAAACCGTGGCCTAAACCGAGTGGCCGTGGGGTTTTCTCTACCCACCTAGGACCTACCTAGGTACAGTCCATCGCTGTTTGATATTACATTAGCACAAAAAGAGGAAGGGGGATTAGCTATTCATAGTATCATTGACAGGCTGTCACTGCTTTCCTCGTTGTGCGGAGTAAGGTACCTTAAGGTACCTAGTTCTTAGCATCACTTAGTATCGTCCCGAGTTGAGGCTTCAAAACACCTTTATCAAGGGTAATCATGTGTCTATTTGGGTATTTCATAATCAAACAACATCCCAAGCCTACACAAAGCCAAATTTCAACTCATAAAGTTCATAACGGCGTAACTCGTCCTGTCTACCTATGCATCTTGGTTCCCTCACCAATGGAAATTCATAACCCGACCTCCTTGTCTATCCATCAAATACCGCAGTTAAAGGGGTTAGAAGCGAAACGAAGAAAGGAAAATGGCTGCAAAACCGCTTGTTTCCAGTCCCGGAATGGCATCTTAAATGGACAAAAAGAAAAAGGAAAAGAGGAAAGGAAAATCATGTACATGTACCATCTCAACCACGTCTTCGTCTCCTCTCCCTATCATCCCCATCCCCAGACCCGCTAGCTTCGTCAAAGAAGCCTCTTAGCAGATCCTTCCAGCTTTTACGGCCATCCACCACATCTGAGAAATCCCTCGCTATCCTCTCGACCATCTCATGTTGACTCCCACTAGCACTTCTAGGGTGTGATCTATCTATGGGTCTCCCATCGCGATCAAACCGCGGCGGTAATTCTTCCACTTCGCTCGAGGAGTCAGGAGATGGACTTCGAGAGAGGTTGTGGTATCTTCGGCGATGTTTAGATGGCTGGTTCGGGCGGTCCGAGGAAGGGTCTGAGTTACCCCGCCGGTGACGACGACGGTGGCGATGCCTGGATGGGGAGGGTGATGAGAGGTCTTCGTCGGATTCATCTTCGCCCCAGAAAGAGTGACGTTGGTAGGTGCTTTCGGGCTCCTTCTTGGCGGTAGACTTTCGATGAATCTTGGCGAGACGAGCAGAAGACGTAGGGGATAAGGGGGCGAAATTCACGGATTTGTTGGGGTGCTGATAGGGAGAGGAACGGGGGGAGATCGACGGAGTAGAGGGGGGTGTGTCGACATCAGATAATGGGGAGTCGGAATGGGCTACATGTGCTGTTTTAATGTCAGCTTTTAGTTATTGCTGTTTGCAGCGAATTGACTGGTCCGACAAAAGGGAGAGGCATGGCGAAACGGAAACAAGGAAGGATAGAGGGCCCGATTAGAGAAAAAGAAAGGATCGCGCACCACCGTCACGCAAATGCTCATTTGGGACAATCGGCGCCGTAGGCGGGGGAGGGAAATACGGCACATTCGCACTCGCCGCTGGTGGTACAGGAGGCACGCTACTCACATTGTCACCTGTTCTCGGGGCTGGGTAAGCATACGGGTCGTGCGCCGCGTAATCTTGAGGGTTATAGGGCGGGATTGTGGTCTCGGGTGGCGGATGCGCTGAGGGTTGTGTGGGATGTGGTGTGTAGCCTCCCGTGGGTGGAGCGTATCCTCCCGCTGGCGGGGCATAGCTTCCCGCGGTTGGGGCAGCCTCTCCCGTCGGCGGAGGGGGGAAGTCGGCGGGATTTGCATAATAGGAGCCGCCACTCGCGTGGGGCGGGGAAGGAGGGTATTCATCGTCGTGGGGATCATGAGCATAGTAGTTTTCTGGAGGTGCCTCTTCCTCGTATCCTGGAGTTACTGTTAGAACCTCGACTCTAGACAGACGACGGGGAATGTGGACAAAGAAAACGTGCTGGCTCCAATCTGAATTATTCGGGGATCAACTTTGAGAATCTCCTTCTTGCTCAATGAACTTTGAATAGATTCCGATTGAGACCGGGTGCATAGGGTTAGGAATCCTTACGTCTTCGCTCACGTTCACGCTCTGCTTCCTTCCTCTGTCTCCTCTTCCTATACTCGTGTACACCCATTGCAGCAGCGCCCGTAGCCGCTGCCGCACCAGCAATATTCCTAACTTGACTTCTGCTTCGAGAACGACCTCCTCCATCGTCTGAACTTGAGGAATCTCTTCGATGGCGACCCCTGCTTCGTGATCTCGTAGCTCCGTAACCAGCACCGCCGGCAGCCATAGCAGGATCGTAGCCATAAGCTGGATTGTAGACGTTCGTTTGGTGCGTGTGAACCGGGTCCGCCCCATATTGCACCATCCCCAGCTCGGGGTCGACTTCGGGATCAGAATATGAAGATGGCGACATGGCTCTCGACCTGTCTCTCCTCCGCGCAGCTCTGCGTTCCTCCTTTCTCTCTTTCTTCAAGCGTTCTTCCTCTGCTTCTTGCTCACGCTTTGCCTTGCGATTCTCGTATAGACCCGCTACAGCTGCCCCTGCCAGACCTGCACCTGCGATTTCAGCACCGGTCCTTATCCGTGATTTAGATCTCTCTCCACTACGCTTGCGCGACTTGTTTCGGAAATGTTCAACGACGCCAGTTATTGCTGCGGTAGCCACACCAGCTTTAGCCATCTGTGCAGCACGATGCCTTGAGGATTGCCGGCTCTTGCTAACTGCACGATCAGAATCGGAAGAGTAGCTACCAGACCCACGACGCCTTGAGATACTGCGAGTCCGACTGCGGCCTCTCGACATCTCCTCCCTGTCTGCCTTGCGATTCTGGGCGTATTTGACAGCGGCAGCAGCAGCAATACCGGCAACAGCCAGTCCAAGAGCGGTCTTCATAACAGGGTGTCTGCTCTTTGACCGTGACCGTGACCGTGACCGCGACCTCGATCGGCTTCCATCCTCCCTGCTTTCGCGATACCGACTCCGTGCTCTCGTAAGGACTTCTGCACCGATGGCGCCAAGTGCCGCTCCTCCAACAACGGATCTGGCACGGTGTCTTGATGGATTTCCCGTTTTGGATCTGTGATTTGCCAATATTGCCGCAGCGCCGGCACCAGCTAGGGCCCCTTCGGCAAGATGCCTCTTGTGATGTGGGCTATGGCTTCGACTACGCTCTCTCCTGATGATCTTCTTTTTCACAACGACGTCATCATCACTGTATGCACCATCACTGGGCGTTCTGCGACCTCTGCGGTCATAAGCGGCTATTGCCATATCATCCTCTCTCCTGTGGGGTCCGACTTCCCGGACATCACGGCGATAGTAGTACTCATCATCTCTTCTAGGCTCTGGTCGAGCAACCTCTTGTACCTCAGTACGGCGGGCAATCTCGAAGCCCTTCTCTTCACGAGGGATGATAATAGGTGGTGGAGGAGCGGCTTCTTGCACGATGATCTTCTGCGGCTCCGGCGCCCGTTGACGGATGATGATGGGTTGCGGGGTAGGTTCAGGGCGATCATAGTATTCGGTCTCTCTCTGATATCTCTCCACCTCGTATGGTTCTTCGCGGCGCTCTCTTTTCTCAATCCTGACATCAGTCTCCCTAACGTCCCGTTCCGAGTCCCACGGTCTACGGTCGCGGTCGCGGTCGCGGTCCCAATACTCCGATTCGCGCGGGCGATCCCGTTCCCGCTCGTAGTCATAAACTACTGTTCTGGTGTGGTCATGCTCGGGTTCACGCGGCTCGCGCTCAACATATCGCTCGACGATGGTGGATCGTGGGCGGAAGTCGACAGCGGAGCGCGGGCGTTCGGGTTCAGAGAAGCGTTCGACTCGACGATCGACCTCGACGCGCTCCCCTCGAGGTAATTCCAGACGAGTAGTGCGGCGATCGTCTTCGATTTCTTCGACTCTGCTGGGCGTCACACGGTACCGGTGCACTGTGCGATATGAGGAACCGCTGCCGCCGCCATGCCGCGAACGGCCAGAGACTGAACGCTCGTCGTCGGATGAATAGTCTTCGCGATCCCCTCTCCTGGTGGTATAGGTATCGCGCACAACTCTGGTGACTTCGGGCATGATTGGGACCGACGTACGAGGATGGGCGAGAAGGGGTTGCGACGCCCGGTGTGTTGCTGGATGATATCACAGTGGTGTCGGCTCTAGGAGAGATGGTTCGGTGGGTTGAAGTATTGAGAAGATGAGAAGTTAAGTTGAGGCGATGAGGGATTGGAGGGATTGGGGTATTGAGGTGAATGATCAGGATTTTCAGGATGAATGATGATGATTATCAAGGGAGGCGGGGTCGAGGGAGGATTTGTAGGGATCTGGGAGGCAATACTTGGTACCTACTACAACACCCATGTCCTTGTGGACTTGGTAGTGGACAGAAAACAAAGCAACAAGTCCAGCCTCATCTGGCTGATGATTTCCTACTTGATGGATCAAATGCAAGAGATGACTGGCTCTCTCTTCCCTTCTCTTCTCCAAAATTCTGCTTCTCTCTCGTGATGGGTGGGGTCTCACGGCTGGAGGGGCAAAGGACGTCAGACGACGGAATCACTCGGCATAGGAGGAGTTCTCTATACCCCCTGCCTTACTCCGTACAAACCTGAGGGGCGCGCCACGAGTTGCTGAAGAGGCACCGCGCTGCAAAAGGCGAGGTGATGTACTGTACTGTTTTATATTGCATTCCTGGAGCAGAGGATGAAGAGAACAGGATGGCAGGATGGCAGGATGGCAGGATGGCGATGTTGGTGTTGGTGTTGGTGTTGGCTGGTTTGAGACGCGCCGAGGGGGAGGGAACGGATTCATCGATCCTAGATATACCCATATATACCGAGATAGGCATATAAACTCATTATACACGTATATAGGTCGGTATATGCGTCAAATATACGGTATACGGTAGATCCCGTATTTATTCGCTCCGCTTACTCAGCCTCCACAACCTCACGTTTACTCACCTCTCCCCACCACCACTCTTCACTTCAGCCTCGAACCACACATACATCATATACATATACACGCCATCCCCATTTCTACCTACCTATGTTACTTATCATATTTGTGAGACCGTGGAATCCGAGTGGAACCTCCAGTCATACATCTGATCCAGCTACAACCTAGGGGCCTCAGTGAGGCTGGGAACATACCTGGGTAGTATGCGGTCTGCACCTCATGCAACACACCGAGCAGCGTATATTAACATCTTCATTGTTTCTGCCTGAAAACACTACCTAGGAAACTGTGATAATACAGGGCTGGCAAATACAACGCCGTTACTTTTACATATGCTCTCCTCCAGCCATTTCAATAATGCAGAGCTGTCCATGTCCTAACCCCTGTGTACTCGGTGTTCTACCATCCAATGGAGAGCTTCATCCGGGACCTTGCATACCAGAGCGGCCCACAAGGCACCCATAAATCAGCGCTACCTCTCCTTCAGTGGACTGAAGCTCCCTTGTCTCCGGAGCCTTCCTCGTCTTCAGAGCCTTCTTCCTTTCCTTCGTCTGCCTCGCTTCCCTCATCTCCAGAATCTCCATCTCCCTCGGATCCACCATTCTCCGATACAGGTCCTCTCTCTCGATACATCCAGAGAGCGAATCGCATAGCCTCGTTTTCCATGTCCAGATAGTCTGTCACATTGCCTTGCTGATCAAGGTATTTGGCAATCTCGACTTGGGCCTTCAAGTAGAAGTCGGTCCCCAGCGCAGCACTTCCGCACGCCAGGCCGATGTAGAGGTTTGCCACATTATCGCTCACGATGTTGCACATTTCTTTGATGTGGGCAATACTCTCGTCGTCGTACGGACCGTCTTCGACCATGAAAACCCCACCGATAACATCCTCATGGAGCTCAAGTAAGCGTCGGTGGAGTTGTTTCCTTGCTGCTTGTTAGCCTTCTCACTTCGTTGAGGATGAGCGGACACTTACGAGGCTTCATCGGTAGCATAGCTTAAGAACTTGTTCATCTCAGAAAGACCTCCCAGCTCAGGGTTCGCCGGAATAGCCAACGCCGGAGGCCATACCATCTGCCCTAAGGCATTTCTGTTTGCATTGGAATCACTTGGGCCGCCTGTGATATCCTCCAACGACGCCGTATCCCTTTGACTATTCTTGATAGCCTCTCCAGTGCTCTCCATTGCCCGAGCTTCACGAATAGGGATCTCACCGCGGGCGCGCTGGCTTTCTATCTTAGCTCTGGCCATTGTCTTGAAGAGACTCTCCGAGACCTTTCTTGAGCTTGCAACCTTCCTGACTGGACCACGAGGTACAATAGTCGAACTAGTCGAACCATTTTGATATGCGCTATTATCAGTAGGCTGCTGGTCGGGCTGCTGGTCGGTGACCTCCACTGGGAAGCCGGGCAATGTTTGGACAAACGCAATCAGTTCCTGGATGTTCTGCGAAAAAGCATCACTTGCTGCGTCTTCCATACCCAAGTATCTCTTGGTCTTGCCCTTATCTGATAGCTGCGGCTGGTCCATGGTGTGCTTGTCCAATAACTCATCCTCATCCCCAAAGTCACCAACTGTATCGAGAATAGGCTTGCTAGCTTCAGCAAAGGCTCTTGTTCCTGCGAATACAGATGTGCTCGGGGCTTCATCATATTCATCCTCTCTCTCAACAGTCTCTTCAACAAATGTCTCCTTGCCCTTTCCTTTGTCGAGAATAGGATCAATGGCTTCAGCGAAGACACTTGTTCTTGCGAACATGGATGCGCTAGGAGCTCCATCATCTTCGTCGTTCTCAATCGCGTCTTCGACAAATGCTTGCTTGCCCTTTCCTTTGTTCTTCGACGTAACTGTATGGCTCACAAAGCCCGGCGATGATGCAAGTGCTGCTCCTGTGATAGGTTCGGTTGTGTTCCCACCTCCAGTCATCCCCTGTGTTTGTCTCGCATTGCTTCTCGGTGGTGGTACGGACTCTGGTGCTGAAGACGAGCTCGCAGGAGCCTGTGAGTTGAGATCTACATTGCTCGACTGTCCCCTCATATCCGCCGATGTAGTGTCTTTAGCGTCACCATCAAGGCCGTCATACTTCTTGAACCAGTTATCCATGGCCTCCTTACTGATTTCTCCTCTCTCAACTCTTCCAAGGAAATCCTTATAGTGATTCGCCCGATCCTGACGATGCTTTTCTTCGTGTTTATATCCCGCGTACCATCTCTTTCGCTGAGATTTGTTACGCATTTGTTTACACTTCTTTCCCAATCCACTTTCCCAGCCCTAGACCCAGCAGTTGTTAGTATTTTAAATAACGACGGTCCAGTCTTAGGGGAAAATGTGCAACCAAAACTTCCTTACATGTTGATCAAGCTCCTTAAAAGTAGAGTCTTCATCCTCTAAGTACGTGATAATCGCATCTCGTGCATCACACTTAATCATAGAGGTTGCAAGAGCTCTCTCCTTCTCGCAAGAGATTCGGCCCGTATCGTTAAGAGCCTTCTCTCCTGTTCACGTAGGTCAGTTAGTTTGTCTTTGATTTGTGGATAGCGGGTGAAGGCTTACGAGAATCAATATCAGTCTTGACACACTCGATGGCGAGGTCGAGGTCTCCCTGGCACTTGTCTAGACAGACATGGGCATATCCGTGGGTGATCGGATATCCATCACGTCCGCACTTCTTAATCAATTGCTCCACTGATCGATTGTCTGCCGCCCTGTATATCTCTATCAGCGGCCGTCCGTCGATTGTAATCTCCCTGCGACCTCCAAGCATCTCCCGACGGTTTAAGGAAACAAAAGGTAAAGAAGAGGGAATGAGTATACGTACTTGGACTCCTTATCCGTCTTCTTTCTCGCAAATGTGTGGTTACAAGTCACCTTCTTGCACTGATCCGGGCCCGGGCACGAATACTTGTGTTTCTTCTCGCTCTTCTTCGTGCTCTTGTAGTCGTTTCTGAGCGGGCGCGACTCGGGCTTGATCTCACCATCTTGGATTTTCTGCAGTCTCTCCACGGCGGCAAGGATTGCGGCTTGATTCGCGTCCATTATAGGAAAGGGGGGAGGTAGGGGAGGCATTGTGAGGGCCGGGGGTGTGGTGGGTGTGGCGGGTGTGTATGTTGGTGGTGGTGGGGGAAAACTAAATTCTGTAGGACGCGTTTGAGGTATTGTTGAATAAGTGCCGCGCTCAAGTGTCAACGCTTCACCTGCCAACACCGCTCTTTCGAGAGCTAAAAACGACTTCCTCACTAATTAATCCCAAAATCAGCCACGGAGGTCCCCGCGTTATAGAGAAATTCCTTAATATCATACCTGCTGGAGGAAAATCATTCCCGGCCTGTTCCATCTCATCTCGAAGCTCTTTGATCCTTGAAAGGCCGCCCTGGGACGTGTAGATGCGTATCTGCATAGTGGCCTCGGGCTGAGGAAGAACCCGTCTGGAAGAAGGTGAGCTATACATTCCTGATCTTGAAGTTCTTTCCTAGATAGAAGGATGCTGACGAAAGAAGGGGTAGGATTACTTACGGTGCTGCCATAACAGCGGTGCTACAGGAGTCTCCTGAAGGGCGGGGTTGGTTGTGGACTTCAGTCAATGGGATGAGTTGGTAGATATGGAGGTTTGTTTATTTCTGTGGGATGAAGGAGATCAGATCTATTTATATGCGGGCCTGCGATGCATCCACCCTCGAGCGTTAGGGGGACCCCGTGGTGCTCTTCGTGAAGCTATCGATAGAGTTACCCATAGGGGTCTGCGTTGCGTCCATCTGCAGCGATAAGGGTGCCCCGCGGTGTCATACGTGATGGAGGCCATAGACGGACCCCGGGGCATCTTGCGTCAAGTTGACGGGAGACCTCCTGAGGGGTCCGGGTCATAACCATCCTCAACTGCTCAAGGTTCTTAGTCCAATCCTGCATATCAAGAAGATGGCATGGCATCTCTCTGCCTCTTGCTTTCATATACCCAGACTCTCGCTTGAACTCAGAGTTTAGAGATTTGAACTGGTAGTCCTTTCTCCTGTGTAGTGTCTTTTGAAGGCAAAGTGTGTTCCTAAAGGAACACAGACGTTGAGACAGCAGACTCCTTCTTTGTTTGGGGACATATAGTTTGCTTTCTTCTATCCAATATCCTGCAGCTTTTCTTCCCTGTTTCCTCTTTAGGGAAGCTGCATTGATTTGTTATCAGATTACTTGACTGACACTATTCTTCGGTCACGAAATCTACTATTCTTATTTCTTGGCATTTAAGGCTAATGTTGTCATTATATGGACTTTAGTTGTCTCATTGAAAGTTCTTATGGATGACTACGGACAGAATTTACAACGCCTGACGTATATAGGTAGTGTTTGTTGGATCTTGCAGATTATGGCAGGAGTTCAAGTCTTCTATTCATTTGACTTATCCTATCCGTGCCAATATTGCCTTCAGAACCCATGGCACTTGCTGATGATGCTTGTAGAGGCAGGCTATACTTTGCGCGGTCTTTCGTTGACTACGTATTGGAAGTGACTCATCAAATCAAGAATCTCGGCTCTTTATACGACTGTACTCTTGGGTATGATGGGTAAATGCACTTGTATTTCGAACTGTGATTAATGAAGCCTCATGGCGCGGAGTATGCCAGAAAGTTAGAAAGCGAAGCTGGAGCGGAAGGGGAGTGGAAGGAGAGGAAAAATAAATGGACGTATATACGTAGATAGGTGCTGTAGTTTGCTATCTAGTCTGTTTGATTTCTTATAATTTGATACCTACAAGGATAGAACCGAGTAAAGCACTTTCTGTGGTGTGGAAGTCTATCAGATTTCGGATTCAAGGGTCAGTTAATTATTGGTTTTGAGAAAGAAAAAATGAGTGGCTTCCACAGCCGTAAACATACATTTGAGTAGTTTTCTACATGTCTGCTCGCTCGGCAAGATTAAGTAAGACTCAAAATTCAGACGAAGGTGAGAGGGAAATGGAGTAGAAGGAAAGTCTCCCTGGGAGTCGGCGGCAAAGCAGTCAGTACACCTGCGTGGCTCTCCGCCACTCCTCTCCTTTTCCAAGCCTCACCAAACTACACCATTGAAGCACCCTCAATTATACCTAATCTAGGTAACTGCCAACCTCCCGCCAAACAACCCTCCGAAAGAGCAAAACCCCCCCGCCTCTCAAGCTCGTCGCCATCTCCATCTTCCTGGTGAGCCTTGTAGCTACAAGCTCTTTTCTCCCGCCCCATGACTTGGACTATTAGTCACTCCGGTAGCAGTTCTTTTGACAAGAGATAAATAGTAGGGTCACAGGAACGTCGATCCGGATCTTGAAGCCATTAAATGGACAACCCGCACGTGGCGAGGAGGGACATACATCATATCTCCATCTGCACTTTGGCCCGGCTACCAAAACATGGTTATTGAGGGGAGGATCAGGGAGAGGGAGAAGTGATGGATATTCATACTAGAGGGAAGGAATTGGCTTCTTATGTCTGCTTGGGAGGACGTACAAACTGGAGATTAAAGCTATCTTCAAGTCCACGGGCCCTTGTATCAACGAAAAGGCCAAATTAACACCCTCTCTGGCTTCAAGTCCTTCAATGTTGACTTTGGTGCCTCCCTCCTGAGGGCTACTCGAGATTTCCCTGGTCGTTTTCAGTTCTGCACTACCAGCCAGGAATCTCTTGCGAGCCACGCAGCTTTCTCGCAACCATTTCTTATCATACCCCAGCAGTCATAATCACCAAGTCCCAGTTCCACCCGACTAGACCCAATCTCATGCCTCCCTCGCCCCTCAGTCGAGCGCCACAATGAACCTCGCCTCGCAGAGGAAGCACGCCTGCACCACGCTCTGGATGGGCGGTCGCTCAACCACTTGATTCTTTAGCAGCGTCACAGTGCTCACGACGGTCGCTTGCCGTGGGTGTATGTTCTCCGTCGTCATATCCAGAACTTGATAGCGCCGCAATTGGTGACGGCTCTTATAAGGGTCACAGACCCAGAGACTGTGACGAGTGCGGTCTGTGGTCCGGCTAGGACTACATATACATGTTGGCCGATCTAGGCGTCCTAGAAGGATCGGTGTGTGGGGTGGAAATGAAAGATGAGGGAGGATAAGAGTAATGGAGAGAGGAGCTAAGAAACTCAGTTTGGCAGTAGGATAATTTGAAGAAGACTGCTTTGCTCAGTATTCGAATATTATAGATATTTGCAATACGGCGATAGGGAGTGGCTTACTCTTGAGAGAAGAAAAGGACTTGGCTCATCGACATGACTTTTGACTTGGTGCAACTTGGATTGTGATCATGTGCTAAATCAAGTTTGTGACAATCATAATAGGGCGCATCCTTTAAAGATGTGCGTCTATATGCTTGTTGCTTTGATAGTTTGGGCTAGGAGCTGCACTTGCAAGACATGCCCATTTCAAAATTCGGGTCTAAACGTACGTGTATATCAAGAAGTAAATCAAAAAGCTAGATTCGGCACTTGCTTATGGTGATTTGGTATCGTATGTACTTCATAGCGGAGCAAAACAAGTGCTCTTCAAATTATTCAGAACTCCTCCCTTCCAAATGCCCCATTTTATCCACCCGACGCCCAGCAATGCAATTCCAAACCCAAAATACCGGCGCGGCCCAATCCAGTGGTCAAGCCCATCACAGCAAATCAAAGTCATCCAGCTTCTCCCTGTACCTCAGGATATTCCTCTTGATCTTCGAGCCATCAACCCACGTCACAAAGTCCTCCATGCCCCTTGTAACGAGGAATGCGGTATCGGTGACGGGCTCCGTGCCGACCCTGACATGGCCCTGCTCGATAAGTTTCGTGGCGGCCTGCACCGTTTCGGCCATGCGGAGGCGTGTCATGACGACGGGCAACCGACGGCGGCAGAATGCGGACACAGTGACGGACCTCTCGACCTCGGAGAGTTTGGCGCTCGCGGTGGAGGGAAGGATGCCCATGTCGTGCAGCTTGGAGAGCAAGAGGGACTCGTGTTTGAGGCGGAAAGGGGAGTCGGGGGGCAGGGCGGCCAGGCGGTGCGCGAGTTGTCTGAGTGACTGGTGGAGACAATCAGTATTTATGCTCATGCTCATGGAATTGAGACACTCAAAGGGCAAGGAGAAATAGCAAGGGAGACAGGAAAGAAGAGAAAGAACATACTCCGCAAAGCCTGTTATATTTCTGATAGTCGCTTGGTTTCTGGATCGCATATCTGCGGATCACGGCCGCGTCCCGGTGGCCATTGTCCTCTTTATAGGTTGTGAAATCAACCTTTCGGAGGAGCTTCTGTTCATGATGCTTGAGTTTGCGGACCATCTTTGCTTGCTTTCTTTGCTTTCTTTGCCTTCTGTTCCTCCTTTCTCCTTCCTGCGGGGGGATGTTGGAAATAAATTTTGGCCGGGTAGAGCGGGGCGGGAAAACGTTTGGGCGGCGCTAGGATTTTCAAGCTTCGGCGAGGAACGAGTTTCGAGAACTACGACTTCGAGATCGAGTGTGATTGAGAAGGGACAATGATGGCACAACCACGAATACAATGTCTCAATGCCGCGAGGCGGGTCGCTCAGAAATCCGTAGGGATGCGAGCCCCGTTCTCAAGCTCTGCAGTTGCGCGCGCTGGTTCGTGTCCCAACTTCAATTAACATCCGACTCCAATTCTAACTACAACATCAGAGGATGATCCATCTCGCCGCACCGCAGCCGCTGGTCTTCTTGCCTCCTTAGAGGACCGTTCCTCCTCTCCTCTCACCACCTATCGCCCTCCCAATCCCGTCTCTGAAAACTCCGACACCGCCAACTCAGCCAACTCTATCCGCCTGCCAACCGGCTCCCAGAAGTATTCCAACTCACCAACAAGTGCCGGCGCTGAACGTATCGCATCTCTCATAACCAAAGCTCAAGCACGCAAGAGACCCACGGGCCGCGCGCCAGGACAGCCTTCTATGAGCACGGTGCAAGAGCTGGAAAACGCCAAGAGGGCGAGCGACCTGAGCAGACAGATCACGCGGCGATGGAAGGCGGGCGATGTGTATGCACCGCATGATCTCAGCGCCGTGGAGATGGCAAAGTGGAAGAGCAGGGGCAAGCCCACGCACGATGTCTTTGATGTCTTGGATTTTAACCCCCTTGAGCATTATAGGGTTCGTACTACTCTCTTTTCCCTCCCCATTCTACTTTGTCTGTTTGCCGCTTTGTATTTGATTGCGCTGGATTATGAGCTCGGGCCCGGGAAGAGGATTGCTGATTATGATGTTGTAGAATTTCTCGGTCTTGTCCGAGTACATGACACCTATGGGCCGGATCAAGCATTCCAACGAGACGGGTCTGAGAGCCGTTAACCAGAGGAGGATGGCGAAGGCCATACGGAGGAGCATTGGAATGGGAATGATGCCTAGTGTTCATCGACACCCAGAGATCTTGCAAAAGATTGCGGTTCGGACAGAGCAGATGAGCCCGCTGACAAAGGGCCCTTATTTTTGAAGAGCAGTGCAGTGAGTCTGGAGGATTGTATTATATGATATAAAATAGGACTGGGGGTGTAGAATAGATGTTGCATGAGAAATAGGAATACCTGTAAAGCAAAAGCGTTCTAAATCTTATCACCAAACAAGCCGCAAGATATAATTAGATATTCCACTGTGTGATCATCGTCTTTTCTTTCTTAAACGGCGGCATATATCCTTTTATGTAAACACATCTATAGTCATAACTCTCATAGTACTCAGTAAGGGTATTCAATAGAGAATGAACCTACTACTATCTGACAATTCCGAGATAGGGATAGGCTACATCTCTATTCAAAGACCCATCCCCCCTGTTTCCAGTCAGAAAGCAAGAAAAGAGTAAATGGAATAAGCTTGAAAGTGTTTATATAAATCTTGCATTCTGATCACCGGGAATATCTAGAAGCTTAGTTTCTTTCTCTAAATCTGCTCACCCTGGATTTGCAGGGAATGGGTATACCTATATAGTAACTTCCGAAACATATTATTCGCACAAATAGGGGAGGAGATGTTTGACTGATGGGCCCATCATTCCATATATATAAAGCAAGGACAAGCCTGCATCTATTATTGGTTGATCTATGAAGTCATAAAAGAAATACACATATCGTACAGATCTTACCATATCGTACATCCTCAATCTCTTATTAGGCTTTGATTTCTTCTTGCGGCATTTTGAACAATCTATGCCCTTCCTTGGCAGTGATTTGTCCCAACTTCTCTAACTCTTCCCAGGCAGTAGGATATAACTCTCTCGCCCATTTTTCAACAACGTCTTTCTGGTTCTGTCCCGGGAGTGCGTTGTAGAAAGTGCCGAGCCTATGCCTTGTTAGTCCCGTTATCTAAAGACTGTAACCTCCCCTCCGTGTTTTAGAAGGAAGAACAAGGAGCCAACTTACATCTTAACATTAGGCGTGAAACCAAACTGCTTCTCCGCATTCTCAACCAGATCTTTCGCCTCCTTCACCTGGCTGTTACCCGCAAGCGCACCTAGATATGCCACAAAAACTCGTGGCGTAACTTCAATCTCCATCCTTTGCATTTTATCCCACACTGCTCTGGCCCTCCTTTCGCCAAATGGTTTCCTCCTACACGCATGGAACACAATCTCAAGACTGTTATAAGTGGGGCCCTCTTTACTTAAAGTGATGTCGTCCCAGAAATGCAATGCTTTGTCCGAATCATCGCAGGCTGTGTATGCAAGCATTAGGGAATTATAGAGACGGGTGTTAGGTTCGATGCTCGAATCCATTTTGAGCATATTGTGTACTATATCGAGCGATTCGCGATCAGAACAGGATGCTATGCCCTCGAAGCATTGTATGTAAGTCTCGAGGACAGGGCGAGCAGAAGGGCGGATATGCTGGCGCATGTGGCCAAACACGTGACAGGCCATGTCTGACCTCCTTCTTTGGAAGAATTCATTCATCATCTTCGTCCTGATGTCTATATCCGTCTCCTCGAATATCGTACGGAAGATCGTGTATGCCTCCCAGGCTTTGCTTGCAGTGTTCTTGCGATCCAAACAGTAGGCAACAAACTCATCACGAATTAAAGCCCGCTCAGAGAGCGTGTAGTGAAATGCATGTGTCTGTAGAAGGTCTACTACGTCGTTCAGCTCTCCACGGGCAAGATTTGTCATGCATAATGCCGATACAGTTGCAGCTTCTAATCTGGCACCCCGTTCATCGAGATCAGTAATAAGTGTTGTGATGAGATAGTGGTTGGGAGACTTCGCAGCGCAAAGAGCACGGATGTACTTGTTGATCGCCGGGAGATCTTCATTGTCGAGGATTTCTTCGGCTTGCAAGGAAGTATAAGCCGCCTGAGCACCAGTTAAATCGCCAGCAGAGACCCTGTAATTCATTTGAAGGATATAAGTTTGCGCGTTGGGTCGAATGCCGAATTTAGTACCGAGTGCGAGGTAACGTTCCGCGAGGTAGGGGTCGTTCAACGACATGGCGAGGTCGACAAGTCCATTTATTGTCGAGGCATCAGGACGCATGGTTTCGTCATCGGGGTTGTGGCGAATCATGACTTCTATCATTCGTTCTACGTCTTCGACCCCTTTACCTAGAACCCCAGCGGCCCATTGGAAAACAATATCCCAGATCTCCTTCGTGGGATTGCTCTCTAGGAGTTCGCGGAAGACGGATTTGCACCAGTCTCCTTCGTTGTTTCGGATGCAGAAGCGGAGGATTGTGGCCACCGTCTTGGCTGATGCAGCTGGATCTATTGGTCGTGGCTTGGTGTACCACTTTTTGGTCTCCTCGATATTGTCCTTCTCGGCATAGAAAACGGTCATGATCTCGTGAAATAGCGAGCCATAAAGCACGCCAAGCTTCTCCGCCATTTCCGCAGTCCTCAGAAGCTCTTCTTCATTGTTTTCCCTCGCAAAACCCTCCATGACCATTATCCAAAATCTTCTCCCAGATCTCGCTCTCGGGCTTTGACCTGCTAAGTCCCCAGTCGAGCCATACAACTGCTTGACAAGTTCTCTTGCCTCAGCTGAATCACCCGTCTGCACCAATACCAGCAGATAGGACTTCGCATCGATATGACTGCCTTCCTCCTTCGTGTCTCTTGTTCTCTTTGTAGCCTCTTCATAAAGCTCTCTCGCAAACTCATTATGTGTCGTCTTGACATCATTCGGCATCATAGCCACCACTCTTGCAGCACGTCTTATGTCGTCCAAGCTTAACCCGAATCCTTCCTCTTGTACGTTCTCCCTTTTTAGATGTCTGAAAGTCCGCAAAGCATGCTGGGCTTGGATGTTATTCATCGACTCTTTCATCCGGATCTTATAATGAAAAAAGGCGGTGAAGGCTTTTATCAAATCCTGTGATGGAGGAGGTCGAGCGTTGACTTTGGTAGTCATAGATAGTTCGAGCATCTTACTAAATCCCGGAGCGAGCTGTGTATCTCGGGGCTCACGCTTCGGTTTTATGGAGAAGCCCCAAAGAGATCTACGAGGAGAAGATCGGACAAGAAAGGCATGTCTGTTTCGATGCAGGAGAGATGATCGAGGACAGTGAAATAGGAGGGGTTCGTTGGAGAGGAGGCGTCTGAAGACGCTACGGGTCAATTGGGAGCGCATGTCGACAACAGATTACACTTTAGAGCAACTAAGTCTCTGAGTCAGCATAGTCCTACACTATAGGATTGTGGATAGAAAGACGTACAAAACCATGTCTTGGAGAGCAATTGACCAAGTTTGAAGTCAGTCGATATTTTTTCGATGTTGAACTTCCGGGAGCTCCACAGACTGCGGCTAATTCCGAGACTAGTGAAGTCGGCGAAGCTAAGGGTCACGTGAAGATATTCAGGGGAACCTCAGTTGCAATAATCATCGTAAAATCATATTCAAGGCCTATTGTTCTAAACTACCGTGGAATTACCATCGAATTCATCCTTGATGAGCAGATATGCCGCCGGCCATACTTCTTCCTGATGCTCTGGACTCCTCGATATGCCCTGAACGCCAGCCGAAAACCATGAGATCATGCAAACGTACAATCATGGAAAAGAAGCGCCGAAGCACTAAGCATCGGAGCTACAGGTATCAAAGGAAGTGATGATAGTTCAGTGTCCTGGGATAGTGGCATTAAACAAGCACTGTCATCGAAAAAATAAATCATCAAGGCAGAAAGCAATAAAGCAAGGAAACCTGGACCATTGCAAGAAGCATTGAAGCAAAAAACAATGAAGTGAGAAGAAATCATGGTAGAGATGTCAGAGCAACTCTCCTTCACCCTCTTCGTCCTCCATACCTGGCTCACTGTCCCAGTCGAGGTTATCAGCAGCAGCCTCGGCCTGCCGATGTACCTCAGCAAGTCCACTGAGTTCGGTAACATAGTCTTTCTCGGTTAAAGCACGCTTGATAAAGTCCCAGCCGCCGGTTCGGTAAGCTTCAATTATCTTAGGAGAACACGCGGAGCAACAGTCATATGATTGGCCACTGATGATCATGTTCTGGAAGTTGGAAAGGAAACCGCGGATTTGGTGGGGAACAAGACCAAGAGGGTGATTTGGAGGATCACGCTCGTAATCAGTAGAGGATGAATTGTGGCTTACGGCTGCCTTGGGTGCAGGGGCGTGAGCGCCGAGAGGATGCTGAAGAATAGAGACCAGAAGCTCAACAAGGAGTGCGGAAGCTGTGGGAGCAACACCTGGACGCGTGACCGTGCATTGCTGATCGAGGGTTTGGTCTTTCACAGACTGTTCGAAGTTAGTATGACTCGATGAAAAGGGAGTGAAAAGGAATAAGATTTGAGTGACTTACATCACTTGGAGCAACGACGTCATTGCAGAAATAACAGCCCAGAGTTGCCGCCCCACCATCAGTAGGAATAGCGCCGTGTCTCATAACCACATATGTATCGAAGCCCAATGCAGCGTTCAAAACTATCTTCCCAGCAGCCTTACCCATCAATGTTGGAAGCCATCGGGACTCGCGAGTATCCATAAGTAGGAAGACCGCATCATGATCCTCAATAAGCTTTTGAAGAATTTCAAACTCCATCTTCGTGTTCTCCTCATCCATGATAGGATGGCCAAGCATAGGAATAGACATGGCATGGCCGGCGCTGTTGACTCCTGGGTAGATTTTCTTCAAAGACTCGGCAGCTCGATGCGCCTTCTTTGCTCCATCAACACTATCTTGATAGTCAAACAAAGGCTGGCGAACCGGGTTTGAGAAGGAAACCGTAGCGTTATCCACAAAAGTGATCTTTCGGACTCCCCAAGCCAACAGTCCACGAGCGACAAAGCTCCCGAGGGTTCCAGCACCGAGGAGAAGACACTTAGTTCCCTTGATCTTCTCGAGATCCAAATCCGGAGCAATTCGCCACTTCATCAGCTTCAAATTCAGATCGACGGCTTGGTCGGCCAGAGAACGTGGATCCATGTAATGAGCCAAATGTGTCACCTTTGGACTCAGCTTTCCAATGCTATTGCGCTCCCAACCAGTCACCTTTGGCATCTCGGTTATCTCCTTTGCCTCTCCATCTGTCTCCAAAAGCAGAACTCGGCTTCGAGCCTCATGACGTCTGGACTGGACATCTCTGTAGCAGAGAATCTGGACCTTATTAAGCTTGTATCGTTGTCTAATCAAGACCAACAAGTTCCGCAGCATCCAGCCAGGATTATCGGGATAAGTGGAGGGGTCAACAAACGAAACAAATTGATCAGCAGGATCAATTCCATTGAAGAAACCACTCTCAAAGTCTCTGAGAGATCCAATAACCCATTTGTAGCCCAAATCATCACCTTGCGTAGGAGTAGAAGGTCGCCCGTCATTTTGGGGGGGCGAACGGACTCTCTTGGCAAGGAAGAAGCCGTGCTCACGAGGATCAGTGCTATAGCGCCAGGTGCCAACTTCATCAACCAACGCAGTGGTTTCCTTTCCGGTCAACTGAGCTGGTTGTGGACCTTCGGAATACTTCCAAGTAGGGTCGGAATGCAGTGCGGGAAAGGCAAACCAGTACGTAAACGTGTACTTCTTCAGATTTGCAAAAGATATGATGGTGAAGGAGGAGAGCAAGGAGGGAATTGAGTAAATGGTGCCGTCGTTAACAGCATCCCAAATCTAGATGAGTAAGCACGTGAAGTCGCTTGAGTGGGGATGTTCATACCTGTTTGGCTGCGGTCTGAAGCACAGCGGCCTTGTCAAGGTTTTTGAAGTCTTCAATGGTGTTGACATTCTTGATCTTTCCCTCAGCTCGGATGTGATTGGCAGGGACACTGCGAAATGGTTAGATCCTCTCTTTGATGATGACAAAACCGGGACTTACTCAACACTCGTGAGCGCATTCCCCAGAACTCTCATACGGGAACCCTCCTCAGGGCTAGCATTTGGGCGAGGCTCGTAGAGACCAAGGACAGAGCGTGCCGAGTCATCGAGCTTGTCATGGTCGATCTTGAACTGGGACAAAGCTGTGTAGAAGGGAAGCTCAATCTCAGAGCCAAAGGGAGCGAACTTGAGAGCCATATCGGCGAGGACAACGAGGGCACGACAACCAGTAGGTCTCGAATCTTCTTCTGGCGTGAGAACTTGCACGATACTAGTACTCTGGGTTCCACGGCGCTGACGATAGAGAAGTACTAGCACGAATGAGACGCGGTCTCTGAGCACTCGAAAGGCAGAAGGATCTCTTGAGGAGGGCCCAGGTAAGCTTCACGAAGAGTTGGCAGTGGGTGAGCTTCGTGGGAGGCTTGAAGAATCAAAGATGATATGGTCAGCCTCTGTCTCAGTGCATGTGTGTATGTGTGAGCGTCTTCTGTCTGGTCTGTCTGGGAGAGTCAGGTCAGGTGGAGGGGCAACTCACGTGCTTATTCAGGTCGGCTTTCCAAGTGCTCAGACGCCGACGTCAACAGCACTATCTGGATATTAGCATCAGCGCTAGCGGCCGCAATCGCCGAATTGATCTCTTTCGGCTAAGGTATGAGGGACGCCATATTACAAGCAAGCTTTGGACGGCTGTGTTTGGTGTTGTGATTTTGCAGTGTCTTGTCAACAAAGAAGATATGTTAATTGGTATCTGTGGAGGTCAGTACAATGTCTCTACCCCTAAGTTTCTAGCTGGCTTTTCTCGCAGTTCACCCTAACCGCGTTTAGGAATCTGTGCTGGGAAGCACACTGTGGCCCAGTACTTGGTCGAGCATCACGGTTTTACCCACCTCTACCTTCGACAGGACACCACCACTGAAGATGATTACATGCGTCAACATGGATATGGAAATTATATAGAGGAAGAAGGTTTAATATCTACGCGTCCCCCTCCCCAGTTCAATGGCATTGTACGAAAACCAAAGCCCAACCCCACAACATACACCTTCGACACCACCGAAGATCTGCTGGAATTTGTCACAAAACAATGGCGGGAACGATGGGTTATAACAGATATCCATACGGAATCCATCTTGGACCGGCTTGTCTCCCGGCCGTTCTTTATCCTTGTCAGTGTCGACGCCCCTGTCAGTGTACGATGGCGGCGTTTCCAAGCTCGCTTGCAGAAGACGCAACCCTCCAGCCAAAGCCCCAGCCTCGAAGACTTCCTCCTGAAATCCGATGAACATCTCTACTCTCCTGACAGGGGCCTCTTGCCCATTATCTCCCGCGCTACCATTCGGCTCATCAATACCTCCTCTGATCTCGCACATCTCTATGCAACGCTGGGCAAATTGGATCTCACAAACGAGGATAGGCTGCGACCTAGCTGGGATCAATACTTTATGCGACTTGCCTCGCTGGCTGCGCAGAGGAGCAACTGCATGAAGCGACGTGTAGGTTGTGTTCTGGTCAGAGAGAAACGTGTCATAAGCACCGGCTATAATGGTACCCCGCGGGGCCTGAAAAATTGTGGTGAAGGAGGCTGTCCGCGATGTAATGCAGCTCAAGGATCCGGTGTTGGCCTGGGAACATGTCTATGTATACATGCCGAAGAGAATGCCTTATTAGAAGCTGGAAGGGAGAGGATTAGAGAGGGTTCAATCCTCTATTGCGACACTTGTCCTTGCTTAACGTGCAGCATCAAGATCGCGCAAGTTGGGATCAGCGAGGTAGTTTATAGTCAAGGATACAGCATGGACACCGAGACCGCAGCGGTCTTTACACAGGCAGGTGTACGGTTACGACAGTTCATTCCGGTTTGTGACCCTGATGTTGTTCTAAATGCCATTACTGACTCAAATACCCTAGCCCGCCAATGGCTTAATCCATCTAGAAAGCCAAATTCTATAGTAGTTGGTGGAGCCTACTGGAACAGTTCAACTTTCCAGCAACTGATTCTTCCCCTTGGATTTCAGGTCTAAAAAGCTTAGATGAAGAAGAGGGACTCTTCTTCATAGAAAAGAAGTCTCCATCGTCTCTGCGAGAAATCAAGGATTATGTATCAACGCACCTCTATGATCTCTGCTGCTTACAGTTCAGTTGGATGGTAGGATAGCAAGGCTAGACAATACCTACTTGGTCATTATCCACATTCCTCAGTATCCCACTAGGATGTTGGGAATCACAGTCATTCCGTACCATACATATCTCCTTGGTCATGAAAAGTTTACCTCCCGTACTGTGTTCTCTTTCTTTACATCTCTTCATACTGAAAACCCTCATGAGGTAGTTTGAAGGCTTGAAATCAACGAGAGAAGCCTAATACCTCAAAGACAACGCAGACAATCCATTGTATCGAAATTACATTTTCATAATACAATATTTGAACGCAAGCAGCAAGATATGCTACGGCATACACATCTTCTGGCAGTGCGGTTGCCTAAAAAACACCGAGCGCCACCGATAGCGCGGCGTCATGCACCTATATAATCTGTGTCCGAACTGGATCGAGCAGCGGCAAACCCTGAGTGCCAGGTATCCCAGCCATCTCTGATCGAATACATAACCTCGCTAGATTTCGTTGGCTTAGAAGGGTGGTCAAGGAATATTGCCCGGGAGTTGGGAAAAAGGAATGAAGCTTGTTCGAGTTATGGAAAAATATATCAATGAAATCACGAAGGTTACTAATAGACAGGGCTAGTAAGTGCATCGATCTAATATGTCAAGTGACCTTCCTCTTGACACACTCAACCTTTGAATTCAAGCGATTCTGCTCTATTCTCGACTACACAAGACTCTGGTATCGTGCTGTCATATAACCCTGCCATGTTATGCATTGCTTTGGATCATATATATCCTACATGGCCAAAAAGGCTCGTATCAGATTACCAAACCTCCAATGCAGATGCGTGCCTAGGAGCCTTGGCTGTGTTTCTAGATATGGATGGTGTTCACTGAGGTGAGTAGACGCAGATAAATATCCTTGTTGGAATTCTTGCTTCTAACAAACCCTTAGATCCAAACAAAAATAGCATTCTGATCAGTGGGTTTCACAAGCCCACGACGTTGCCAAGGTAGCTGACCTTAAATGGAGTGAGTCCCTAAATTCTGGCCAGTGTTCCAGGCATATTGACCTAACCAGCTATGATGGTTGGTTCTAGAGAGCGGTTGGCTAGACGATCAGAGCTCCCGAGATATGGGAAGGTGAGGGTTCGAGCACTGCATCTGATATCTGATCTTTTAAAGTTTCAGTCAGCTATCCTCTGACACTGCTCTCCCAGATCAGTACGCTAATATCCCAGGCTCGCGTGCTGCATATCTTGACCAGCTAGCCATCTTTGTTGTGGTAGGCTGCAGTATCAATACTGATTATCCTTAAGAAGTGACTAAAGCCGCTAGAAGCATTGCACAGCTTCGCAAAATGAAAGGACTCAAGGAGCTGGCCTGGAAGACAATGACTTTATTATGGAATGGGCCATCACTGAAGAGATCGCCTTACAAAACTCAGGTACAAGATCAGACTGTTGCGGCTGACGGTTACGGAAATTTGTCCCGCCCGATTGCATTGCATTCGTGGAGTTGTAGATCCCAAACATGGGCCATCTGCAATTGAAGCTCTTGCGCACCCTATTTCAAGCGCCAGATAATTCTTGAAAAGCTCCAAAGAGTCTAGATCCTCAAACAGCCTGGTCGCCTTGGTATCACGACAGCGAAGAGACGGCTATTCAAACCCGAAAAAGAAGCAGTAACGTTGTACTGCAATATTCAATAGGAGTCACAGAAGACAAATCATTCGATAAACACCCAGTCATTGGCGATTATCAACAGCATTATGTTTTACCAGCCAAAACTCTACACTCATGCACGGATTTTCAATTCCTTCCCCGCAATGCCGAGCTAGCGAGGACGCTCCACTAAGAGTTTGTCTGGAACTGGAAAAGGGATCAATGAGCGGTGAAGACGTCGCGAGATTGGCGAGTTCAAAGGTTTGCATCGTGAAAAGTTTTTGTCACTTTGTGATTCTTATGTGACTAGCCTGTGAACAGCTGGCAATTGTCTCAGATATTTCTGGGTGTCAAGCAGAGACCGAAAACAAGTGTTGTCGTCTCATTCAGCTTTTGCATCGAACGCCACACAGTGCACACACCTCACACACCTCATGGTTCAGGCCATGAACAGATCCAGTGGGTCTTAACACCCGTCGTTTCTTCACGTTGAGCAACATAGGCTGCATCCATCTATCGAATGCATATGCAATATGGTGATCGCGAACGCCTCACTGGAGGCTCTTCGTGTCGACGATAGGATCGGATAATAAATCTCGGTTGTACCTAGCCGCCCATCGCGCCGGATTATATCTAGCCGAACGCACTAGGGGGAGTTCCCGCCGATACTAATCAATAATGCGATGTGCGATGCTACAGGTACAGGTACATATGTATATGCACTGAGGTTCGCGCCGACGGGGATGCATGCATCTTCCCAGACGAGTCATATGGGGACGACATTCCTTTATATAAAGCTTGCTTGCTCTGCTTTCTGTTTGCTTTCGTGGGTCATTTTATTACAAGTTAAAAGAATTAATATCCTTCTCGGCGGACCGAAGATACAAACAGCTTCAAGATGCAGCTCATATTTACCCTCCCCGTGCTCTTTCTCGCCGCACTATCAAATGCGTCTCCAGTGCGCAGAGCAGATGGTGTATCCGCCGCCAACAGTACCGCAAAATGTCCCGATTACTGCGCCGGCACCGCTTACGACCCGGACCTGTCGGATACTTACGTCTGCGGCGACTCCCGACTCGGCCCGAAACGTCTGCCGACGAAACTCCCGCTCGGGGATCTCGTCGACGACTATGACCGCTTTGGGGGGCTCTGCCCCGGCCAATTCCTGGCCAAATGGTACAATGCCACTGCCGGATCATACATCTACCCGCCGCAAGACGGATTCCAGCTTAACACTGATGGCGAGCGGATTCAGGGGAATATCACCCTTCCCGTGGGCTTCCTGATCGATCGCTTTGGGTCCGAGTACGGCGCGTACACGAGTCCGTATGCAGCACCATACATACAGAGAGCGCTGCCGCCGAGTAATTTGGATACGCCACAGACTAACCCGACGTATGTTTCATCTTCAATTTTCCATCTTCCATTTTCCATTTTCCGTCTTCCATCTTTCACGATCCTGAGCCTGTGAGTGAGTGCCGTTTGCTGACCTGGGATTGAACTATAGATACCCGTATAATTACCATGTGTACAATGTGACAAAGCCCTTTATAGTCAACGCGGGACCCATCGCGGGCTGGTTTGGCCAGCCGGGCCAGGGAGTCCAGTATTTTTCGTCGTCAAACATCATGACGTTGCTGAATGGAGGGTTTCTTGAGAGAGTTAATCTTGAATAAACAACTCATGGTATGAATTATGAGATTATGGGAGCTATGGGATGAGGACGGCGTGATATGACTGTAATGGTCTATAGTACATGTATGGTTTGGGCCTTATGATCACTGTGTCGCGGAATGGAAAGCTACGAGCGTTCCTATTATTGTTCCTTTCTTTCTTCCTGATTGAGTTTATGCACGTTTTCATTTCTATTTGATCATCTTGTTTCACTGAATTGCGCATATTTCCATACCGATTTGCAACTCAGAAGCAGAGAAGCGTTGGGCATCCTGATTGGGAAAAGGAGAGATTAGCGAATCTCGCTTAAGATACCGAATTGGAGGGCAACAGGCATGGGATGCCAGGGGTCATGTATCTAAAAACATCTAGGTATGTCAGACTTCAAGCCTAGCATTATGATAGTCAGCCTTAAATCAGAAAAAGGCAATGGATAATGCCCGTGAAGGCGCTATCTCATGTCTGAAAAGCCTCATTGCGGGATGTGCCAGGAGCGTGCACACGAGTAGACAGGGGAGGGGGCATTGGAAATTTGGAGTCGGAGCGGGCTTTCTATGACTTATGTAGGTCTGTTTTTTAAGCTCGGCCATCTCTTCTCTCAGTCATAAAAAAGAGCGGATTATCTGAACCGATTTGGTATTTTGCATTTACTTCTTTCTCTTTGATATCCCGATCACTTCCTCTCGTCGATGCCCAGCCATGCCGGAACTTGCCGGTCACCCCGCTTTTGACACACTAGCGCAAAAGCGGGGGCGCGGGGAAAGCGAGGCACGTGTGCCGCAATCGCCGACACCACTTTTCCATCGCTCGCGGCTCGTCTCTTCCGCTTGAACTCCAACAATCCTCAGATGCTCGACAAAGTCTCTGCAGCATCAGACAACATGAATTCCACCAGGCATGAGACCACCAGTACCCAGTCGCCCGATGAATCACAACCCAGAACCAGAAACCGTGTCAGTCGCGCGTGTTTGCCGTGCCATTCCGCGAAACGGAAATGCAACAAGGCCCGGCCATGTTCACAATGTCTGAAGCGGCAAATTACCAGCAATTGCATATACGAGAGCGTCACAGATGCCGACCTGGAAGCTTTGGAAGCGGCTGATCCTGGTCTCCTATCTGAAAACCAAGTTCTGCGCTCACGGGTGGGAGAATTGGAGACGGCCATTGCAGCACTGCGCGCGCAGCTCCGTCAACCTCGAAACGGCCAAGGGAGGAGTAGGAAGAGACGTCGAGGCTCGGATGCCTCTGTTGATTCCCAGAATGATCGGGATGGTAAATACTATGGACGATCTATCTACCTAGGAGGCCCCGCAGCCCCGGACCTCTTACAACGTATGATGCCTTTGCTGGCCCCAGCTGATCAGCCTGATCTTCTTCTTGCCTTCTCTGGTGGCTCGCTCGATACCAATCCTTCTGCCTCCCCTGGTGGCTTTCCGTTCCCCACGATATTCCCAGCTTCACATACGGCCAAGGAAATGCTCTACCTCCTGAGAGAGATCGGGCGAGAGCGCTCCGATGCCTTGGTGGACAGTTTCTTCGAATTGATAGACCCGATCTATCACTATGTACCGTCTGGATGGTTCTACCAACGTTACAACAAATCTTGGGATGCCGTCACTGCGCTGGCTGACCCTTTGGCTGATAGCATTGGCTTGATTGAGGTACCACTTGCTCAAGAGCTTGCTCTCGTCTACGTTGTGCTAGGATTAGGGGATTTGGTTTCGGAGAGGACCATGGCAAATGTGTTGATACCGGCCTCAATGCAGCTCTTACGAATATCCAACTTTTTAGCTTCCCCCTCCTTGGACACTCTGCACACACTGTGTTTCTTTGCTGTCTACCTGCAGCATCAAGGAAAACTCTCAGAGCATTGGCCACTTCTGGGATTAGTGATAAGACTAGCTCAATCCATGGCATTGCATCGGGATCCAAGCCTGATCAACTTGCCGCCCCAGGAGGGTGAAGTAAGGCGGCGCCTGTTTTGGACAATTGCTGCCCAGGACACAGCATTGAGCTTGATGTTTGGAAGACCTCATGCTCTTGGATTTTATGATTGCAATTTACCGCTTGATATTAGCGATGAGAGGGCCCTTGACGACCAAGCTAATGATACTGATAGTAACGAACCCGGGAAAAATGAGATTTCTTACAATCGCTACACATGGGAACTCGGCGAGATTACGAGAGAAATGGTCCAGAGGTCTTTTACTACGCAAGATGCCGAAGGATTGCAGAAAACACAATACTTCCAGGACAAGCTTCGACGTTGGTATTCCGGCGTGCCCAATCATTTCAAGGTGGATTTGAGCCAGAACCAGGCGGCAACATCATTTGATTCTTTGACCAAGAGATACTACGTGCAATCGCTTTTATTACATATGATATATAACTACAATATTCTGGTGCTATTCCGGAAATCTCTACTCGACAATGCATCCACTGAACATGGCCGGCCATGCTTTGAAGCAGCATTCGAAATTATCGCATCTTGGAAAGTGCTTCACGACGACTTTCCAAAGATGGCCAAAATGGCTTGGATGCATTGCTTCCGAGCCTTCCACGCGTCGCTTATATGTCTCCTCGTCTTCAAGTCCGACAAATGGCGGCCGGAATATGACAGCAGAGCTTTGCATTCCTGGCTTTCCGCCCGCCGCATCTTTGAACGTCTGAAGAATGAGAACGAAAGTCTTCTGACTTGCTGGCGAGCCTTGAAGCGCTTAGATATGGTTCTCAAACTGAGTGGCTCTCATCAGAATTCACGCCAAATACGGAAACCTAGAGCCTCCTTTTCAGACTCTTCTCAAAAACTGCTGATTCCACCAATCCCTGAACAAGGGCAACAAACCTCAACTTCAAATCCGTTAGCTCAGCCTCCAACTCAGACTCTCACAAACTCTGCCCACACTTCACCAGCAAATGAGCCGTTGTCTTCGTCCTGGGACGGCAAGGGTCCTTTAGACCCGAACCTTTTCGGTGGTCCCTCGCAAATGGGCCCAGGAACAGGTGGATCTAGCGGCTCCGGCAGCTCCAATAACCAATTACTCGAGTCACCTACTTCGCTACTATACTCATCAAATGCGGGACTCGAGTATCCGATTGATATGTCTAGTGGTGTTCTTGACACTGTCTTTGGGCAGCAAGACAACAACATCTTCAATATGGACTTTCAGAATTGGCCGTCCTGGCTCACCGATGATCAGAGCCCCAATTTCCCGGTTTAAAGCAAGAAGAAGTGGTATGATTTATGTATAATATTACAAAAGATCAAATTACATAATTCACAGTGCTCTGACCTGATCCTGAGTCTGCGTTTCCGGAGTATAGGCCGCTGTGTCAAAAGTTCCACCCACCAAGAGATCCACATCATCAGGCTTAAGCTGCAGCTTGACTCCAAATGCCTGTGGGCCATGGTCGTAGACCGTGGAACGTCTCATATCCCTCCTGTTTTCTTGGTCCTTGAATGCAGTTGCTCGATGCATGGTGCAGCGGTTATCCCATTGAACCAAGTCTCCAACATTCTTCCACCGGATGGCGACTTGGTATTTGGATTGTTGAGCATGGTCTTTCAGCAGTTAGCAAAGTCCACTCCCGGAAAAGACCTTTGGAAATACGAACCGAGGAGATATTTGATCAGCTGTGTTGATTCCTCGGCTGGCATGCCGATGATTCGCTTTGCGTGGCTGGCGATGTATAGCGTCTTCTGGATGCCGTTGGGAGCAACTTGGACGATGTGGTGGTATGCTGGCGGAACACCCTTCTTCTCTTCCTCGGTTGGCTTATCCTACATAACCCTTCCGTTAGGTCTGGTCTCCAGCTTTGAAGAAGCTCACTTACGAATTCTTCCGGCGCTGCCAGCTTTCTCGAGTGCCAGATCCAGTGCTCTGCAATCTTTCCCTCGATCAAGCCCTTGATGTCTTCTGGCAAATCTGCGTATGCTTGTCGCATGTCAGCATACAAGGTCTGCCCACCCTGTGGTGGTAGCTCAACGGCTCGCAGAGCACTGTATGACGACCGATGCTGGTTGAAGGATGAGTCGGTGTGCCAGAGTCCGTTACCCTTGGCGTGCCACCAAGCTCGGCTGCCTTTGGGAATAATGTTACCCTCAGCATCCAGGTTTCCGGCATCGTACAGGTGGTTTGAAGAAGCGCGTCTAGGTTTGTTGAGGCCGTGGATCGATTCGAGAGCGCCGAAGTTCTTCGAGTATCGGACGTGTGTCTCATCGTTCAAGCCGGTGGAACGGAAGGCAAGCACGCCATATTTGTTCTGGAGGTCGATGATCTCAGAGACGATGGGGGGCGAGAGAGGACGCGAGAAGTCGACGCCTTGCACTTCAGCACCAAAGTTCGAATCTGTTAATGGGATTGCTTGGAGGGTGCGAGACGAAACGGTCGCGAGTGTTCGGGGGTGGGCGCCAGTGAGGCCTTTGGCGACACAACGGGATGCTGAGAGTGTCTTCCACATTTTAGAAACAGATTGGTATTTCGAGTTGGAGTTGCAGGTGTGTGATGTGTAAGCAACGATGTTCCTGGACCACGATCTGAAGGTCTAAAGGTTAGCAAGGTTAGCATTTAAGTCAAGGGCGGGTGGCGGGCAGGGTTTATTGACAGGCGACCCTGTCAGAGGCATGATTCTCACGATGCCCACGATCTCCACGAAACTCCCGCCGCGGAGTCCGCGGGAACATCCTTTTCCCCAAGCGGAAATGTCGCGCGGGTCCCTGGCGCTGTCGTTGCGGCGGTAGAGAGGAGCGGCTTTAAGACGGCGGCGGAGTGGTTTGCGGCGGCGCATGACCCCGCCCCCGCAATTGCCCCACGTCGACGGCTGCAGCGCGGAGCACGATTAGGATAATAACATGGGATTGTGAAGCTGATCAGGGTATCTATCGACCAACATTCACCGCACTTTGACACTTTGACACTTGTACCGCTGTACAACTTTACCGCTTTACCGCTTTCATAACCTCATCCAATCCTCTCATCTGTCATCTCAGCCTCACGACAACAATGGCCTCCCAAACGAATGGTACCCGGCACTATGGCCGTCTGGATGGCAAGGTTGCCTTGGTCACCGGTGGAGGACAGGGAATCGGCGAGACCATCAGCCGCAAGTTCGCTAGCGAGGGCGCCTCTATCATTATTGCAGACTTCAACGCCGAGTCAGGCAAGGCTGTCGTTGAGTCGCTGAGATCCCAAGGCACCAAGGCCGAGTTCATCCGAGCAGATGTCACCAAGCGCAGTGACTGGGACGAGATCGCCAAGCTCATTCAATCCTCATTTAACGGCAAGCTTGACATCCTCGTCAACAACGCCGGCACAGCCTACCCCGCCGAATCCTCCCTCACCGTCTCCGAGGCCAACTTCGAAAAGGTCTACGCCGTCAACGTCAAATCCATCTTCCACTCCGTGCAAGCCATCTTCCCACTCATGATCGCCCAGAAGACCGGCGGCTCCGTCGTCAACATTTCCTCCATCGCCGCCATCCGACCCCGCGGCAAGCTGACCTGGTACAACTCCTCCAAAGCCGCCGTCTCCAACGCCTCCAAGGCCCTGGCGCACGAGTTCGGCGAGCACGGCATCCGCGTGAACTCCGTGTGCCCCGTGCTGGTGCCCACGCAGCTGGCGAACAACTTCGTCCCGGGCTTCGAGAACACGCCCGAGTACCGCGCCAAGGCGGCCCAGCTGTTCCAGATCCCACTGGGCCGACTCACGACGGCGGATGATGTTGCGAATGTATCGCTGTGGCTGGCGAGTGATGAATCAAGCTTCATCACGGGAATCGACCACCATGTGGATGGAGGCAGGAGTATTTAAATCGGGTATTTTCTTTTAGACGGGGGGCATTTATAGACCTTGGGATATTTATAGAAAATGGAATATCTGATGACCCATCATACATGATCACACACTTTTCTTAAATTGATATGTGCTATGAATCGTATATGGTGACTGACCCTGACCCTTCATATTGTCTGGACACAATCTATCTTTGGTCGAAACCCATCTTGAGACATTAAAGTAAGAGCTAGTACTGAAACATGAAGTTGAAATACATGACTTACTTCTTTCTGAAAAGACTATCTTTCCAATGCCCAGATTAGTATATTCAGTGACAGTAGGTTCGCAAAGAATCAAGATACGCTTCTAGCCAATTATATACATATACTTTATTATCTTCGTAAGACAAGTTAAGATACAAAGTGTGTAAGCCCTGAAAGTTTACCTAACTTGTTATCTAAGGTACCTTAGGTAGGTAGGATAAAAGTTTGCCCCCTTTTTCACGTGCGCGGAGTATACCTGGTATCGTTTCGGCGGTATGATGCACACTTACCCGATATGTTGACACACCCTGGACGGTGGCGTGGGCGGAAGGACGAATGTCGCCTTATCTGCCAAATAGTATATAGACGGAAAGCAGCGCAGAAAAGAAGGCGCTCATACATGGTCTGACAAAGATTCAGGACCAGGTCCTGCGTCCTCACTAATCACGTGCTATTTACTAACGCAGGGCAGGTGATGCAATCATACAATTTCATTCTAATTTCATGATACCTATCTATTTAAATTCTATATATATTTTCACGCAGTTGGGCTTTGCGGGACAGCCATGACGATTAACTTGGTCACCATGAATTCCTCGACACCTTCCTTTCCGCCCTCCTTTCCAAAACCACTGGCCTTGACACCACCAAATGGCAATTCACCACCAGCGATCACTCCAGTGTTGACGCCCACCATACCAGCCTCGAGCTCCTCGGCAACGCGCCACATGCGGCCCATGTTCTCGGTGCAGATGTACGAGCCAAGACCGACGTCTGTGTTGTTCGCCAACGCAATGACTTCCTCCTCGGTATCAAAGGGATACAGCTGAGCAACAGGGGCGAAGATCTCCTCGTTGTGGGAGAGCATGTTGGGCTTCATGTCAGACATGACAGTTGCTTCGAAGAAGTTGCCATTGCCGGGGATGGGTTTGCCTCCGTGTAGGACCTTGGCGCCCTTGCTGATGGCGTCTTCGATGTGCTTCTGGGCTTTTTGAACACCTTGAGGCACGGTGAGCGGTCCGACCATGACCCCCTCGCCAAACCCATCTCCGACCTTGACAGCTTGGAACTTCTCTACCAGCGCTTTGGCAAAGGCATCGTGGATCCCTCGCTGGACAAAGACCCGGTTGGCGCAGACACAGGTCTGGCCTGAATTCCGGATCTTGGCTCCCATTAATGCGCCCACCGCACTGGGAATGTCTGCATCGTCGAAGACGATAAATGGCGAGTTCCCGCCTAGCTCCAGAGACAGCTTCTTCAATGATCCTGAGCACTGCTGCATGAGAAGCGTCCCTACCCTCGTTGATCCCGTGAAAGACAACTTTCGGATCAGGGGATCCTCACACAGCGCCTTGCCCACCTCAGCCAGGTTCCCCATCGTCGTTAGGACGTTCAACACACCCTTAGGCAAACCAGCCTCCTCTGATAACTTGGTGATTGCCATCGCAGTCAGCGGGGTCTCGCCCGCCGGCTTGAGAACAACAGTACAACCGGCCGCAATCGCCGCACCCGCCTTACGAGTAATCATCGCCGCTGGGAAGTTCCAGGGGCAGAGACAAGCCACAACACCAATGGGCTGTTTGATGGCGAGCAGCCGGTTTGCAGTGTTGGAGCTAGAGGGAATGATGTCGCCGTACTGGCGCTCCGCCTCGCCAGCGTAGAACTCGAGGTACCCGGCGGCGAAGGCAATTTCGCCCTTGGCTTCCGCGTAAGGCTTTCCGTTCTCCAAGGTCATCAGCGTGCCCAGGTCGGCGGCGTGGGCATTCATCAAATCAGCCCATTTGCGCAGGATCTTGCCGCGAGCCTTGGGGCTGGATTTCTTCCATGTCTTGAAGGCGGCCGTGGCAGCGGCCGAGCTGGATGCGACCTCCGCGATGCCCATCTCTGGGAAGCTGGCGATGGTCTCACCATTGGCAGGATTCGTTACGTCGAAGGTCTTCCCGGTTGTAGATTGGGAGATCCATTCGCCGTTGATGTAGCCCTTCGTGATGAAAAGGCTGGGGTCTTGGAGTTGGGGTGCCATGGTGGATGGTTTATTGTGTGAAAGAGAGATGGAGAAGAGAGAAGGGATGGTAGACGGATGGTCGATGAATATCCGTCTCTTTCGTGTTATCCACAGGATCCGATTTCTTTTTCTACCCGTGGATGGTGATGCTCAAAGTGGGTGGTTTGCGTTTAATCGCCGGTGTTGAAGTCATGCTGGTTGCGGATTTAAGACGGAGTTCCACAGCTGCATATCACATGTTCTGTTGTATAGAACGAAGGGTCCGCCAACTCTACGAGGAAGACTTTCGTTGGAGAATGATATAGAAGCCTCTACGTCTCCAGTTTACATTTTCATTCTTGTTTATTTCACATACGATATAATTTCATCACGATGACGGTACCTACCAACGGCTCCGCGGCCACGCCTATCTCAGCTACCCAGCTGGTCCACCCCAACACTATGAAGGCCAAGCTCCGCGAGGGAAAAGTTGTCAGTGCAATGTCTATTCGGTACTCGCGGGGAATCGAGATAGTTGGCTACGCAGCTGCCTCTGGCATGGACGGGGTGCTTGTCGACCTTGAGCACAGCTCTATTGATCTCGACCAGTGCGCCCAATTCACCATGGCGGCTCTGGCCCACGGCATCACACCCGTGGTGCGAGTACCCAGCATCGACTGTAGTTTTGTCCCCCGGGTCCTGGATGGCGGTGCACAGGCTGTCATTATCCCCCACGTTAAGACGGAGAGCCACGCGCTGGAGAGCAGTCGAGCAGCGAAGTTCTTCCCGGACGGGGACCGCTCAGCCATTGGAGGGCTGGCGTCCCTGCGCTATGGTTCATTCCCGACGATCGAGGCCAGTCTGGCTGTCAACGAGCAGGTTATGTGCATTATCATGATCGAGACGCTGGAGGCGCTGGAGAACCTCGACGCCATCGCAGCGGTTCCCAACGTCGACGTGCTGCTGATCGGGACGAATGATTTGACAGCGTGCTATGGAATCCCAGGGCAGCACGACGATGCCAGGATCGAAGAGGCGTACCGGAAGGTGATTGCGGCGTGCAAGAAGACGGGCAAGGCGCTGGGCATTGGGGGTTTGTATGCTAGACAGGATCTGATCAACAAGTTCATTGGCATGGCGGACGGAATCGGCAAGTTTATCATGTGCGGTAGTGATCAGGATTATGTGCTCGAGGGCGCCAGACGGACGGCCAAATGGCTAGATGGCTATAATCATCAATGAAGTCGCAATAGGGGGTTAGTCACGTGATGCCCCTTTTTCTGGACAACTCATGAGGGAACCAGATACCAACTATCACATGTGAATGAGACCTTGCAGAGTGCGTGCCGGAGCGTGTTCTTGGCGCTGTCTAATCAGAGTGAGGTTGGTGTGCGAGAAGTGAAGCGTTGATTGATCGAACGGGGTTTACAAGGGCGTTGAAAGTGGGAGTGAAAGGGGGAGAACCGAGAGAACGAAGAGAGAGAAAAGGGAGGATTCCCGTCCGGATCTCTGCTTCCTGAGTCTTTGACGTCGTGACCGTGACCACAAATTCCGCCCTACGCCATTCCTCTTATGCCGTTTTGCCGCCCGCCGCAGTCTAGCCCAAAGTGGAGTGCCCCTCGGGTATTCTCCGCCGTCCTGGACTCCTCCGCGCTGTTGTGCGACACCAGCCCGCCCCGCCTCCCTTGCCTACTCCGCAAACTTTCACCCGCATTTCCCAGGAACCACAACACCCGCAACATGACGGCTAAACATGAATGGCAACCATCATGGCCCAAAAGACGGAGTCCCGCGTCACTGGCATGGGCCCGCCCCGCAATCCACCTGCAGCGTCTCCTTGCTTTCTCCGCTTCCCAGAACCTCAGAATCCCACATTCCCCGGTCCAGGCCTCTCGTCTGAGCCGGTAATAGTCGCCTCCGCATTTGTCACCCCGTCCTAACCCCGCAAAACGTGAAAGACTACTCATGGCCCTCTGGCCTGCTGCTGATTGGCTGACCCCCGCGGGGGGAGGCTAGTACCCCGTCGCCAACATCTGGTTGAGAGGCCAATCGAATTCTCCTGAAAAGATGGCCTCGACTTCTCTCATGCCAGTCGAACCTGGCCCATCTCCTCCTCTTCTTACCTCTCAGTTGTGGAGTGGATAGCTGTGCTTGACAGTCCTGCTCTACGATTCTCCGTGTCTTTTTTTTCGCCGCCAGATTTCCAGTTTTCCCGCAGTTTGTAGCACTGTCAGAAGCCACGATGGGAGTCCTTCAGAACTTGAAGCTGTGGGAGAATAACGTCACCTTCATTGATGAGAATGGAGAGATGGTGACCAAGAAAATGCCACGCGTGGCTCCTGCGGCCCCGTGGAAGGTCGTTGGGCTTTTGACTCTGGAGAACTGGATATTTTTCATCGTGGGCTTGTGAGTAGACCTGTGACGGCGTCATGTCATGGCTTCAGGCGAGACCGCTAACGAGAGTTATAGGGGTGCGTGGACAGCCGACGGTTATGACTTCAACGCCGTCAACTTGGTCGTGACGGACCTGTCAGTGAAGTTCGATAAATCGCTCAACGCAATTACCCTCTCTATCACTCTGACGTTGCTCTTTCGCTCTTTGGGCGCCTTTATCATCGGGCTGTTGAGTGATATGTTCGGGAGGAAATGGGTTATGGTATGATAACTCGATGGGCCCCCTGCGTTCCAACCATGCTGACGTTGGCCCGAAGTCGATCAATCTCTGGGTTCTCGCAGTTCTCCAGATTGGGACAGCATTTTGCCCTAATTACGGCGCCTTCATCGGCGTCCGTTCTCTATTCGGAATCGCTATGGGTGGGATCTGGGGACTAGCTGCTGCCCTCGCTCTAGAGAATATGCCTGTTGACGCGCGCGGCCTCTTCTCAGGGATTCTTCAACAGGGCTACTCGATCGGCTACCTCATTGCCGCGGTCATGAACTTGGCTGTGGTGCCGAAATCTCCACAAGGATACAAGGCCATCTTCTTCATTGGCGCTGGGTTCACTGCTTTCTGGGCTATTGTGGTTATGCTCATTCCAGAATCGAGAATCTATCGCAAGCAGGACTTGGGAGAGGAAGCGCAACATTCGATGAAGAAACGCACTTCTCTATTCCTGAAGGATGCTAAACTAGCAGCTGTTCAATACTGGAAGATGTTCATCTACTGTGTTGTCCTCTCGTCTGCCTTCAACTGGCAATCACACGGCTCTCAGGTAAGCGAAGCTCGAACTGACATAGTTAATCGACTCTGATACTGATCGCATCTCAGGATATGTACGTCACCTTCATCAAAGTCCAGAAAGGCTTTGACAATTACACAGCCAGTCTCCTCACCATCCTTGGACAATGCGGTGCCGTCGTCGGCGGCGCCATCTGCGGCTACTACAGTCAATTCTTCGGGCGCCGTCTCACTGTCGTCGCTGCTGTCTCCTTCGGCCTCGCCTTGATCCCCCTCTGGACGCTCCCCAACGACTGGCGCGTCCTCGCCGTTGGCGTCTTCTTCTTACAAGCCGCCAACAACGGGTCCTGGGGCGTGATGCCCGTCCTCCTGAACGAATACGCGCCGCCGCAATTCCGCGGCGTCTTCCCCGGCACCGTCTACCAGGTCGGCAACATGGTGTCGGCGCCAGCGGCGCAGATCCAGACCGTGGCTGCGACGCACTGGATCAAGCACGGCAGGCCCAACTACTCGCAGGTCATGCAGATCGTGCTCTGCATCGTGTTCGCCACGGTGGGGATCGTGACGGCGTGCGGGCAGGAGCGGACAGGTAGCCACTTCGAGCTGGTGAGCAGGGCGGGTGCGGTGCATGACGGGAAGGCGAAGGAGATCGAGCTGGATGAGGAGGCGGCGATGGAGATGGATGGCAAGACTGGATCTAGCCATCATGAGAACGCGAAGGCAGTGGAGGAACAGTGAAGATGCTTGGGATCCCTATGTTTAGATTTTAGGGCAATTAGGGATGTGAAACGCTCAGCGAATCCATCATCTTGCTATAAAGAATCTGATGTGTAATTCCTTCCGCTGACTTGAGGTGATCTTGTGAATGAAGTGAGTGATTGAACTGTGTGTGTAGGGCTATAGACTCAAGCTCTATCACTGACCATCTCTATCTATGGAGGCGGGGTTGAAATCCATCGACCCTTGACTGGTAGCTACCTGGTAGGTAGGTAGTGATCTCTGGATATTGATTGGGATGTGTTGATATATGACGAAGAAAGGGGTTAGGATTACCCGAGAGACAGTAGGCGACGTATTAGTCAGCACACCGCTCTTGCAATCACCTTCGCCTCAGTCAACTCACACAACTGATCTCTATGTTACCTTACGGTCTGAACTTGTCGGTTTTTCTTCGCCAACTATACTTGGTCCGACTTGGCGATTGAGCTCTGACTCCTGAATGTTGCGGCACGGTCATGATAACTCAGGGGCTGGAGACGTCGGAGAGGTTGGCGCAGGAATTTCGAATATGCAAGGCTACCCAATGTCGTCCAATTTGAGCCGAAATCAGGCTTAGCGCCAGCTGTACACCGTACACACCCAGCAAATATCCATGATCCACCATTTCAACTCACCAATTGGCAACTGGCCTTGTCTGGCCAACTCATGGTCGCCACTAATGCAGTTCAGGCGGCTTCTAAATTAATCTTTCAAATGTCAGACGAAAGAAAAAGAAATTATCGCTTCATCTTCATCAATTTTTTTCTTTTCGTTTCTCCCAGTTGGCAGTTCAGATGTGTTCTCGAGATCCAGACGGTGAATATAATATTTGCGGAGAGTTTGAATGGGAATCTCACCGACCTCTCTCTCGTACGTGGACAGACTTTTCAGGCCGAACGCTAAACCTTGATCGAGGATGGCGCCTGAGACTTTGACTTTCATGCCAAATGGCGATGTCACCTTGATCCTTACCCGCTATGTTATGAAAGAGGTGGAAGAACAGAGGTCGATCGAAGAAGATGGGCCACAGGAAGCCGCATCCGGAGTCGAGCCTGAAGCACCCGCAGAGCCCGAAGAGCCCGAAGAGAGTGTTCTGTTTTTCGCCCCTGATCCTCCTGGGAGCGAGAATGGCCCCTTCTACCCTCCACCACCGAGAGCATCGCGCGGGTCTGATGCCTCCTCACGGCGCGATCGCTCCCCGAGTCCTCCCGCTTCTTTTTGGGCCTCCTTGAAGAGACAACAAGCAGCGAGGGTGATTGAACCTAGCGAAGATGAACAACCCGTGACCCCACCAGTACGCGCAAAGAAGCCAGAAAGAATTGTTATATCGAGTCACGAGGTCCATTGCGTTGTCTCATCGAGGCACATGATGCTCGCATCTCAACATTTTCAGAAGATCTTGAGCGGCAATTCCAACGAGGCGATCACCCTTCATACCAAAGGGCACGTCACGATTCCACTTTCGGACGACCTGGATACTATGATTATTTTGCTGAATATTATTCACGGAGCCAGTAGGAAAGTTCCACGTCAAGTTAGCCTTGAAGTACTCAGCAAACTTGCGGTTCTGGTCAGTAGATATGAATTTCTAGAGACTGTGGAGTTCTTTTCGGACACTTGGATCGAAAATCTCCAGAGAGAGGGGCTTCCCAAATCGTATAATGAGAATGTGCTTCCATTGCTCTTCGTATTCTGGGTATTCAACAGGCCTTCTGAGTTCAAGGACATGTCCCGACTTGCCCAATGGGAATGCACCGAGGAACTGGACCAAGATGTGGGGGATGTTCCAATTTCACACAGTATCGTCGGTAAGGCTGATTTTTTCTGACTGAAATTGAAGAGTTCGAGCTAATTATACGTAGATGCAATCAAGAAAGGTCGAGAATTTGCGATTGAGACTGCCATCATGGTCATTCATACGCTCATCAACAGGTACATGGTTGGTGAAACTGTTTGCGACGGTTCCCTGGACGATGAGCTTAAATACGCCTGTGATTCTATGGTATTGGGATCCTTGATGAAGAGCTCACGCAAGATCGGCATCTGGCCTAAGCCCGAGGCACCATTCAACGGCAGGAGGTTCAAAGATCTCGCCCGCGCCATTCGAAGTATCAAGGTCTTGGATGTCTGTAAGAAGGGAAGCAACCAAAGATGGAATTTGTATGGTCCATCATCTAACTGCCATGGACTGGAGGACTCGATTGAGACATTGATGAAATCTATCGAGGCTGGTTTGGATGGATTGGAGCTGTCTGATTACACGAAGAAAAGGTAAAAACTTCGCGTATCTATATATTGTTTGAGCATGACTGATTTGAACAGTGAGGATTATACGTCCGAAATCCAAACCTCTCTTCTCGCACCTTCAAAGGACGAATTGAAGGAGCAAACGAAAGAGGATTCGAGAGAGAATTTTCAAGTCTGCATGAAAGAGGAAGTCGTAGAGGCGCCGAAAGAAGAGGTGAAAGTCCCTCAAAGAGAATACTCGGTACCGGAATCTAGACCCTCGACACGCGTCGACTCCAAGGAGGTGAAAGAGCCTGCGAAAGAACAAGAACAGACGAAAGCGGCTCCAAGAGAGTATTCGAGGGAGTCCTTGAAAGCGGAAGCCCCAGCAAGAGCCAGTTCCCGAGAAGTAGATGTGCCTGCGCAAGAGGAGGTGAAAGAGGCCCCAATACAGTACTCGAAAGATTTCCAACAACCGAGAGAGTATTCGGGGGAGACCTTGAAAGCGGAAGTAGGGGCCCCAGCGAGAGCCAGTTCCCGAGAAGTAGATGTGCCTGCGCAAGAGGAGGTGAAAGAGGCCCCAGTACAGTACTTGAAAGAATTTCAACAACCGGAAACACGAGTCTCCCCAAGTGTCAGTCTCCAGAAAGTGGAAGAGCCTGTCAAAGAAGAGGTGAAAGAGACTCCGAGAAACTCCCCGAGACAGGAAGCGAAAATGCCCGCAAAGGTGATTGCAAAAACGGTAGACGAGCCACCGAGAGAAGAAGTGAAGCCGGCACTGAGCGAGGAGGTGAACGTGCTCGCGGAGAGGAAACTCACCCGGACCCCTTCTTTTCCGAAAACCCTGAGCGAAGAGGTTAGATCGCCCGTGAGAGAATTTCAACTGGCACCGAAAGTGGCCTCCATGGAGGAGGTGATTGAGCAGGTACCGCATCCTACGAAAGAAGAAGTAAAGTCGTCAACGGTCGAGGTTAGAGAAACTGTGAACGCGGCCTCGACCACGACTAAGGCGGAAGATATGTGGGCCCCGCCCAAGAATTTCAAGCTGAGGAAGTCGAAGAAGACGTTCTCAACGAGGTACTGAGTTACGAAGTTATGAATCTGTCACGATATGGTCTGCTTGTTAGAAGGATAGGTTGCAAAATCAGTGTGGATGATGGGGGAGAACTTGAAAAGTTTGGCGTGTTTCCTCATGTTTCCTCGTGTTTCCTTCTATTACGCTCTTATGATACATGAATGATGTTACGAAGTCAAGAGTCAAAAGATGATGTAGATATAGAAGAGCGTTGCTTTTTATTCCCAGTTGTTATTTGAGTCTTGTTAAGTTTTGTTTTATTTAAAGCCATCTTCTTCGGCTTACCGTGGTGCAGCCACATTTAGATAATCAAATCAATTTTTACACACAAGCTTGAATCACAGAATCATGTACCATACATACATCACGTTCGGATAACTCGAGCCAATCTAAAATAGGCTTTATATAGGGGGCCAGGACGGATTCTTGGTATAGTAAGCTAAAGCATGGGCATGTATCTTCGGTCAGGCTGACGATGCAAAGTAAAATGAACGACTATATTCAAGAAGACACAGACCTAATTAATCTTGGCTAGGAAGCTGTAGCGGAGTCACTGAGAAGTGGGTTGAAACAATCCTCATGGTACTGCATGCGAGAAAGTTGAATACAGGTCTGTAGGTATTCGGCGCGATTAGGCCGTGCTTTCTTAGAAAGCAGACGTCGTTTTTATATATACTTCTTTGTTCCTTGGATTACCAAGAACTGTAGATATTCAACTTTTGATTTACTTTTGGGTTTTGAATTGGTGGTATAGATATATTATGCTTTATGTACAAGTTTTACCTTGCTAGGTGCCTGGGTAAGGTAGGTACCTACCTAGGTACTTGTGATGCTTCGTCTACCTAGGTAGGTAACTTACTAGTAGGTCCGGCTATTTCAGGGGCTTAAGCGAAGGGTGGAAGCGAATGTCTGCTCGGCCTTCCCTACCTACCTACCTAAATTTACAACATATACTATCTTATCTTACACAATACCTCCCTGCGTACTAGCATCAACCAATCTCCAAATTTCAGATCAGAAAAAAAGAAGATATAACGGTTTTCTTGATGGCGTGACAAAAAATAGCAATGTCTTTAAATTATTAACAAGCATTATGCCAAAAGTACAATGCGTTTACGATTCATGGAGAGGTATAGATAGATAGATATCTCGAGTAGGAGTATTAGGTATTAGCTTATAGGCTTTTAGATCTTCAAATGAGAGTTGTGGGATTTGAGGGGTAGTTGAAGGTTATATTATTAAGGGATCTTAATCTTTAGGGTTCGGATACGATATATCTTGTAGTGTATCAATCAGACGTGGTGAAACCTTGGGGCTTGTGTATTATTTTGGTTGTGCTTCTGGTTTCCTAAAATTTTGTTGCACATCGCAGTTGCGAAGCAATAGCCTCTTCACCTTTGGTTGTGCTCCTCACTCGGGTTGTGCTTTTTTGTCAACTGGTTTTGTTATACAGCGTAAACCCCTAAGGAATAGAATTGGCTCTTGTCTATTGGCTATTGCTTATTAACGTAAGCCAAGTAAATGTTTTGTTGCACGTCGCAGATAGAAAGCAATAGCCTCACCTTTGGTTGTGACTTTTGTCAACTAGGGTTTTGTTGCACGTCGTAACTCACAAGCAATAGCCAGGGCTCTTGCCTATTGGCTCTGGTCTGTTGAGTTAAGTCAAGTAGTAATTTGTTGCATGTCGTAACTCACAATAAGTAGACGGCGCTCTTGCCTATTGGTTCTTGTCTGTTGACTCAAGTCAATAATATCTTTGTTGCATATCGCAGTGTGACGACAACCTCGCTTTTGATCCTGTATCGTAATTCAGTATACCTTATCTATCTAACTCGGGGCAAATAGTTAGAGTTTAGTTGCACGTTGCAGCTGCGAATTAATACTCTCATCTTTGGTTGTGGCCTCATTTAAGTTGTGCCTCTTGTTGCATATCGCAGATAGGAGGCAGTAGCCTCATCTTTGCTTGTGCTGTCACTTACCTACCTTAGGTAAGGTAAGGTAGTTGTACTTCGTGTCAACTAATGTTTAGAGTTTTGTTGCAACTTGCACGTCGTAACTCACAAGGAACAGACAGTGCTCGTGAGTCAACTACGGTCTAGGTACCTACTTAGGTAGGTATGGAGATAAGGTTGGGAGGGTACTTTAACGGGGGTTATATAGACTGCATAAAATGCGGGACTTCTGGTATGGGACGAACTCGATTTCTTGCTCAAAAGGTGGTGGAGCGGATGGGAGTCGAGGAGTTTCATTAGTATGAGAATTCGATTATAATGCGTCTAGACTCGCAGAGTTTCCCGTCTTGATGCAATGATATACGATCCAGACACGGCAATAATGTATGGGGGAAAAGAAATCCAACCCCATCCTGCTCGAGAGACCCATTCTAACTCCATGTAAACAATACATTACTTATTGCGGTATCTATTACTAATCACCTATTCCTCTCTCAGGTATCATACTGATTCATACAGTCGGCATCACATATTTCCACCCCTCTCATGCTTCACCATCCTTCACTTATTCTCCGGCGGCTGATATGTATGTGCTGGCTGTGTAACGCCATCCCCACCAGCATACTGTGGCGGCGGCCCTGGCGGCGGCGCATAGCCCAGGTTCGGATCATAGTGCCCAGTGGCCCCTGGAGGTGCGCCTGAGTTTGCGTAGTTGTAAGGTCCTTGGTCTTGCGGCGGTTGCGATTCCATCGGCATCGAGCCGAGATATTGGTGCATACGGCGCCGGCGCCGTTGGGCCAGGAGACTGGAGAAATTAGATTAGCTATGCGCAGACTAGAAGGAAGTGGTGAGGAAATGACGAAGAGTTATGTGGAAGCTCGAGAGAATCGTACAGTAAGACTAGCAGTGCCACGGCTCCAACGAAGATTAGAATCCCGGCAAATATCCAGCGACCCCAACGATCCCAGTTCGAACGACAGTTACCACTGGAGCAATAACTGCGGTGATGTTGAAGTCAGATAGATATAGGTACGGCGCTGGAATAGGGTTGGGATTGGAGAGGTGAGGTGGGGATACGTACCCATAGCTGTAATACCGTGAGACAATCTTGGTAGAGGAATGGTACGAGAAGTACATATTGATGTATATATGTATGGGTTGCAGTTACCAGCCCGAGAGGTGTTGGAGTGTGTAAGTTTTGAGTAAATCTGGGGTAGAAGAATGAGCGGAGAATAAAATAGAAAGTATGACTCGTGATATGCGCAGACGCGGCCGTGGATCGTCGCCTTGGTGCAATGGTGCCCGGCGCTATTGCTATGTATATACACGCTAACTCTGGTTTTGGCAAATGGTAAACGGTATAGATATATATATAGGACATCGTATCCGGAATCGAGATTTCGAGAAGCGTTCAGGGACTCACGGAGAATAAGGAAAGGGAACGGGAGAAATGATACCTAACACCTACATCGACTTACTTGCATCATCCTAATTCAAAGAAGATCGAAAATAGAGAAAAGGACTTAGGGTTGCAGTCGACAGAATGTATGATTGTTCATATTTAGGAACCCATGCTTGATCATGACGGCTCCAGCGAAGTGCTATCAAGGTGGAAGATGATGGATGAAGTCTCCTTGTGTCTGTGGTTCGTGACGTTGGATACGATTAGTCATCCCTCGGTTGACATCACCATACCTCACCCCGCGTAGAGGCCTGACAGCCTGAAATTTGGGGGTATAACGGGATGAATAGAAGACCTCAGCATTATTCCTTCTTATTGCTTATATTTCGTTTCTGGTATCGGTTATGGAAGCGGCATCAGTTCCTCTTAAAGGGTAATTATTTTAGAAAAGGGCGGAGGTAGATTATTAAGTGTTTTACAGCCGTTTTTAGAAAGGATTCAGGGAAAAAAGGGGGAACCTTCGCTTACAGGACCTCCTGTCCCAAGCGAAAGCCTATATCGGCTACTTACCTAGGTACCTAGGTAAGGTAGGTAGGGGGAATAACGAGCTTAGGATTATTTAAGATTATATTTTGCTGGTTTGAAGTGGAGGTTCTGTACGATCTCTATACATCATGTGGTTCATATCTTTAAAGAGCATCCCACGCCCATCCACGATCTGTCGAGCTCTTCTTCCTGGCTGTGCGGGTACTCATTATCGTCAAACATTTCGTCAGTCATTACCTCCATTTCATCTGAGGAAAGTTTGCGCAGCGTTAAAGCAAGTCGCGCATTTCGAATCCCATTATGATGAAAGCCATGTTGTAGCCCTTCGACCAATAACTCCGTAGCGTGGTCACAGACTTACAGAACATGACCGGTGGGCTTATACGTTCAAAAAGTGTCAGGAGAGTTCTAGCTAGACTTAACGATTGCACTTTCTACGATGGGCAATTTGAATCTTGATTAAAGAATAACTTTCTTATATTTAATCTTATGTTTCAAATGCATATTACATGAATTCTGAGTCCCGTTTCCCCCGAGTGACAGCTGAAAGTTTCTCTGGCGCAGAGGATGAAAAGGGCCAGCCGGATCTTGATGAATGTGTGTTCCCATACCAGACAACTTGAGATAATCACGGGCTTTATGACCATGCTTCCGGACTATTTAAGAGTTGGTAGTTGTCGCAGGCGTAAGGTTAGGCAAGCTCAGAATTTGGCTTCGGAAGTGATGATCCAACGGAAAAGGAGTCCCGGAGAAGGAAGAGTAACGTAAGACACCGGTATCTCGTGCAAACGTCAGGCATAACCTTATCCTTGTTCTAACTTCTCTCCTTTATTGTTGGAACTTGGTCATCGAGGGGCTATGGGCCTTATGACGATCAAGAAGGGGGTATTATTGAGTTGAATTGATAAGAGCGAGACTCCGAAATATCGTACAAGGCACCAGCAGATGGCCCATTCTGCTCGAGTGGAGATGCAAGCAAAGTGCAATCCAAGAACGCCAGTGCGCATTTAATATGCCATCTTTCCCGTCAAAACCTCCTCAATCAGGACCCGATTATCGTGGGAAAGGAATCCTCTTCCCAAACGCCAACGCAGCCCATCCACCAATCAGGCACAACCCACCCAGCGGTGTAATAGGGCCCAATGCCTTGAATCTCTGCGGATCTAGCACAAGAAGGTATATGCTGCCGCTGAACATTGTCATGCCTGCCACCAACAAACCGGCTGCAAGTGTATTCTTCGGAGCGACCGCGCTGGTCAGGAGGAGGACGCCAGAATGGATGAGCTGAAGGGCAAAAGTATTAGCACGATACTATCTATGATATAGGCAATAGGGGAGAACAAGCGACTGAGAGGGAATTACTTGGTAATGAGCTGCCGTGTTCCAACTGGCGATTCTGGCCGGATCTGCTATGCGTTTCTTCAGGCCATGAGCTCCGAATGCTCCAAAAGCAACAGAGGTGGCGCCGTAGATGCAGCCAAAGGTCCAGAACGGGAACGGCATTTTGGATGTGGAGGATAATGGTCTAAGGATGGTGGATCGTCGAGGTGTGAAGTCGTCGAAGACATTTGGTGCTGAGTCAGCAGCCCTCCGACCTTCCGATGTCCCGGCTTCTATCCCCAATTCATTTTCTTCGTCCCTTTTACCTCACTGTCGAAACATGATGCAAACCAACTTTGGACAAGTCGTTGATTGTTCGATGCTTGCGCGTTGCTTGCGATTGAAGAAGGGTAGATGTTGTAATGACAAGACTACCTCATTAATAGGAATTAAGACCTGATAGATCGCAACTTATACTGACTTGTGTGAAACGACTAGAAACCAAAGAAAGCTCAAGCATATCACATTAGAGTGAAGTCTCAGCTACGAGAAATGCATTGGAGATACTGCATAAGGCAGCGGCTCGTCACAGGTGGCAAACGCATTTGTTCGGGAGGTCAACCATGCTTAAGCACGCCTCCTGTAGACGTTCCTTCATCTTCAGCACCTTTTTTATCAGCGACTACCTTACACTCGGCCGTCGATATATATCCCGTCACTATAGAAGAAGGATCTGGAGTAGGAGGTGGATACGCGCCAATTGCGAAGTGGGGGCCGGCGGAAAGGCGGGGATGGGGTGGAGCGGGACCGCGGGGTACAGCGATGCCCGACCTCTCCGCCCGCTCAAGTATCCTTCTTATCTACCGCTGGAGCTCCAACTGAAGGATAAACTGACAATCTATCTCCAGCGCCGCAAATCTCCTCACTATTCCCGCTACATGGCATGCTACAGTCAGTTTGATCCGCTGCCAAGCCTCCTCCGTTCTCTATATTAGTATCAGGAACACTGAGTCTTGTTGACAAGTGGACAACTACGTCGGCCCTGGGGGCATTATGTGTACAACGCTTAACAATGGAGACATAGGAAAGAAAGGTGAACGTATACGAAATTACTAGGTCTAACAAAAATAAAACCGTTAAATAGTTAAAAAGCAAAATGAGATGAACTCCAAGGAATCAGAAATAGGCTAGCCAGGCGTAGATTATGAGTATAAACCCGCGCTTACTAGCAATGACACAATGTATAGATGAGAGTCACACTTGATTCCTCTTCTATATATTACTAACAAAAAGAAATTGTTTTCATCTGTCATAAGTAGAGAGAAAAAGTAGATTGAGATGAGGATCGAAATTACTTGGGGATAGAAGTTACAAATTGCCTCTGCCTTTGATTCCCTTTCCGGCTACTCGCGTCAAAGAACTCGTCCAGACACAAAGGCGAATATGGTAATTGGGAGCCCTCAGAATAATGCCCTTCAGCTGAACATGCGGAGTTTTCCTTTCCTCGAAGATGTGCTCAGGGAAGTAGTATAAATAGTGCAAAAGTACCGGTTGAGGAATACTCCACATTCCAGGTCAACACCGCTTTGTGGATGTCCATCTATCTCTTACTCTCAAAGTCATCGTCGACGTAAATTAAAACGCTTACATCAATCTCCAAGATTATTTGACAACGCACTATTACAATGGCAGGCAGGGTGTTAGCAATGGATCTCGTGGATGAGACAGATGAAGATTCCGCTTCCTCTGTGGGATCTCTCAGCCCCGTCCTTCACCCAGCGACTTTTCCTCCAGATTTCAAACCCGATCTCACAAAATATGCAGAACGCTATGGCGCTTCCAAACATGAATACTTCAGAAACACTGGCAAAAGCGGCATCAGTCCTATCTCACCTCCCAATCCCTTCTTCCCCCAGTCACCGAGAAAGTTGTGCCGAGCACGACTGGAGGAAAGAATCCAGAGGAAGCGATTAACAGACTTCGCTTCATGGGAGCTGCAGGACAGTGGAAGTTGGTCGACGGATGAGGCGGCCTTGAGCGATCTTGCGGCAAGTGTCCCGCTTCATCATCTATATCGGCGGGATATGTGGCTACGAGGGAATGTCCCTATCGGAAATGGATACGAGGGAGTGTGGGATGCGCACGAGCAGGTTGTCTGGGATGCGATCCTTCCAGCTTTGAGATTAGCTTCTTTGCTATTGAACAAGAGCCTTGAAATGCCATGGTACGTTGATCTTTAAGATTGATCTAACAAAGATCATATTTTATGATAGTCGCAGAAGTTATGTCCGCGTTGAATAGGTTGTAAAGTATGCTTGCGCAAAATTGAAAGTTAACATACATCAGGTTAGATGCCCTCCAACGTGGTCGTTTCAACGTAATCCCACGGGAAGAACTTCTACCGCGTCTAGAAAAGTATAAAGAAGAGTTCTCCTTCCACACTCGGACGCAGGAAGAGATTATGGCCGATCTTGGCCTAAGGGATGAGTATCTCAGAGAGTTAGACGTGGAATTAAACATGGCAATAGGTTCAGCGATGCATGGTACAGAGTGCACTATGCGCAATGGACGCCCCGTGATAATCGGAGGCAAGGGGCCTAATGTCGAAGGAATAACCGAATTGAGGTTATTGAAAGAAAGGGTGGAGGATGAGTGGAACGTTGATGGGATCATAACGACCATTCATCTCCATCTCCTGGAGCCACTCTTGCGTACTGACCTCACAAATTCGGAACGGCTAGCTCAGCAATTCTACGTGGCAACTACAGTGAGTTCTCTAAAATAACCATCTGTATCATTTTACGCTAAACTACATTCACAGCTCGTACATGAGACTATGGCAAGTTTAACTCTTCAGCTATTTTATATTCATCATTGATTAATTGCATTAATAGCATAGCATTGGGTTGTGGAAAAGAGTAAAATCTGGAGATACGGATAATAGTTTCGAACCCGTATGAGTGCCAAAAGTCCCTAGGCATGTAACTAAAGAGACCCTGACGTTACTCTAGTTTTTCGAAAACGAGAAAATTGCAGAGCTTGGCTACTCATGGGAAAACTCGGTAGGTACCAATCATAAGGATGACATAACAAGCTGATGAAAGATGACCCAAGTGTTTCGGCGGCCGAGTTGGAGGAATTTTTGTACCCGTGCCAGGCGATGCATCAAGTCGGCCCATATTAGGGGCGACTATTATTTCCTGGCCAGATTGGGGACATTTCAGCAATCTGGAAAATGGCACTGCTCTCCCATCTGGGCGATTCCGTCTGGGCGAAGACTTTGGTCCGGGTGCAGTATCAGATAGATGGGCCATCCGGACATCGTTTATTGAGGGTATTCAGCAAGCATCCTTCTGGTCAACACAAGTGAGAAGCTTTGGACCAGACGTTCTTATCCCACAGAAGATGGTAGGACGTCGTTTGATAAGGAAAAATGCAGAGGGAGAATCTTCCCAAATTACAATTGTCGGACCTGACTACAAGTCTTGGCAGCTTGATAGCTCAATGCCTGTTCCAGCACCAGATATTCAGGCAACCGACGACTACGCTACTAGATGGATGAAAGAGAGCCAAAGAAGCTTCCGAGCTGATGCAGTGCGATTTGCGTTGAGAAGACAGCAGCAAGGATGGGAAACGTACAAAAGGGACGTGAAGCGTGTCGCTGACTGGGAAACAAGAAGAGAAAATAGCACCAAAGTTCTGAGTCATATGGGTCGCTACCGTTTAGATAAAGTCAAGGAAGCGCGTGTTAGGGTCGAAGTTTGGAACATTGAAACGGAAGCCATGGAAAAGAGAGAAGTCATGCTTAGAAATCAAAGTCTCAGTCCTTCGGAACAGCAACAGAAATACTACGAAGCTAAGTTGCAGGAAGATAAGGAATCTCAGATGCTGAAAGATGCACGGCAATGTCAGGAGACCAATTCTGAAGCCCGGGCATTCCAAATTTGCCAAGATATTCTACTTGAATCTAACTCCATGGTCATGAGAGCACATACACACGCTTTGCTCGGGAATTTGGTCGTTACTACCGATCGAAAACGTCATCTACAATCAGCTATGGCGACCTTCCAGGCTATGGAAGCCCTGACTGACAAAAGTCAAAACTGGCGGGAGTACATTCAAGACTGTCGAGCTGTCCTGAGTAAGATTGAAGCAGAAGACCGAGAGAAACGTAAGGAAGTTCGCAGGGGTCTACAGGATCAGTTTCTCAACGGCGTAGAACTCCAGAGGAGCGGCAATGAGAGCGAGGCGGCGCGGATCTTTGTTGATTTATTGAGATGTAGTTATGTCGAGATCCAGGCTAGGTCTCATCTGATGCTGGCAATAATGACCAATACGCCGGATAAGCTGCATCATACGATGGAGGCCAAGCGGCGTTTGGAGATTTTGCAGAAGACGTCTCCGAATCAACCCGAGTGGGCATATATGGGTGGCTGGGAGAAGATGAATATGATGGCTGATAAAATGCTGGATTATTGTAGGCGACATCCTGGTGAATAGGGTACCTGGGGATTGAGATGAAAAAGGAGGGACTCTGATGAAATTGTTCTTTTTTCTGGCACCTGGCTTCGAAACCATGGGAAAGAAAAACTACTGTAGTTCTCATAGCACTCGTTCAACTTTATCTCCCCCCTTTAATTCCCTTTTCTGACGTGGGCTTTTGTCCCCTATGTAGTATTAGCGGTCATATAGAGCATTTGGTATTCCCATCTTGTTCCTCCGATCACCCCATTAGTACATTACCGGACCCCAGACTCCCTGACCAGAAGTTTAGAACCATACTCCAGTCTCCAGAACATTATCCATTCAAGTAACCGAAATAAACCGAAGTGTTGACAGATTCCTGAAGGTCCCGAAACACTGGCTTATTTCAACGGGTTTAAATGGTGCATATTGTGACCCCAGGTCATTTCCCTAGGAACTATTGGCTTTCAATGGTTACAAGTGCTCGGAATAACAATTATGTGAAGTACTTCACGTGCATAAACATGCAATAACATATATTCGATGAGGTCCGTGACAGGCACTTGCAGATACACTCCTGGGGTGCATGATGTATCTTGCCGGAAACGCGGGGAATATTCTAAAAATGGGCTTATTCCGACGGAGGCCAGGGGATTGCGGAGCCGTGGTAAGTTGAATTGGGGAAAATCAGCTGTAGTTAGAATATATAACAATGGATTCTGTATTATGTACAGCATTAGAATGAAGATTGAGCGCAATAACCCCCTACCTGCCTAAGGTACCTATGTCTAGAAATATTAGTAGAACGAATAGATAAAATAGCCCGAGAGCCACATCTTCGGTACCTGATTACTCTGATTCATGTACACCATCATATGTATTTGTGTAGCTATAAGTGTACCTTATGTATTGAGTACCTTACCTCATATCGTAGTGTCAAGGAATAGGACATTACCTCTTCCCCCACCTTATACCCCATAACCCCGTCCTTATATCCTCGCTTAGACTTCCGTTTCCGTCGAAGGCTCGGTAAGCCAGCCGGTAATTAGTAAGCACCTTAAAAGCGCTCCAATGTTCGATTAGGCACGTGATTCGATCCGTCTCAGCGACCAGGTTTCCTTGTCCAGGATCTTTATTGAGAGACACGACGACTGGACATCCAGACCCTGACATCGCCCCCGCAGTGCCTCTGTGCTTTGCAAGCATTCATCGAACTCGACTGACTTCTGATCCCAGCCCAGGCTCCCAATGCCATGGACAGCCGAATGCTGCCCGATCGTGAAGGGGCATTCTCGGGTCAAGGACTCGGAACCCATGACCGTGCCTTGTTTTGCGTCTTGCTTGAAACCTCTCTTTTTGGCAGAAGCGCGGCTTGTGCTCGCAGTCTTATAAGTCACTACGGGCTACTTAGTTCTATGTCCGTTCAGTGCTCGGCGGTTTAACGGCAACACCTGGAGCGGTCACCAAGCGCTATGGGAGTGACCCCTGTTGTCCTGCGAAGACTTGCCGCTTCTCTCCCCCATCCCCGCATTCCAGCTTTATCTCTCTCCTTTCCTTTTGTTCCTCGCTTTTCTTCGTTCCGCGTTGTCTTCTGTGCCATGTATCTGTGTTTCTTGGATAGCCTCGGATCTTGAGATACGTTCCGGCATATTGTCTCAGCCTCTTCGACCGTCACCAGTCATCACATCCCGGCCTCGCCTTCGCCATCTTCTGCCGCCACGGGTACCTTGCGATTCAAGATCTGCATGCCAATGTCCCAATTCATCCATGTACATGTAATCAAGTCCTGTCAACTGATCAGCGGGGCCGAGAGAAGTCTGGGGCATCAGGTAGAGACACTGGAAAGCGGTCCGATCAAGGAGAATTGGGAAAATCCTCCATTAGCGATTACTTACATCCTTTCTCCTGTCCTGTTACAACGTTTGTTCGACCTCCCCCGTTCGTCAATTTGCTGACAATCACGAAGCAAGTGTTGACTTCGAGCACATTTGACTCGACTACACACCGTCGTGATGCTGTGCGCCCTGCATTACAACTGCTCTTAATAATGTAATAACCCCATTGTTGGTTTCCCGACATTCGCGATGTCAGGTCGGCCGCAGGTCGGTATCGACCGACTACCTGCACGCCGCATGAGCAATGAGCCACGAGAATCAATGAATTGCAAGTCCTGCCGGAAACGGAAGGTTATTTTGTCTTCTCGAGAAGTTCTTCCATGTTGCTAATATATAATTCCAGATTAAATGCAATCGGTTGCGACCGACTTGCGAGGCATGTCAGGTCTTCCAATGCCCATGTATATATGGTCGGGGATCTAGAATCGCAATATGGTATAATACTAATGGAATTCTAGATGCCGTCCCTAAGAAACGCGGACCAAAGACAGATGTGTTAGAGGCTTTGCTGAAGAGGGTGGATGGTTTGGAGAAGAGACTGAAGGACGAGAACAAGGCGCATTTGCCAAATGATGATACTGGATCAGTGGAGAAAGAAGAAAATGTCAACCAGGACACGAAACTGGAGCGACCCCAAATTGATACTGTTGATACTGGGGAAGATTCCACCATTTCAAGAAGGTCAGAAATCTTGTCCTAGCGGAGATGAAACGCTAACATGATTTCATAGTGAACCCCCAGGAGCTGTTCAGCCTGATGCCCTCGTCAATACGTATTTCACTCGATGTCATGGCAAACCATATCACATCCTTGACGAGACCACAACTCGACAAAAAATCCGACTCAAGCAACTTCCAACGTACCTCCTCTACGCGATATACGCTGTCAGCGCTAGGTGATTATATCATAAAAGTGGAAGAATAGCGCTGATCAGATGCAGATATACGGCACATCCAAATGGATATTATGCGGCAGCGGGGTTGAGTGAGGATTACGCATTACGTGCAAGGACTGAGTTGGATATTGACGATCCATCAATAGACTGTTTACAGTCCCTTTTGCTCCTTACAGAAGCATTCACTGCAGCTGGGAAGGGCAAGAAAGCGTATATGCTACTAGGTGGGTTATATTTACCTTGGCACAAGACATATACACTAATTATCACTAGCCAGTGGTATTGGAATGGCGCTTGCACTGGGATTGCATCGAGAATGTGACTCCAAGATCAAAATGACGCCCAGCGAAAAAGAAATGCGCAGACGGTTATTCTGGTCCAGTTATGTGATGGATAGGTTCATGGCATGCGGCTCAAAACGACCTTCCTTGATCGCGGACGAGTCCATTATGCTACGCTTTCCATCCTGGCGTCCAAACCCAGCAGCGCTCCCAGTTGAGGGCGAGTTTTTCCAAAACGGATCAAATCTACAGTACCACTCGGGATCCGGAAAGAAAAGCCAAGGCAGCACTGGATTACTCATAGATATTGTACGCATTCTTGGAATTACAAATCGATATCTGGCCGCTGGGGGAGTGAGAGGAGATAGCCACTTTCCTTGGCATTCATTGTCAAATCTCTCAAAAATCCGGCAGGACCTGGATACTTGGGCATCTGGGACGCAGGATGTCTTCTCTTCTATTGACACGCTATTCGGACAGCCAGACAGTACGGTATGGGTACTGAGTAAACTCGTCTACCACCTAGTTCATTGTTTAATATACCGACCTTTCCTCCCAATTGACCTGTCCGAACTGGCGGGAACGGGCCAACATCAATCTTGGCAAATAGAAGCCACGAATCTATGCTTCCTTCATGCAAATGCAATCGCTGAATTGGTAGAACTGGGAAAGCAGTCGTCTGGAATTGGGTGGCCTGCCTTCGTTGGGTACTGCATATGTACGGCCGGCACGGTGCATGTTCATGGAGCGCACTATAAGGGGGGCAGGGAAGGAGAAGTCTTCTCAGCCAGTGCAGACTTCCTCTCCCGGGAGATGAAGCAACTATCAGAACTTCGCTATACCTGGGCATCAGTACAACACCAACGGGAGACTCTGCAAACGATCTACGGCTGTCATTCAGAGCTGGTCAAATCCTTGGCAAGCAATCCAACGAGGTACTCTCCAGTATTTCACTTGGAAGATTTCTTCGACCGCTACAGCGACCTGGGGCAAATCATTGACGGGACTCATATCTCATTTTCTGACATCCTAACTGATCCTACCCACGAGCCATACACTGGCCACGACATTTACGCCTCCCGATCTTCCAACTTACAAAATGCAGCTTCTCAGATCTCGCTGAAACGCCGCAGATCCTCGTCCTCACGCAAGATACACGATTTGAAAATTCCACGTCGGAACTCAAATGGACATGCCGATGCTAATTCATTGCTCTCTCCAGTGGGCACTATTAACAGTGAGCGACATGCCCCAGACACGAATTTGAATATTCAAACACCAAGCATGCTAGAGACCCCATTTCCGAGGGATGCGAATGGTATGCCGAATCTCTCTCAGACGCCTTTCTCACCCCCATTTGCATGTTCCTCTCTTCAAGTCCCCGAGAATTACGATTCGATGTTCGGGATCGCGGGTCTCAATTCTGGCACTCCAGGGGCGTTGAACGGGGGCGTTATGCCATCGCCCCAGATGAATGGGGATGCGTATGATTATGGTATGGAGCAGCCGCCAGTGATGACACCTGGGGGAAGGAGTAATGGGGAGAGTTCTGGGGCTGGTACGATTGGGCGGGATGGCGAGGAGAAGGATCCGTTCCTGAGTTTGCTGGAGCAGCTGGCAGAGAATGAACATTCACTTGGCGGGCCGAGCGAGTTGGACTTCTTCCTGAACGGGGCAGCGAATGCTTGAGCAGGATTGAAGGTTGCTAGTTATGGATTTGAAGACGGGAAGATCATGGCGCCACTCACTGAGAGGCAATATACGTGCCTGGACGCTTAGAAGGGATGAGTATATAGGTACGGCCGCGGTGTATACAGTATCACATGACTGTTGGTACAACGGGAGAACTCCCAAGAGGGGACGAGAACTCAGACAAGTCTGGAGATGGGGCACCGACTCAAGAGGAGTCATGGCTGATAGTGCCAGCATTACTTACAGATTACTGTATACATCTCACCTATGAACAAATAATCCCGCCGATACACAAGCAGGATTTCCCAGGTCTCTCGTCCCTCTCTCGCAAGTCTCTCCCAAAAAGCTGTCAATACGCGAAACCACATTACCGACCAACTTACCGCGGCGTTTCTCGCTTCTATTCCCCTCCTTCATGCCCAAAGGTCGCCAAGCCCTCATCCTCCCCCATCTCCCATCTCCCATCGCCGCGCAAGGATCTCTTCGGGCCGACTTCCCCTCCCGTGAACTCTCAAGGACGGGTTAACCCCAGAAGTTTGATAGGTAAAGCCAGCGGAGCGGCGGAGCGGAGGGACAGATGCGGGTTGGGGCCCTTGGGGGGTTTAGTAAGGCGGGGTAGGGACGCCACGGGGGGGAATGGGGGAAATGGGGGAAGGGGGCGGACATGATGGATTTGGGTGACCACTGACAACCAGACCACAGTTGGTTCAAACTTCAGAGAGGAGGGTCTGGCGGTGAAGCGAGAAAGGAGGGCAAAGGGGGCAAAGGGGCAAAAGCAGAGAAAAGGCAAAACTAACACACACTACTATTTTTGGAGTTTCCGTACCCAGCTCGGTATGCGTTTTGCAGAGGATATTTTCGCTCTGTGTATCGTCTGACTCGCGAGCCTCGGCCACTCCGCACTTCATGAATCCAGCAAGGCTCGGCTAAGTGTTGCTGTGTAAGGACTAGTTCCACCCCGGGTGGCTCCAGCACGACGTCATTAGCGAGGGATCTCCCTTTCGCCTCCGCAACCCACAACCCACAATCAACTCTGCCTCCCATGGTTTCGCCCCACTGCCTCTCCCCGCTGGCTTTGTTTTACGATAGACCGTTTATCAGTGGCTGTCCTTAAGCTCTTGGCCTTCCGGTACTATCGCAGATCTGGCGTTGAGAGCGAGCCCGTTCACGATGGCATTGTCCCACAGGAAGACACCGCCTGTTTGGGCCAGGTCGAAAGAGGCGATTCGGTCATGGCACAGAGAACAGAGACCTCTGTCATAGCGCGGGGCTGAGCCCTTTATTCTCCCTTGATGACTGCAGACACTGGACCACCACGACGTAGGACGAACGGGGTCGGGTCGTGACGGGTCCCGTACGGAAGGGAGAAGGCGCGAGCCATCATATACATTTGAAGTCGAGAAAATACCCTCAACATCCTGCACACGGCCTCAGCGGCCGCATGGACTCGGCGACGACCATGACTTTTATGCGCTCCTGAAAAACAACCCTCGAAAGTCCCAGATATGGCGTCTGACTTCCACTCCCGCGGCCGGTCCGTGTTTATTGTCACCACCATCACCTTTGTTCTGGCCACGATTTTTGTCGTGGCTAGATTGTTGAGTCGCTTTTGGATTGTGAGGAACAGGGCTTGGGACGATTGGTTTATAGTATTAGCCTGGGTGAGTGCACGCTTTACTTCCAATTCTCGGCGTGCGTTGTGGAATACAGGCTGATGTATGTACTACGCAAACAGCTCATTGCCTTTGGCCTCTCGTTTTCAATTGATTATGGCACGAGCAAGGGACTGGGGAGGCACGATGCTGACATCCCTGAACATTGGCTATCCGGTTTATATAGCTCGGAATACGTGTTCACGATTCTGTATAACCCGGCCTTGATGGCTACCAAGACGTCGATACTGATTTTCTACCTGCGGATGGCCAAGAATACGCAGATTATCTTGAGGGTTTCCTCCTATGTTACGCTCGCAATCGTTAACATCGCGGGCGTCGTTCTCACTTTTATGAATGCGTTCCAATGTCGACCAATCTATGCTGCATATACTCCCCATACCCAGGGGAAATGCATTTCGATTGTCACACTATACCTCTGCTCAGCGCCCGTGAACGTCATTACGGATCTAGCTATCTTGGTTCTACCGATTCCGGTCCTCACTGGAATGCGTTTGCCGCGCAAGCAGAAAACCGTGCTAGTGTTCACGTTCGCTCTGGGTATATTCGTCACGATTATCGATGTTATTCGGATTTATTACCTACAGAAGGCATTGGATGCACAAGCGTACCTTATTTCGAAAGAGCGACTGGGGACGAGCCTCGATTTCGCCTGGACTGCCAGCATGGCCCTGATGTGGAGCGCTGTTGAAGTAAATGTTGGCATCGTCTGCGCCTGTATCCCAACTTTGAGACCTTTAGTCAAACTCATCTTACCTTCCATGATCATGGACCGGTCACATACGGAGAAAGGTGCCTCTTCTGGTGATCAGCAACCCTCAGGTTCCAACCATGTGCACCGCGCACCTTCTGCGATCGGAGATCACGAACAAGAAATTCAGTTACCGCCTCCCGCGCGAATAGCAGGACAGCAGGAACGAGAAATAGGGATGCTCGATTTCCTTACAACTCCCTCCATGGATGAAATTGACTTGGGATCTGGAATTTCCCGGACACGCACAGCGGATACACGTGTTTCGGAAGATGGCGTTTATTTCGGATTCATTGATATGAAACGGCCAAAGAGCATGCTTACAACATCGGGGTTGGAATCCTTCAGGTACTGCACTATCGTCACGCTCCTCTTCTTCCTCTGGGGATTCTCGTATGGTCTGCTCAACACACTCGACAACGAAATCGCGAGAATTGCACACCAGACCTTCAGTCAGGATCTGGCATTGACATCGGCTTATTTTGGAGCATATTTCTTTGGCCCATTGACAGTAGGGCAATGGGTCCTTCGGCATGGAGGGTTCAAAGCGACTTTTATCACGGGTCTCTGTATCTACGGGACTGGGACGTTGATGTTCTGGCCTTCGGCTGTCCTGGCATCTTTTCCCGGCTTCATCATATGTCAATTCGTGGTTGGCTTTGGGCTTTCTATTCTCGAGACGGCAGCCAATCCTTTTATCGCACTCTGCGGTCCCCCACAGTACGCAGAATATCGTCTACTGCTTGCACAAGGCGTTCAAGCCTCGGCCAGCGTTCTGTCGCAGCTGCTCGCTCAGAAAGTCTTCTTCTCGAAAATCATTAGCAAGCTCAGCCTGATAGATGTACAATGGACGTATCTTGCCATTGCGCTCTTCGCCGTTATCCTCGCCCTCTTTTTCTACTATGTCCCCCTCCCGGAAGCGACCGATGCGGATCTGCAGTCTCTCACCGAAAACCTTTGCGCCTATCCCGACCAATTCTTCCTCTCCACAAAACTTCCTCTGATATATGTGACCCTCGCACTCGCTATCTTCGCTCAATTCGTTTATGTAGGTGCTCAGGAAAGTATGTCAATCTGGTTTGGGCCCCTCTTGTACAAGCTGGCCGGGCACTTAACAATAAGTATCGATGATTACGGCCTTGTCGCACAGGCAAACTTTGCAATTGGTCGCTTCCTCTTCGCCTCTCTCGTTCTCCTTGTCGCACCTCGAATCCTTATCCTCCTTGCTTTCATCCTAGGTACTATCTTCGCCATCTTGACCATGTCCCTCACGTTGAACGCAAACGGCATTGCCGGCCCTGCCCTGGTATTGTTCTTCTTCGAAGGTCCTATCTTCCCCCTGGTGTTCGCCATCGGGTTACGCGGGATGGGGAAACGGACGAAGTATGCCGCGGCTGGCCTTACGGCAGCTACTAGCGGTGGCGCGGTTTTCCCGTTTGTGATGTGGGCTGTGTATAAAGTGAACCATAAGACGGTCCAATATACCTTCTGTGTGGTCGTTGCACTTTTCGCATTCGGCATCACCTTCCCTGCCTATCTTAACCTTGTCCCTGGTGCGCGTCGTCAAGTCGACCCCCGCCGGATCAGAGGGCGAGATGATATGTCTCTCCCGGATAGCACTACACCTGCGGATGACGATCAATCCATAACTCCAATCCGAAGGTTGAGCAATAGTCTTAGTATCATTCTTTCTAGAGTGAGCGAAGCGAGATACAGGAAGAACAGCGACATGCTACCGGTCATAGAACACGAGAAGCGACAGGAGAGTTTGAGCACCGATCCGAGCACCTGAGGGCCGGCTATGATTTTTCTGCGCTGGGCGCTGGAAGTTGGAGGGCGTTTGCTGCTGCAGTTTAGCGTGCATTTGGTGGGCGTTTTTGTTTTTGGCATAGATACCACGGATCGGGGGCTCGATGGCAATATTTTTAGCCACGATAATTGGCTATGGGGTGTTGGAGCGTAGGGAATTAGGAATTGCATGCGTGCATGCTGCTACGATTTGGAAGTGTCTGATGACAGGAGTTTTGAAGTTCGTTGGAAATGATTATGTATACCCCATTTTGGTGTCGTAAAGGGGGCTGGAGTATAGTGATTCATGTTCACGATGTTATGAAAACCTATCAGTCTATTTTCCATTCCTTAATAACCTGTGATAATGTGATTAATGGTAGCATAAAATTGACAGTCCGGGGTAGTGGGGCGCGGGACGAGTAGGGAAAGCCACCCCGGATGAGCGCTCGGCTCGGGCCATATTTACCGATACCCGCGCCCGCGCCCTACGACGACCAGGGAGATCAACATCCAATATGGATACCCCACGCAGGCCAAAAAAGGGCAGGACCTGATCAACGACGCCCTCTCTTATTGTCCAGAATGCGACGGGGCTTTTCCATCCGCCCAGTTCTCTGCTATCTTCGCCGAGTTGAGAGAGCGCAGAAGTACACCACGCACCAGCACCAGCACCGCGAAGAGCTGCCCAACGTCAAAGATGCCCGCCATCCCTTCTACAACTACACATCTGGTCGCTGGCTGTAAGACTTCTCCCCGCCCTCCTCCTATTCCACACTTCCTCTTCTATGAGACAATAAAATAATCTCTCCACTAACCGGACAACCACGCATCAAGCTACAACGAGCATCTGCGCCTCTCCGAACGCCATCTACATTTCAACCTCGACGCTCTGCACCTCGCAATCGCCAAGTCCGTAAACCAACATCATGCCGATATAGTACGCTTCACGAAGCTCGCCGAGGGCGGCTCGTATCGGGTTTTCGAAGCGGCGTTCCGGGATGGATTGAGGGTCATCGCGCGCCTTCCATATCCTTGTACCATCCCCCGCAACTATGGCATCTCCAGCGAGGTTGCCACGATGGAGTTTCTCCGACTTCATGGTCTTCCGATTCCCAAAATCTTTAATTGGAGCTCATCGGCGTCCAATGAAGTTGGTTCCGAATACATAATTATAGAGCGTACTCCGGGGAAAGAGTTGGAGGATACGTGGTATACTATGACTTTACGAGAGAGGATGGCGGTTATTGAGAAGATTGTGAATATTGAAAAGATTCTTTTTGACATTCGGTTTCCTGCGTCTAGGAGTCTATTCTTTAAAGATTCGCTGGACGCTGGGGTCAAGAGCGTGGATATACCCAAGTACGACGACGAGACGGATGTAAGTGGATTCTGCATCGGACCTTCTACAGATTATCTATGGTGGTATCAAAATAGACATGAGCTGGGTGCGAATTATGGACCTTGTGAGTACCTCCCTTCATATACTCGCAGCAATTGGAATAAGATATCAATTACTGGGCCCTCCTATAACTCGGGAAGGAAGAGCTAGCAGAAAATCCATGGCATTTACCAATTGTCTTGGGGGCAATCTTGATCCTAATTGCGACCCCTTTACCTCTCAGCTAGCCAAAACGGTTCCAGTAATCGATATCTTATACTCCAATTTATGTGACCCCCGCACAATCTCATGTCAACAATCAACCTAACCGTGCAAGTAGGGATGGACACGGAAGAGTTATTGAGAGCGGTCGGAGAGAGGGAACTCCTATGGCTGCGTCGATTTGGCAAACCGCGATACCCACGTGAACCTCTTTACAGGGAAGTGTATAACAATCAAGTGGTCGATCCACAGGTGCAGATAAACCACCTCTTGAATTATCTGAAAATCGCGCCACACCTCGTTCCCCAAGCGGAAGAACTAAACGTGCCTACCATCCGCCATCCCGACTTATCGCCCAATAACATATTCATCTCCAACTCTGGGGACATCACCGGAATCCTCGACTGGCAGAACACAACCATCATTCCTCTTTTCCTACAGGCCAAGATCCCCAAGCATTTCCAGAACTACGGCGATGACGACTCTGAGAATTTTCGTCGTCCGAGACTCCCGGAGGATTTTGGCGCCTTGAGTGAGAGCGATAAGGAATATGAGATGGAGCTGTACCGGCGTCGCCAAGTACACTATTTCTACGTCGGCTTCACGAGTCGCTATAACAAGCCTCATTTCAATGCACTACAGAACTACAATCTAGTCCTGCGAAACCAGCTTTACACCACCGCCGGCCAACCATAGGAAGGTGATAATACCTCCCTTCAAGCGCAATTACTCACCACACTAAAGAACTGGACTGAGCTCTCGTCAGCCCATGATCCAGAAGTCCACTACTCAACCGAGGACAGCCAGTCATGCCTCTCTCGAGAAGCGCAGCAGAAAGAAGCCGATGCGCAGATACAACAGATACGTGAATACCTCGGTATTGATATCGAAGGATGGATACCGAGTGGGGAATTTGAAGAGGCGAGGAAAAAAGCTAGGGATCTTAAGATTCGGATGTTGGAAGAGGCGGATACGGAGGAGGAGAGGTGGGAACTTGATGTGTTTTGGCCGTTTCAGGATCATGAGGAGATTGATTGATTGAGTGAGTGCGGGTTGTTGTTTGGTTGGTTGGTTGGTTGGTTGGTGGACGGGGGGTTAAAGACAGTCTCCTCCTCCTCTATCCGAGTGCTTACCTTAATCTAAGGACGCTCGCTGTCTGGAGTGGACTTGCACTTAGTATTTCTTCTCCCATGTGTATATATATCATGAGCAATACAGGAGCGTAGAAAAATTACCTAGATGCTGAGCTTAATTAATACCAAATAGGTCCGTCGTGTGGAGCCGGAAAGGAATGCATAGAGAAGACACCAAGTCATGAGGCAGGAGATAATATTAGACTATAGATAGGTACGGATATGGAGCCGTATGCTTATGATGGGATTCAAGAAGGGTGGATTGAGCTGATATGTGATTCTTGGATGTATGAATAAACTTAATTAATTATACCGCAGTCACAAATAGAGAAGAGAAGTAGCAAAATAACTTTAATTTACCAGCGATTCCTGGTTATCAGCATCCATACATATTCCCCAAGGTAAAACCAACGCCCATGAACGCCGATCGCTCAAACGCCCTTTTACAATCGACTCATGATCATACTACCCACCGCGCTCCCCACCACCTCCCGCTCACTCTCCCACCGACCACCCATCGTCAGCGGAAACCTTCCACTCCGATACACAGCCCACGCCGTCTCGACCTCCTGCTCAGCATCATAGCCCCACAACCACTCGCGGAACACCGGATCGCGCCACTTATTAGGATAGCCAGCGTAAGGCTCCTGCTGGTAGCGGAGCAGCTGGCGGTCGCGCTCGCGCTGGAGCGGGCCGTCGTGCATGTGGAAGATCTGCTGGTAGTGCGAGGACTGCTTGACGACGCGGGTGGTGCGCGGCTTGCGCACTGTTTCGTAGATGGTGAGGATGTCCGGGAGGAGGAAGGCGGGGGGCGGGGCGGAGCGGGGGATCTTGGAGAGGAGACGTCCGAGGAGGTAGCCGTCTTCGACGGCCATTGCTGCTCCTGAGGCTCTGTTGGATAGTTAGTGCTGAAAGAAAGAACTTGCTGTATAGAAAGACCTGCAAGGAGGAAGGGATGATTGAGCACAGCGGGACGTACAAATAAGGTAGAGTAGCATGGCATGCATCTCCCAGCAAGACGAACTTCCCCGACGGGTGTGCCCAGCTAGCCAGCTCTTCACTATTCATCAACCTCCATTTCGACGTATCGTCTACCAGCCCAAGCAACAGTCTCAAATTCTCGTCCCAGCCGGAAAAGAAATCTCGCATTTCCTGTAGATCAGCTTTCGCTGTGTTGACCAGTTCCGGGAGGTTGTCCGGGCATGCAAGCACCATGTTATATATTCCCTCCCCACCCTCTCTCTTCAACAGATAGCCAACGCAGTGCGAAGATGGCCCGAGCCAGAAATTGACTGCGGGGTTCTCGATGAGCGGCAGAAGAGAAGGATGTTGTAACATCGCGGAGGCGGGAATCGTAACACGATATGCCAGATCGCCTGTCAACTTCGGCGGGTCCTTCTTGCCTAGCAATTGTTCCCTGCAAACACTCTTAAGCCCATCTGCTCCGATGACCAGATCGGCCGCGAGCGTGCTCCCATCCGCAAGTTTGATCTCAGGCTTCTCGAAATCAATCCCCGTCACCTTCGCGTTCAGCTGGATCGCCACGCCAAGTCTCCTCGCCTCGTTAACAAGCACGCGGTGGTAATCCGCGCGGTGGATGTGCAGGTATGGTGCTCCATATCTCTCTTCGCAGTAGGGAAGGAGGGGTTGGGTGGACAGTACTTTTCCGTCCCTGTAAGAGCGGAGCACGAATTCGTGGGGGCGAACCGAGAGAGCTTCAACCTTGGAGAGGATACCGAGTCGTTTCAGGATCCTCGAGGAGTTGGGTGGGATCTGGATACCTGCCCCGACCTGTTGTTCCCTTGTCAGTTTCCGTGGCGGGCGTGGTAGGGAATTGATGGAAGCAGAGCAAAACCCACCTCACCGAGCTCAGGAGCTTGTTCGAGAATTGTCACTCTGTGACCTGATTGTGCTATTGAGATTGCGGCTGCCAAGCCACCCAGGCCAGCACCTACTATTGCGATGTGTAGTTGGAATTCGGGGGGTGACATCCTGGTCGTCGATAGGTGGTGATGATTATGTGGAGAAATAGGCTGCACATAGAGAAGGGAAGGCTCTTGGAAAAGGTAGGAGAATGAATGAGTTGAGCTGACACCAAATGCCAAATACTTACTTGCCTCTGGTAGGAGGGAAAGGAAAGTGTTTTATATCTTACACCGAATTACCTGAAGATGGTGCACGATAGAGCCGCGACCCATCGAGGCCCCATCCACCGGCGCTCGGCCGTGGCCAGTATGGAGAATGGAGTAACTGGAGAAACGGCCATAAAGTAATCGGGTACCGGAACGGCACTGGTAATCGTATGATGTGAATCGTGGAGGAGCTGATAAAGTTCCTGGAAGTGAAGGCGGTAAGAGAGTTTAAAGGGACCGATATCGAAGTGCGTAGTAAGCATCAATGTGATTCGGGTAAAGATTCCTCAGAAATGCGGATAAAGATTTAACACGGATGAGCTCTTTTCCGGGTGTCTGCCAACGATGGTCTGCACGGTACAAATACAGCAAAGTCCAGGACTCGTATCTCTTAATACATTTGCCGTTCTTAACTCGTGACAGATTTAATTAAAAAGGGGGGAACGCGACTTCAATCGTATCTTGTTCTTGAATGTATGGTGTAGCTATTCCGCAATCCAGAGGCAAACCTTTAGAATTCAAGCTTGGAGCATGATTCTCTATTTAAAGATTCGCTGTAGATGCAAAAAAAGCAGTATTCCAAGGGCCTAATATATACCTCATCTCCACAATACATACAATATTCGATATATATGCATGTCTACGTGACTCCTCCTCCAACGCCATTTCCCATAGAAGACAGAAAATCCAACACCATGCGACTCATTCAATCATAAATCCATTTCCTTACTCACAACCCCTTCCCCGCTTCCATTCCCTCTCCTCCCGCCGCCTCTGCCACCTTCGCCTTCCTCCTTCTCTTCGTCCCCAGCCTCTTCCAAAATTTCTCAATCTCCTTAGGCAAACTCGTCTCCTCAACTGGCACATCGTACGGCGGCACCGCCTTGTCCGCGATGCTCATCCAGGTCTCCATGCGCTCGGGTCTCTTGCCATCGCGGTTGCCCGCAAAGTGGATCTGCAGGCCACCTGGACGGAACTCATGCTTGCGCGGCGGCCGGTCTTTGTCCAGGGGCGACGGGTACGCGTTGAACCAGTATTGTGGGACTTGCACGACGCTGGAGCCCCAGTAGGTCTGTGAAGGGGGGGATGTTAGTGGGATGAGGGGATTGAAAGTTCGCGGTATGGTGAGGGGAGAGGAACGAGGACGGAGGGCGAGAGAAGAGGCTGGCTTACATCGTTGATCATGGCCTCCAGTGCGGATTGCTCGGTGTATTTCAATTCGACCTCTGGTCTGAAATTGTGATATGCGATGACTCCGGAAAGGAGCTTGATGGCCCATGGGCTAACGCGAATAAGGAAGCAGCCGTTATTCAGGCCGTGACGGTCGTGGGTAACCAACATATTGACATCATCGAACTCCGGGCTTGGGGGAATAAAGACATCGAGGGGGATTTGCGGGTTCATGAGCACAATATCCGCATCGACCCATCTAACATCAGAATTAGCATCTTTGCATCTCGCTGCGCCAGAGAGAGAAAAAAACAGGAAACCCACAACAACCATTCTAGCTGCTGCTCTCTTGGCTTCGCCATCTCTTTCAATATAATTGAGAGGATGTAAGCCGGTTTCGACCACAATCCCGGGAGGAGCCTCTTTCGCAGCACAAACATCGGATGACCCATTTTCTCCGCATGCATTTCATGCAGGCTCAGTGCGCGCTCATACAATGGATTGGGTTCCCCAAAGACCGCATGTACCTTCCCGACCGCAGACCGCGGTTGAAGGAGATCCATCCCCCCCACAACATGCTGTTGTGGTTCCGCATGGCTCAGCAGAGAGCGGCTCGGCACCTCTCTATGGAATCGGTGCGGGACCCAATCGACGTTTTTGAATTTATAGAGCAGGATCAGGGCGAGGAAAGCCAGGAAGGCGATGCGCCAGAACTGGTTCTTGATGAGGCGCCGCCCCTCGGGGAATGGAGAGAGCTTGGTCTGCATACCTAGGGCCTTTCAGCCTCCCATCAAGGGTGGTCTCGCGGCGAGAAGGAGAGTAGTAAGAAAGAATGGATGCGAGATACTGGGAACAACGAACATTGTGCAGAACAAAAGCTTTAAGAACCTGAGAGGAAGGATTGGCACTTCTGCAGAAAGCGGCAAACAGCCAACCAGCACATAGCAGTGACTGGTGAGTACCATAGACGGCACTCCTCGAAAGCTCGCCCTCCAATGGGGGTCCCGTTGTTCCTTGCTTCAGGATCTAGTCTAGAAGAGGTAGAAACGTGGAGAGGTGGAACTACCACAGTAAGTATAGAAGAGCATGATTTAGACCCTTCAGATGCAAAAGGGCGAACCAACGGAACTGACGCAAGAGCTGCGGTCGAGTTGCTCAGTTGCCTACTCGATAAGGAGAAGTGTTTGATGAAATCTACAGATCCTTTGCACAACAAGGGTTCCCCCCGGCTAATTTGAGGTGTACATCTATTGACGTCGCGTGACCGTGATATTATGCAAAATATCCCTGAATAAGAGCATACACAAGGCTTCTGGGCAAAAAGGTACAGTCTGGAGCATTATCAAAATTACTTCAAAAAAGAACTTCGAACATAAGAACTTACAAATCAGAATTCTGTCTATTTTCTTACCATTCTTTTTCCTTGAACCTCAAAGTTCGTCCCAAAGAGCGATTGATAAATGTACGCTCAGATGGATATTCGTAGCTCGGTGGCTGTGTCGATCTCCTTCACTAAGCTTTCCATGAAACGCCTCAGCCGGCTCGGCGATCCCGCCAACTGGGATCGTATCTTAGGGCGAACCTCCTCCCATGGACATGGGTATACACCGTCCGCAACGATATACAGAGTTACAGAGTACACGGAGAGGGAAGCAGGTGCTTTTGTGTCATCACGACATGAACACTTTCTCTCGTATTACGTCTTCTGTGTTTCTTAAGGCGTACAAGAGAGAGTTCAAATCCTCCCTTAGTCTGGCGCCGCTGATGTCGATGTCATGTGCATGCTCCTCAAAACTCGCGCATCCTGGCCCGCGGATTCCTGAACAGATCCAGTAGTAAAATTCCGGAGACCGCAGCGCGCAGGGCGCCGTTGGCTTAGTGTCAAGACCACCGGGTATGCTGGCCAAGGGGAGCGCAGATCGCAACGAAGTTGTCGATAGTTCTGAGCTCGTGGCCCGGTTGCTTACTCGCTCCCACACCTCAAGCGCCTAACAACCCACGATCGAATCCCATTCCCAGCGTTTAGAGCTTTAGGGTGGGATGTTCAGACCGCTTTCGAATGGTACAGCAATGGAAATGCCGGAATCCTTCGGTCTGTAGACTGGTAGTCAAGGTACAGAACTAAGAAGCCCTGAGCTACTGGGCCGGCCTGGTAAGCTTGAATGCCTTAATCGTGGGGATGGAAGACTTCAAATCCCTTTCTTCCGGGGTGCCTCTTCTATCCTCATTGCTACCACAACTAGTTGAAACTGCCGAATCTTGCCCTTCTGCCCATTGCCCTTCTGCCCATTGCGGTTGGATGGACGAGCGTCCCGGAGGATGCTGCGAAAGGTGTGGGTTATCCCCTTCTTCACATGCCTCTCCATCTCTCACCATCCCTTAATCAAAGCTGTGGAGAGAACGAGATATCCATCCACTTGCTCACACGCCCACGAAGTCGAAACAAGCATTCTACCCACCCCCCTAAACGGACCCATCCCAGGGTACGGAGATGGGGATGTATTGGTTAAAACAAGGTTGGGACTCGGGCAGGGATGCTCGCTACATACAGCGGAACTTTCCTTCGGTACGTATATTTTATCGACATTGCTTTTAAGATGATTGTGGGGGTAAGTAGCCGTATACGGATGTGATGGAGGTTATCCTTGCCTATAGAGTGTGTATATCAAGTCGCTCACAATTTGCAGAGGTTGCAAGGCATACCTTTGCTTGTAGTTGTATATTCACCGACTTCAGTATGTATGTAGCACATGTCAAAAGCCGATTCGGTATACCTACCACGGTCCACCAAACCTTTCAAATCCCATCTTCCGCCGTACTGTATTAAGAAGGTGTCTTATAAACCCCTCCAAAATCCCCCTAACATCAGGGTCAGAGACAAGCTTTGCCGCTTACTAATCGCCCGCGCTACGGCGCAGCAGCAAGATCCCAGCCCTGATCTGCAGACACAAGGGGTGGCAGGAGGAGGCGGGGGTGTGAATCCCTGCCACTCAGCTGCCGAGCACGCGAGCAGATTCCTTATTCTGCTCTTTACCGCCGGAGGGCACAATCCGTAAGGGATGGGCTGCATAGATAAGGCGTGGGAGAGATAAGAGGATCATCACGGATGCATGATATCCAGCTTCTGGAAGCGTAAATGCCGAAGAAGACACACATGATAGGAAGAGGAATGCTGCCCATGGCGTAAAAAAGGTTCCGAGGAGATTTCTAGGGCGGGTAGGGGTACAGTTGCGGGAGTTCTGAGTCGGTACTGTACAGTAGGACCTTCACCTAGACCTATGACGAGAAATGTCTCACGGTCCTTTTCCCTGCAAGCTGAAGAAGTGATTATAAAAAGAGACTTTGTGGATCGTTGCCTACACCGTGGCAGCGTCATGAAAGTCACTTCCTCGGCATCCTGAATCAACTGATGAGCCGGTGGGATTGGTGAAGCCTTATTCGGTAGTTGGAGAAGACCTGGTTCTTTTGACTGCAGTAGCGGGAGCCTCCGCCCAATCTAGTGTGCAGCACCAAGTGATCTGCATCAGCCACTGCCGTCCGCAACTCTGGTCCTTGGATGTCCACCGTTTCGCGACGAGCTATGGAACAGCACCCATGTCTGTAGAGGAACTCCCTGGACCCCGACAGCCAGGCAGACAGACAGACAGACGAATAATCCTTCAGAACCGGGTGCTCTGCAGGGTGGCTTGGGAGGTGTGGCTCCACCTACTTTGTCCTGTCAGTTCACAGGACGAGAGGCCACACGACCCATTGCCGCATCTGACCTTCTCTACAGACCTTCTCGAAGCAGGCAAGTCAGGGAGAACACTGCTGCACACCTGTTGCATCCAGTTGCCCAATCACCCTCCTCATATACAGTGTTGCGTATAGGCAACATTCACGTACAATGTACCTGCGTTAGCAACTTGGCTTGTATGTGCCAAACTGTAGAACGCCTGGCTTCTGAGGGAGCAGAGTGGAAGAGTTCCGCAAGAGTTTCAGCATTACCGCCACCCGCCGCTCGGCTATCGCCAGCCATCTTGATGGCGGACCATGGTTCAGAAAGTAAGGTCCGGTTGCGCTTGCACGGTAGAGGGAGCGTTACCTCGAGACGGATCTCAAGATAGCGAAATAAATTCACTCTACTGTGGAGGCGTTTGTACCACAGGGTTTTGGATGCACTATGGTGATAGTAGAAACGACAACCCGTCTTGGCAATGCTTCTCTGTAAGGATGTGCATCCAAAGGAATCCTACCCGATGTGCCCTTCCCTTCGCTTCCTGGTCCCCCAGGTGTTCTGCATGCCATGATTCGAGCGGTCGACGCTGGTGATCGCCCTGCCTAGAAATGCCAAGAGTTAAGCTTCATCGATGCTGATAGGAGTCTTCATGGAGCCGCCTCTGCCAGTCTGAGACAGTCTGTGGATATATACCGGATCGAGGACCCTCTTCAACAACTCCCCTCATCCCGTCTAATTCTTCGAATTGTGCGATGTGCCATTCTTTTGAATAATTTTCATTCCCCATTGTGCCCTACAGCCCAGAGGGCTCCGACATCATGATCGCCCTGAATCTGTATAAACCGTCGGCCACCTTGCCCGAGTACTGGACCAACTCAGGGCTGCCCAGCCCCACCTATCGACGGACGCCCCTCAGTCGTCGGTACCGAATTCTCATCATACTTGTGATTTTCTTCATTGCATGGAATCTCTATACAGCCTCGATATCATCATCATCATCCGAAGAGGTGGAAGACGATGGAGCCGACTATGACGAAGCAGAGGTCGCCTCCATAGAGCATAAGTCACTCTACTCCGAGGCCGTGAAGATTCTGGAGGAGGCCAAGGCAGCAATCGCAGACAAGAAAGTGGCTCCGAATCCGGATCCGAAAGAAAGTAGTAGTGACACAGACCTCATTGGCAGCTTTGGAAGGGTAGTAGAGCAAGATCTTCCCATTGCTAAGATACATCAGGAAGAGGCCGTCGGTAGCTCCAAGGAAAAGGTAGCTTCGAAGCCGCATTCTGAGGGAAGCGGAAAGAGCACAGATAAAAGCAAAGGGGAGACGAAGGAAAGCGAAGGGGACAAAGATCACATTGGCAGCTTGGGGAAGATAGTTGAGCAACAGCTCCCCGATGCCAAGATACACGAGGAAAAGGAGAAGGCCCCTAGCCGTCCCAAGGAGCAACCACCGGCGGGAGAGAGGCCCAGATTCCCTCCATACGCATCACACGCACAACTTACCGCAAAGGCCTCAACATTGCCGCAAGTCATTCACGTGCCGTTCGAGGAGACAACCGCTGATGTGGTTTTGGAAGGCTGGGAAGACCAGTGGTTCTCCGAAGCAGAGTTGAACATTGACAAGTGGGGAAAGTTGGAGGAGCCAAAGATCGATTTTGTTTACACTTGTAAGAGTCCCGGAAACCCTAATACTTGACAGAATACTGACATTGGAAGGGGTCAACGGTTCCGATCCTGCCTTTCAGGAGACCATCTACCCGTACGAAATCAACAGTACCTTGAACGATGCGAAGGGAAGGTGGCGTGAACAGCATCGAGTAAACAGATATCGAGACTGGGATGAGCTCCGATATTCCATCCGCAGCGTGGAGAAATACGCATCAACCTTCAGAAATAAGATCCAGCTGCTGGTCAATGACGTGGCAGATCCAGACGAGGCTCTCAATGCCACCGTCGACGACCCAGCTCCCATTTCCGGGAAGCAACAACCCTTGTGGCTGAATAACGATGCGCAGACCGCAGAGAGGTTCCAGATACTTTCTCAACAAGACTTCTTCGACGAAGACGGACAAGGATGTCTTCCAACTTTCAATTCCTTGACGATGGAAAATCAGATCTTCAATACCAAATCTGATACCGATCGAGTAAGTCGTGCTTCACAAATGGAAACGTCCATGGATTAACAAATGCCCAGTTCTTCGCCTTGTCCGATGATATGCTCCTTGGGAAACCCCACGCAGCATCAGATATCTACTCACCTCTGTTTGGCCCTATGATGGGCTTCAAAACCAATGTCTATAACACCGTCTTACCACCCACCACCGCCGACGCTCATGCCTTCGGCGAGAAACCATTCCTTATCTATACCTCTTACCTCCTGAACCAGCGTTTTGGAGAGCGGAAACGCAAGGGGCAAGTCCACTTCGGACACTCCATGTCCCGATCGGTGACTCGCGAAGCTATCAGCGCATTCCCCCGTCCCGCACTGGAGAGCGCTTGTGAGCGATTCCGCGGCGAGACTACTGGCTTCCAGCTCTCGTCGTGGTTTGTCTCCTTCCATTACACGATCGAGCGACACCGCGAGGCCCTACTCTGGAGCTACATCATGCTCCGCAACGACGTCGACCGGAACGGCAATCTGGGCTGGGAAGAGCGCAAGGCCATCCTCGAGGACTTGAAGGGGGGGCAGGCGAAGGAGAGCAACACAGCCGGACACAAGCCCATGTTCTACAAGACCGGAACCCGTAAGCGGATGTTCTACCATGTGGCCGAGGTGCTGGAGAAGGCCGGCCTGGAGCCGCCTAAGGTCAACGTCGACGTGGAATGGACGTCTCTTGACGGGCCCGTCGCCATCAAGGACGCCGAGTGCGCCGACTTCGATGTGGACCTGTGCCTGGCGCCCGGCTTCTCGAAGCCCATCACGGACGAGAACCACACCAACTACATCTTCAACACGGCGTCTATCTTCGAGCGCGTGGCGCGCGAGCACCCGCACTGCGGCGACTGCCTGCTGAAGCTGGTGCTGAACGGCGTGGAGAAGGGTATGGGGCCGCTGCTGCCGCACGCCGACACGCAGGGCGAGGACCGCAAGACCATCATCCGCGCGCTGTGGAAGTATCAGTACACGATTGTCGAACCAGATGCCTTCTTCGTGATGATCACCGACGCCGAACAGGTCGAGAACGTGCTGTTGAAGCGCCTGCTCGAGCGCAGAGGCAAGGTTGGCCAGCTGTGCCTGAATGACGATGTTGCGACCGAGGAGGAGAGCGCGGTCGCCAATGTGCGCAAAGTTATGATGCAGATGCTCGAGGGGATGCTCCCCGATCCCAGCCCATACGAAATCGGCTACACGACCCCAAGTTAACTTTTATATCATCATTGTTTTGCACATTTAATAAATACCAGGTCTGGCGTTTGGGAGACGGCATTTTGGATTTTGATGACGGAACCGGCCATAGATAACGGTGTCGGTGAACATTTAACGACTAGATGCATGATTGGATAAGCTGACTATTACTTTATGTACCTGTCTAAATGTTAAATATTTATTTACATTTATTCCATATACTGGAAATACTTGGATGATACTTATCAGGCCATTCCAGGGACTTCAGTTTCCACTTTTGTGATAACGCTGTCAAGATCTAGGTATCCCATTTTCCCGAGACTTCCGCTTCGATTGTGGGGTTTCGATGTGGGGTGGGGGTTGTTCCTGGAGGCTCTGCATCATCAACCGCGGAAGTCATTAAAAGGAATCGATGATACATCTTTCATGTGGTCTTGACAGTATGATATGGTTTGTATGACACGATTATTTTGGAATTAACTGGATGTCTTTCATAGAACGGGTCAGAGGATTCTTATTCCATCTATCTCCGTCTCCTTCAATCCAATGATGATATACAGTTCATCCAGTATCTTACATCTCATGTGTAATCCATAATCTTCAAACGCCAGTTATTCAAACGCCAGTTAACGCAAATCAATCATTCATTCCCCTGTCATCGATGAGTGTCGCCGCACTCAATTCGGGACGCCTTTATGCAATATCATGCTGGCTGGTTACTAGGCATCTCAGGAATTGTGCCTTCTCTCTGTAAAACACCCCCGACGGTGCCTGCCTCTTCCTCCTTGACTACCTCGCCCTTATCATTGCGTCCCAGATGCATAGCGTCCGTGTTCAGCCCCTGTCCGAGAGTATTTCTGGTCTCCTCATCGAACTCGAACTTTGCGCTCTTGATCGGATTTACATGAAGGAGGTACATGGCATCAATCTCCTCCAGTGTTCTGCCACGCGATTCAATCAGGAAGAAGTAGACGACAACAAACGCGGCGAGGTTGCATCCGGCGAAGACATAGCCATATGCATACTGAATATCACCCGTGATGAAGGGGGTGAAGAATGCGAGCAGGAAATTCCAGATCCAGTTCGCTGAGGTAGCAAGGGCCATAGCCACAGCTCTGTAGCGGAATGGGAACATCTCACCAATGCAAGCCCAGACCAATGGGCCCCATGTCGTAGCAAAACCCACGATGAATAGACAGGCAAAGACAATCATGACGGTACCGGCGGTTTTTGCGGTCTCGCCCGTGGCGTCCTTGAAGAGGAACTGACCCACGGAAGCAAAGACGATGAAGCAGATAAACTGCCACAGAGCGGCGATGTAAAGGGACTCGCGTCTCCGGAAGTGTCGTGCCATATAGACACCGAGGAAAGTGGACCCGACGTTGACACCACCAAGGATCATGGCGGTAACGTAAGAGTTTTCGATCCCAACGCCGCGGAAGATGGTCGTACCGTAGTAGAAGAAGTAGTTGGCACCTGTGAGTTGTTGCAACATCTGGAGAGTCATGGCCAGAATAACGCGGTAGAGCATTCGTGGGCCAGTGATAGCTTCGTACCAAGGGTGATCCCCTTGTATTGCCTGTCTTACTTTCTCAATTTCATTACACTCGTTTTCGATCAAGGGGTGGTCTTCGGAAAGACCGTAGAATTTCGACATCGTCGTGCGGGCAACTTCGGTTCGGCCATTATTCCAGTCGTAGCGGGGAGTCTCGGGGAGGAAAATGATTCCAACTCCCAGGATTATGGCCCAGATGAAGCCGACTCCCATAGGGATGCGGTAGGAGCCCGTATCCGTATAAGTCTCGGTGCCATAGTTGATGCAATCGGCTGTGAAGATACCGATCGTGATGAAGAGCTGGTAACAACTAGAATACTTGTTAGATGTGAATTTAACCATGCGCGAGAGGGACCTACGAGATGACCGCTCCTCGAACTGGCACGGGGGAGGTTTCCGCCATGTACAGCGGGACCAAGACAGAGAGCGCGCCCACACCAAGACCTGCTACCCATCGTCCCATAACAATCCCGACCCACTGACCCGATTGAACAGACATCTGAATGACGACTCCGATGCAGAACATGAGGGACCACGGAGGGATTGACCATTTCCGTCCGATTCTGTCGGAGATCGGACCCGCGATCAAGCAGCCACATAATGTACCAATTGACAACTGCAGGACTCAGCATTGGTAGGGAGAGGCCAGGAAATGCAGACTTACCAGACCGACGATCAATCCAGATCGTGCATTGGTGAAGTGGTATCCCATGGGGTTTTCCGGAGTGCTGGGGCCTCCAGGCTCACCAAACCTCTCCAAAAAGACGTTCATCTCCAAGAACCCAGAGATCTGACCCGTGTCATAGCCGAATATAAAGCCGCCCATGGCTACCAGGAGAGCCATCAGGAGGGTCCGGACCGTGACACGAGGCACTCGACCGTAAGACACGTCGGCCTTCTCGAGGTGCTGGACATCGCGGTTGACATCGCCGGCGGTAGGATCAGCTGGCGAGATGCTCATTGATGTGGAGGGTGACGCGACGTCTGCTGTGATCTTGTTGTTCTCAGCACTGCGCTGGCTTCTGAAGTAGTTCATGGTGCCCGCCGGAGTTCATGCGTGCATGCGGTCTCAGAGAGGATGCGGGATGCGGGTCTCAGAGCGATGCGGTCTCAGAGGAAAGAGGAAAAGAAGGGGGTTAGGAATTAGGACGTATTACCCGTCGGGGGGGAGGGAGGGACAATGCTAATAAATACTTGGGCCTGGGAATGGAGAGAGGTGGAGAGAGTGACACGGCTCCATTGCTCCATCTTCCAATAATGAACCCCCCAGAGACTTTTAGTCCTCCGGAGTCGTGCACTTACTGAGATAGGTCGTCCTTACTCCGGAATTACCAGTCTCAGAGGCTCACGCACGATGGCCCGAAGCAACGCACCACTTTTACTCCGGAACCCCAGGCCCCACCGCTCAAAGCTAGACAAAGCTGGACAACTGCTGGACGACGCTGGAGATGCGAGCCAATGGGCCAGCGGACGACGCCTGGATCGCTCGGTCTTACCTGGAGTAGGCGGAGTCGGAGGTGGGGACGGGTGGAGTGGCGGATGGAGGGATGATACTCATGATAGGCCCGTCCGTGGGATTGAGGGAGGACGATCGTTGACGTCGCTCTTCTCTCCTGGGAGTCTTGGAGTCGTGGACCTTGGCCCGCGTTATTGACTGTTGTCTGACTAAGCACCCGGTCCGGGCATTTGATACGTCGAGGGAGCCGTGGCTAACGACTGCCGGACAAGAACCGAACGAGAGAAAAGCCTGACAATAATCTGATCTTGATCTGCTTCGAGGCTTGGACCTTGCCTTGGGATCTCGGACATGTCCGCCGCCACCAGATTCCCATAGGTCCCACGTGAGTTTGACAGATTTTCACCTTCTTCTCGTGGGAACCCCACTGATGACTGGCAGGACGAGCTCGTCGACGCCCTCGAAGCAGGGCTCTCCGGGTCAAGCCGGGACGAAGGGGAATGAGAAGAGCAAAAATCCTGAAAGTCTGAGTAAGAAGCCGGTCGTATCTCGGTGCCATTCTGGAGAAGTGAACTCTCCGTGCTTTGTGGAGGACACGAGGAGACGAGGAGACGAGTCCACCTTTCTACAAATGGGGAAAAGCCGACGGATGGCTGGAGTAGTGTCCTGTACGGAGTAAGGGCCCGCCGCCTTCATCCATGCCTCACGGAAAACACCCAGACACACCTACGTCAATATACCGGGCACAGTTGGGGACCAATGGGCGACGCGGATGCTGGCGCGTCGCCGAGGTCCAGAGAGGCGTGGATGGGAAAATAGAAGCGTCGTGAACTTTGGACATGACCATGCGACCGAAGAACTTCTCGCCGACTATTATTAATAGGGAATGACCTGGGCCCCACGCTTCGGGCCTTCCTGGAGAAAATACTGGGAACCGGTGGGTCTTGACTTCTGGGGCGAGCCTTGACACGAGATTGGCATAGAACGGACGGTTTGCCGTCGATGCCGGCGCGCCCGCCTTCGACTTCGAGGCTCTTCGAGACCCTCGCGAGTCAAGACGAAATGAATAGCCGGGCTTAGACTTCACTCAGCTGACCTCTCTACTCGATAAATCGGTCATGGCCGCGTGAAAAAAATAGAATCTTGTGGGAGGCAAATCTCTTTCCATCGTCATCGCTTGAAGAGAAGACGGTGTCGCGCAATAGTCATGAGAGGAAGAGGTTTGGCGAGTCGAAAAGAAGTTCGCACTTTCTACCTGGAGATGACTGGCTGCTGGGTAGTCCCCGTCGAAGCTCACCCAGATGTATCAAGGTACATCACCAGAAAATCAGGTGGACAAAAACATCGGTGGAAGCGTGTCTGCAGCATGCAATAACTTGTATTCTTGGCAAAAACCAGTGGTGATGAATGAAGCTATACAGAGTTCTGCACTTATGCGACAAGGCCAAATAAAAGGACATGCCTGGTATGTAAAGCACAACTTCCGCATATCTCTTGCTTGCTTCTATCCGAGTACTTGTCAGGATCGCAAACCATCAAGTGCCTCTACCACGGAAGGGGGATTTCCACGAAATTAAGCATATCGTCCTGAGCACTACTCCATCGATCACTACCACATGGAGAATTTCCGATCCGTCAAGATATATGGCTTGCATCTCTTGGATCCGTTTCTATTCAATCATTGGTCGTCCACCTTGACCTGTCGGATGCTTTTCAGTATACCAAGACAAGCCTGCAGCGGGGGACTCTAGAAGTGGCTTACTTGAGTAATAGAGGCTGATGTTAATGCATGTATGTTACAGTCGACACTGCTCTTAGGTAGGTAAGTCACTCATGTCTCGCGGTCAATATTTATATACTCCGTAGCCGTAGAGAGGAGTTGGCTGTCGAGGAGTATTGTAACTATTGCGGGAGTGATCCTTGCTTTCTCATTGGTGGAAGTTTTGGGGACTTCGGCCGCTCGTCTCTCCACATTTTGGCGGCAACTGGCGGCCTCCCGCATTCCCCATACCACCAATGTTTCTATCTTCCCAAGGGTTCGACTTTATACGCAGAACGTTATTCTGCTATCGTCGGTGGAACAATCGATCCCGAGAGGCTCCTCCGTCTCTTCTGCACGAAATACTTTTCCAGTTCTGCCATTCCTCAATTCAAGCCTCTCCATAGGCTGGGAAAATCCCTTGTCGCTGGCAGACCCCCCCCCTCTTGCCCCTCCACTCCAAGCAAAACCCCCGGCAGAGTCCAATGCGTCTCCTACCTGGAATACATTATGCTGTAGGAGGAGTTTCTTCAAACGGCAGAGGCGCACCAAAGTCTGAGTTCAGAGGATACGTTTCCAGGGCCCTGACTTGACCCTGGATGCCTACTACCGGACTCAAAGCTGGACTTCGTGATTGCGGATTGCCATGCCACACAGCTGTTTCGAGTAAGAGAGAGATACTATCCAAAAGTTATTGCTCATGATAGGCTCGATAACTCTGTCATATTATCCGCCTTGACAATCACCTTCCAAGAGTGAAGCCTTGCGCCACAGACACGAGACGAGACGCGCACCGCATTGCCATGCGAGAAGACACCTGGCTAGCTGAGACTCCCAAGCTACCGCCGTCATATTTGAATTCGGTTTCCGCAAGCTGTTCAAGATCTTGAAACTACTAGGCTGGTTCTCCAAGTTGTGATTGAGGTCGCCCCGAACAATCCTTCCCGAACACATGGCGACTAAGCAGCTGCAGGCTGCTCCAACGCCGACGAGGCCGAGAAGCACAAATGGGGTTATCAATGGGACACAGGCTGGCACTGGTGATACACGAATAGTTGCGATTGTCTATGGACAAGGACAAGAGGAAATCGTGTCAGTCTTCGCAGACGTGCTTGGGAAACCATACCGATTAGCCTCGGGCTTTTTAGCGGTTGGGAATGAAGATTATGGCACTGTCATAGGAATTGCGGCCAGTAATGCAAAGGTCGATATTGAATCAAGGGATGAAAGCCTTGTGGTAGCGATCAATTCACATTGTGTGAACTTGGGAATGCCTCCAGATGTCGATCTATCTTCCGCCTCAGACTACGAATTCTTATACACAGAATCCCCATTTTTCCGGAGGGATCTTTCGCGCTTTATCGCTTTTACACTGGGTCAGATCAGCCACCATGAGACTCTCATCACCAAACCGAGGACATATTTTATATCTACTACATTTCCGGATGTACGAACAGCGCTGTCGAATTTGGATATTCTTTCAGTTGGGTCAGACGCGGTGGAAATCCGTGTGGACCTTCTCAAAGAGCCATTACCAGACGGCACATTCAGCTCTATCCCAAGTCTAAGTTATGTTGGAGAACAAGTCATGCTTCTCCGGCAGAGGACTGAACTCCCCATCATCTTCACGACCCGCTGCACCCGAGAAAATGGACGATTCCCCATGGATAATCCGGAGCTCTACTATCAATACCTGTACCGGGCAATACAATGGGGTTGCGAATACATCGACGTCGAAATTTGGCTTCCGGAAGAAATCCGTCGCAAGCTTTTCGAAAAAAGAGGGAACAGCCGTATCATATCTGCCTTTCACGATTTTTCCGGCACCTTCAAGTGGCCGTCACCTCAGGCACAGTCAATCTTTGAGGAATCGCGAAAATATGGTGATATAGTTAAGATGATTACGAGTATCAACTCCATGTCCGAGAACTACGAACTCGAATACTTCCGTTCCCAGATCAAACTCAATAACCCAGACGGTCCCCCTTTATCAGCTGTTAACATGGGCCAACTCGGACAGTTATCTCGTGCTCTTAACACCGTCTTCTCACCCATCACCCACCCTTTGCTACCTATCGTCGCAGCGCCGGGCCAGATGAGTGCCGCCGAGATCAACGGCGCCCTCTCGACTATGGGCCAGTTACCCAAGAAGAACATATACGCAATCGGTCCCTTCCGCTCAACGCCCCAAGCCACCTTCTTCGAGAAATGCTTCAACGAACTCGGTCTCCCTCACAACTTTGTGATGATCGACCGAGCCGTTAAGGGTAGTGTCCAGGCAATCTGCCTCCAACCTAATTTCGGAGGCGCGTACATCAACCCCCCTCTTCCGGCAAACCAGCCATACATCCCCTTGCTCTCGGACGCTGCGCGAACAATCGGCGCCATCGATACCATCGTCGTTTCTTCCTCTAACCCCAGTACGTTTTTCGGCGACAACGCAACGTGGAAAGGCATACGTGCGACGCTCACCCGTGATTTCGCCCCATCCGCCTACAAAGATCGCGCCGCGATCATCCTCTCCAGTTCCAGAGAAGATGCCGCATCTGCCATCTTTGCTCTACGGAGTCTGAATATCGGGAAGATCTACACGGTGGGGTTCAAAGCACACGGCCCGCTCGCCTTGGGCGTCGAGCCCTTCACGTCTATTGAGAGCGTCCAGCGCGTCGACCAACCTTTCGTTATCATCTCAGCCCTGCCTCCCGGCAAAAGCCATCTCGTCCAGCCTCTGCTCCGACATTTTAGCACTGTCAAAAGGACAGGAGGCAGTAATGGCGTCGGCATGGGGAAGATATTCGTGGATCTGGCAAATGGACCCCGGAAGGGGGACCCGCTTGCCGTCGCGGAACAGAATGGTTGGACGGCGTATGGGTTCGCCGACACGAGTGCGTTCACGACAGTAGAGACGCTGCGGCTGCTAGTCGGGCAGAATGTACCATATAGTTTTGTGCGGTTGGCCAGTGGGAGGGGCCTCTGTTGAACGACTTTGCTTCACTGCCATTCCACAGCATGTGCCTGCTAATGGTGTCTCTCATTACAGGAACCAGCCGATCGGGGTCAGGGGAAGAAAGGACATGCCGCTATCAGTGATCGGCTAATGTGCATCGAAGGCGTTTACTTTCCATTGCGGTCGATGTGCTCATCTATAGTTTCGGTGTGTAGACTTCAGGCTCCTAGACTTTTATCATCGCTTTCAATTGATCTATTTGCATCATTTTTCTGTCCACTTACCAGTCCTCTCGCAAGAAAGGGTTGGCAACTTTGGTTTCGGAACCCGCCCTCACTCGAACGTGATTCAATACCCGTTCTCCCCTTAACGCACTCGTGATTCATTCATTCCTAATCATTTATCGCCCGTATTTCTCGGATGTTTTCTCAATCCACATTATACTTGCGAGGCTCGGAAACATTCTCTCCCAGGTCCCAATCGTCCTCAGAGAAGTCATCCATGCGCTAGATTCCTCTGCATCGAGAGAGGAATTAGAGAATTCTACATCCTTCCAGAGAACTGATACCCAACCTAGGTAGAGATTCACTCATTTTCCTTGTGAATTTTTACCTCTCGCTGTCATTTTCTTTATCGTTGTCGCTCCATTTTCTTCACCGCGGGTTTAGTTATTTCATACACAAAGGCTTCGCTAAGTTATTTCGTTGTCGCTCCTGCTTTACCTTTATCTTGATTCTTGGAGGCAATGGTACAACGCATAGAGGTGGTTCTTGAAAGCAGTCCAGTGTTATGGCTTAGGCAAGATAAATCTCTTCCGCCGGAACACTTTTTTTTTTCTTTTTTTTAGTCGGCCATATGCTGCGGGATTGGCGGGAGATCTACGAGAAAGGATAACTTGATAACTTCGAGCTCGGGTTTTTCTCGAACTCGATGATGATGTTTTTGTTGAAGACTCTTGTTGTGAGGTGGAAGGGAATTTATAGAAGGGGGGGGTGGATGGTCGATTTTTGCAGGTTGATTCATTGATTGATTCGTTTCGCTTTTCAGAGGGATGTCGGTGAATATATTATAAAACCAGGAGGAGTATCCCACTGAATATACAACTGTCAAATTTTCGTATTATTGGTGAGAGAGTTGCTTAATTCTACTCAACGGCTTGGCCATGTTCATTGTGTTTTTGTGCTTTCTTGAATGGTGCCTCTTCTTCAAGTTCGGGGAATTATTAAGCATCAAATAGGCGTTGTGGCGGAGTGGTTATCGCGACAGCCTAGAAAGCTGTTTCCTTCGGGAGCACAAGTTCGAATCTTGTCAACGTCGTCTCGTTCATTTTTTTTTTTCTTTTTCTAATTTTATTTTTCATTTTTTTTTTTCCTATACCCCTTAACACAATCTTGGATAAAGGGGCTCTATCTTTTTTTGCCATAAAAAAGATTTCGGTTTGATCTTACCCGCGAAGGATATTGATTCATATACCATGTAGTAGTAATTTTTTTTCCTATCGAAAAATACCATGGGCGGGTACTATAAGAGTTCTACTCTGATGTCTATTATACACACATAGCTCCACGTGGAAATAAGAAGTCCTGAAAGACCCTCCGCTAAAGCGTCTGGAAAGCGCGACCCTGTAGTAAATCCTGGGGATCAGAGTAATTTATTCACCGTTTCTTTTCTTCTACTGTCAAAGAATCGTGATTGTTGTTAAGTAAATATTTTGTTGTCATCTTCTCATTCTATTGCCGACTTATCGGGCTGTATAGAATTCGCGTGACAGTCTGCACGGCGTAGTAAACAAGATCTGATAACACACACGTTAAGGCAGTAGTAACGGGGGCCAATTGACTTTCTGATCGAGGTGTAGAGGGGTTAGAGAGGGAGGGAGCGAGGGAGAAGTGAGGAAGAGGTCGTGGAGAGCAACCCCCCCCCCCCCCCAAAAAGGAAGAGATCAGACCAGCTTATTGTACCGACTGACAGAGAAACAATAAGATGATAACTCGACAACAGAAAATATAGATTCAGAACGGTGAAACCCTGTCGTTCCCTATACCTTGGATATCGGTCGATGCCACTACTGGCGACTTTGCTCTGCATGGCTATGGGACTGTGTCTTCGGGCTCTTTGAAAGTTATATCGTAAACATGCTCTTTTCTTTTTTTTTTTCTTTTTTCCTTCTTTTTGTTGCGACTGCTGTGCATGTTTCCTCAAAAATAAATCTAGAGAAGGGACCCGAACGGCTGAGAAACAAAATCAGGACAAAACATAGTGACGCGACCGGGAAAAAGGAGGAAGAAAAAGTTTGGAGAAGAGGGGGGAAAAAGATTAAAAAGAGAAATCACGAAACGTAAAAAAAAGAGGCAAAATTGTACTTTGGTTCTGGTCACTACGAGGGTCGAACTCGCGACCTTGGCGTTATTAGCACCACGCTCTAACCAACTGAGCTAAGCGACCATTTCTTGTACTTGGTTGTTGTTCCAGATTTATCAAAGGGATCTATACAGCGATTCGAGCTTCTAACGTCAACCCAGATTATGTGACAGCCATCAATAAGAGTATAGAGAGAGGTATGAAACTAGAAAAAAAGCATTTCTAAAGGTTCTTAAAACTGATCTGCGTATTGGAATGTTTTTGCGATAGAATAAAGATGTGAGCTGTGAAGGATAAAATAAAATAGGGAAATCAGAGGAAAGGAAAAGAAAATATCATGCCAAAGATTTTGGACGGCTACCCAGAAGTTAGCTAGTCAAACGCCAAATAATTACTATCGAATCCTTACTACTGATACAGATTTAGCAAATTCATCCTCGTCTTCGTCGTTGCTATCGAAGTTAAATGTAAGAAACGTTGTTGTTGTTATTGTTGCTGTTAGTAAAAGAAGAAGAGAGTAGGTAAGGTAGGAGAGGACAAAGATATCCAAGTTATAGCTGTCAGATTCGATCTAGTGGGACTATCGACTTCTATATTCACATTTTCTTTCACATTTACTCACAATAGGACAATAGTAACAGTAGCTACAATAGCAAACAAACTCCTAGAGTTTTTCTAGTTAACACGTACGGATAGGGGCATAGACATAAAAGAGGGGATAATTGTCACATGTACCTATTATTACATACAAAAAGGAGTCTCATGTTGCCTGTTTAAACCCTTAGTCATCTACTAGCTATTTACCAGGCATCAATCTGTCATCAGAAATCAGGTGACTAGAATTCATCATGCTATTATTGTATTATTAAAAGCAATAGATCTCATTGCAAGAACCTTTGACAGTCGTTATCAGGTGAATCACTTGAATCTCAGTTATACTGGGATCCTTACATTCTAGACGCTAAAGGCTCGGTTTTGGGTATTGTGATGAGATAAGTCGAAGACATCTTTTGACTATCTGCACATCGAGCAATAAGATATATCGTTGAATATACGGCTGCTTGTGACAGTGGTCGGACTTCCGATGTACGTCTTGTCATGTTAAGCCAATCCTGCGTTTTTGATTGGAGAGAGTCCTATCTGACATGAGAACTACTCAGATATAATATATTGCATTATCAAGAAGCTTGAAGTGGGAGCGAGCACCCCCGCAACTCCAACACCCCACTCTCACCTTTCGGGCGCCCGACAGGTCTCGAGATACGCGCAATCAGGCGAAGATCGACCAAATGTTGTCGAGACCGAGCCAGCCGATGCGTCGTTATCAACAATCACCGCAGGGTATAAAGTGTGAACAGTGGATGGCTGAATGATCCGATAACTGAAGTATCGGTATCTGTATAACTTTATAAACATAATATAAGCAGAATGGAATCTGTGGAAGGAAACGCAACGACGACAGGATCTGAATCCTCCGGATTCAATCTTCCAATTATCGATTTTGCGGGCTGGAAAGCCGATAGCACGAAAGAGCAGCGATATGAAATTGGGAAGAAGCTCGCAGACGCATGCCACAATGTAGGGTTTGTCTACATCATTAACCATGGCGTCAGTCCCGAGCTCCTGGCGGAAGCCTTTGGGTGGTCGAAACGACTGTTCGACCTCAGCCTGGAGGAGAAGATGCTAGCGCCTCACCCTGATGGACCAGCAGTTCATCGTGGCTATTCGTACCCGGGCCTAGAGAAAGTATCGCAGGTCATCAGTACCAACGATGAGCTTGGCGAGAAGTTACGGGAGGTGAAGGATTGCAAAGTCAGTCCCCATTGGATTCTAGATTAGCTGAATGCTGACACTCGTCTAGGAGAGTTATGAGATTGGGAGCGAGGAGAACGAGGAGCAGCCAAACGTGTGGCTACCGGAAGAAGTGCTGCCCGGGTACAGGGAATTCATGACCAAGTTCTATTGGGAATGCTCTAAAGTTTCTCGTGAGGTTCTGACGGCTATCGGGACCGGAATGGGGTTGCGTGACCCGGAGTTCTTGTTGAAATTCCACTCCGGCCATAACAATCAACTTCGACTTCTCCACTACCCTCCCATTCCCGCTGCAGAGCTGGAGAATGGGTCGAGTGCTCGCATGCCTGCCCACTCGGACTGGGGATCAATCACCTTTCTATTCCAAGATGATACTGGCGGGCTGGAAGTCGAAAATCAGAATGAGCCAGGGACTTTCATCAAAGCTCATCCTCTGAAAAACGCAATCATTATGAACGTCGGGGATCTACTAATGCGTTGGAGCAATGGTAAGCCCCGCAAATATGCAGATCACCAGTCCTTCAAATACTAATTTCCCAGACTACCTGAGATCGACGCTCCACCGTGTAACACTCCCATCCGTTCCCGATCGGTTTACTGGAGAAGAACGTATGACACGTGCTCGTTATTCGATTCCCTATTTTGTAAGCCCGGATATCGATGCTGTGATTGAGTGCCTCTCGGAATGCGCAGATGAGTCTAATCCAGTCAAATATAAACCGGTTGTGCAAAGAGAATATCGACTCCTGCGAGCAAAGTTGCAATACCGGGAGACAGCTCCAGCGACGGTGACAGCGATGTCGTGATTAGGATCCGTATAAGGATGACTGTATCAACCATGTCCCACGTGAACCAGACACTTGGCTGGCCGTGAGAGAGGTTGAGAAAAAGATCTGTTGTCATGATAGAACGAGAAGTAGTTGAATCCAGAAGACTTTCAAAATATCAAAGTGCGAACCGATTTGGAAAACTCACATCCAGGACAGACGAAACACGTAAAAATATTCAAGCAGTTTGACACATGCAGCTTTTGATACCTCATGAACTCCCAATCATACTCTCCCGGAAGCCACCGTCTATTTGCCTTCTTGCAAGTCCTTCTCCACCATACCCCTACAAATCGGATGATAGAACTCTCTATTCTTCTCAAATGTCTCCTCTGCCAATTTCCTGTTACAAGCAACCAAGGCCCGATACAACGGTCTCACGAACTTCATTCTGCCGACCTTACCTAACAGATCCGCCGTGGGTCCATAGACACTCTCATCCTTGGCAGCTAGGCCGATTTCGAAGTAGCGCGAGGAGAGCTCGACATTCCGGGTGTCGACGAGGGAGTAGGTAGAGCCCAGGAGCTGGGATTGGGCGGGTGTGAGAGGCGTCTCGAAGAGTTGGATGGCTTCCAGGAAGACGACAACTTGGTTGGCAGTTAGGCCTTCAATATCTTTGGGGCTGGGTTTGTAATCCTATATCAAGAACATTAGAGCGATATGAGGAGCAGAGAGGGGTGGGCCGCACCTTAGATTCCCACTTCTTTGCCAAAGCATAGCATACATCAACCATACTGGTATCAAAATCGGGCTTGGGTGGTAGACCAGGTTTGTAAAACCAAGCATCCCAATCTATGGATTCGAGAGCCTTCGAAGCTTCTTCGTTCTTGGAGAAGAAGTCGAGAAGTGTGGCTTTGAACTCGTAAGAATCAAGAGACTTTTCCCGCCAGATGGTAAAGTAATGAGGGATAAAGAGATCAAATTGTGATTTGCCAACTAGTTTTTCGATGTAGTAGAGGAAATGGAAACCCTAAAGTGTGTTAGAAGTCATATGATGAGCCATGGTCAGATGATTGGACAACGTCGCTTCATGAAACAAGGTAAAGCTAACCTTCTCGTAGGGAACAGTGCTGAATGAATCATCAGGGTCTTTGCCTTTTAGATCCATTACGAGTTTAGTGAACTCGTGATCATGTCCAACATGGTCTACGGCATCGACTGAAGACGGGTTAGCATTGATCACGTGGCTAGAGAAGTTGCTGGGAAGTAGGTACCTAAAGCTTTCCATCCGATGATGGCTGAGAAGTCTCGATGAGGCTCACCATGAACAGCGGCTATGATTCTCCGTTCAAGGTATGTCGTCCAGCCTTCGTTCAGCCAACTATGAGTGTGTCAGAAAGATCTAAGACAAGTGTATGGGAAGAGGGATTGACGAATGAAAAAGAAGGAAAGGTAAAAATGTCGTAATGTACAACTCCAGAAAGAGCAACAATAGATAACAGTCAAACTCACAAGTGCTCCCAGCTTGCATTGGTAACAAGATTTCCACTCCAACTGTGGCTCAACTCGTGAGCAATCACATCGACATTCTCACGATCCCCACTGATAATCGTAGGGGAGACAAGGGTGGTCGGGCCTTCCATTCCCCCAAAAGGAAAACTGGCCGGCAAGCTCAGGATGTTGTACTGTGTCCACTGGTACGGATATACCAGCTTCTCGCCAACTTCAATGAATTTCTCTGTATCGGCTTCCAACTCCCATTTCGCATCCACCAACTCTTCGGGTCCCGTACAGACAAGAGATCGCGGTCCGATGGAGGCCGTAGCAATATCTCCTGATGCGAGAATAAAGAGGTACGATGGAATGGGGATCTCTTGGTAAAATGAATACAGCAAGGTTCCAGGCTCACCGTCCTTCCCATGAACAAAATCCGAAATGCCTTTAGACAAGCCACTCGCAAGGACTGGGAGCGGAGAACGAATGCGGTATTCATAAGTGCCCTTCACATCAGGGGTATCCTGACACGGGAATATCGATCTGTTGTGAATTGGCTGGCTCTGTGAGAACATATAGGGGAACTTCTTGTTTGAAGTCTGTGCAGGCGTCATCCATTGCAACGCGGTGCATTTCTCGGTCGTGGAGAGGTTGATAGCCACAGACACAATGGAGTCCTTGGCGGCTCCCCCAGGGACTCGGATGGACAGAGGTGAACCATAAGGTTCTGAGCGGTCCTTCAGCACCCAGTCTTTGGTCTTCGTGCCATTGACGCTGATACCTTGGATATCTAGGAAGCTGGTATCCAGAACGATCTCCTCTGATTGCTTCTCAGTGGCGGACTTCAATTGCAGAGTAACGGTGCCATGAAGCCTTTGCTTCTTGAAATCAATGGCGAGGTCGGCAATGGTATGTTTTGTCTTCCACTCGTGGTAGTTGGACAGCGTGTTTGGGTCACGTTTCCCGCTGATGGAAGCCATGGTACGGAGGAAGCTTTGCGGCTGGATCTTGGATGGGATGCGTGTAACAAAAGCTCTCCCAATAGAGAACAAAGAATTCATATGTGGCAAGATCCCCCTGCTTTCTTCAGCCGGAGATGCTGAGCCTCCAACCTGGAATGGTGATTTATGGTTCGCCCCATGTTGTGGTCTTCGCGTGTCACGCTTCGATGGAAAGCGAGAAAAGTTCTAGCTTCCTTCCTAAAGCCGCCTAGTCCCATTCCCGCCTCTCAGCCAGTGACATTTCTCACGTCACATGACTAGAGCCGCCCCTCCCCCCCTCCCAACATCTTTTCTTCTGTCCAAAACAGAAACTTAAGGTAGATGACAACCTCTTCTTGCAGAACGTACACTGATCTGATCCCTAGCCATAGATCTTCACATACTTTTATTCACATTCATACAGCAATGTTATCAAGAATGAAGAAGCAATGGACAGAAAGATTCAAGAAAAGGGACGGTCTGGTCAAAAATAAAAAACAATCAACGATTGAGTACATCTACTACTGGCACTGACCAGATTGAGAGACCATATCTCAGTGGAATATCTTCCGGTCTCAAGCCTTATCTATCTCCTAATTTGAACTTGTCACCGTGTCCTCTTGCCGTCTGTCATTATCATCAGCTTTGAGATTCTAGGAATCCGGGAAGCCAATTGTTGTTCTCTGGATATTATTCCTAGGCTGAATTTTATGGCGTTGAGGTAGTACAAGGTACGATCTGGTTGTTTTATGTTCCGTTTTACTATCAGCTCAACATTGTTTTATCCATCCAGGGTAGAAGGTAGAAAAGGAGAAAGAGTAGGCTGCGCAATGGGTCCCTATAGGTTGGGTTTCTATAGGTAGGACCTAACCTATAGGGATCTAACCTATAGGGTAGGTTTAGACTAGTGGGTAGGCCCTAACCCATGACCTAACCTATAGGTTGCTAAGACCCTAACACGTGATTTAAGCCTTAATAATATCACGTAGTAGTATAATGATTATAGTTTATACTAATCTTTATACTAATCACTTTGTAGGGCGTTATTTAATAGATTACATTTAGGAATTTACGGAAAATATACGACAGAATCGTGCCTCGTGACTTATAATCTCATTACTGTTCTATTTTAAATTTGGCCCTACAGCCTTTTACCTCCTAGTATAACATACCCGAGAATTCTATTACGTATAGACTACACGAGCTTTATATCCTTTTACTAAATTGTAACTCGTTTAGTATAGATAGCGGCGAGATTTGTTACTATATGTTGTTTGATTAGTATAAAGATTAGTATAATAGATCAAATACTTACAGGAAAACTTAGTAGTTAACATAGCCTCTACAGATTCTTATAAGGCTTCTATTACGCTTCTCTAGACTCGGAATTCGGGGCGTAGCTAAAGTATAATCTCCTTTACTAGCCTTGTAAAGGGGGCCTACAGTATTAATAGTTTAGTAGTCTTTTAGTACTTTCTTATTTCTCTTAGTACTATAGCTATTAAATTTGTTAGTAGAGTTTTTATACTAATCTTTATACTAATTAACTTACTACCTAGTTTAAATCTTTGTCTTCTAGCCTAAGGGTTCGAACCGTTCGGCTAGTTAGGCTAGTTAGGTTAGTTAGGCTGTCTAGGGAGCCTTTTGCTAGATTAGGGGCGGCGTACTACAGCTCTTTTTAGTAGTATAGTTAGAGTAGCTTTTAGCTTTAGGCTTTACGCTATTTTATAATCGCGATCGACAAATAGTAGATAAGAAGACTAACAAAGTTAGTATAGTAAGAGGTATAGGGGGTAGGAGGGTAGGGGGGGGCCTGTATACTAAATTAAGGTTAGCTTAATAAAAGAAAGGTAGGTAAGTAGTAGAGAGTTGTCTATTTATATATTATAAAAATAAAGGCTCGGCAAATTTTTAGTAAAATCAATTTACTTTATGACTAACTACCCTACTTATAGTGCCACAACAATAGTACTATATAATATAATAAGAATAAGGATAGTAAGACGCGTTAAACGCGTTTATCTATTGTTTATTTTAATTATTATACTAATATTTCTACTAATCGCGTAAAAGAGTATTATAAAACATTATATAGAAAATTTTAAAGTATTATTTAAACTTATTACTAATTTACTTTTAAACCCCCTCTCTCCCTTTCTTTTTTTACCTTTATTTTATACCTATACTATTTAATAGTCTAAATATAGAACAAAGAGTCTAAAGAACTAAGAGTCTATTAAATTAGCCTAAATATTAAACAAAGAGTCTAAAAGTAAAGTTATAGCCTAAATATTAAACAAAGAGTTTAAAAGTAAATTGATTTTACCGAACATTTTTTACTTCTACTACCCTACCTCTTCTACTACTACCCTACCTCTACAACAACAACAACAACAACAACAATAACAGGTATAGTTTACGTGTCGATCTATACTAATCATTATACTAATTATTAACACAGTTAATTAATAACAACAACGACCTGATCCGCGGCTTACCTTTTAAAGAATTCTTTTAATTAATCTGTAGCTCTCTCCTTTTAAAGAATTCTTCTAATTAATCCGTAGCTCCCTCCTTTTAAAGAATTCTTTTAATTAATCCGTAGCTTACCTTTTAAAGAATTCTTTTGATTAATCCGTAGCTTTCCTCCTTTCTAAGAATTCTTTTAATTAATCCGTAGCTTTCCTCTTTTTAAAGAATTCCTTTAATTAATCTATAGCTTTCCTCCTTTTAAAGAATTCCTTTAACACAGATACAAGAAGGCATATAGTAGGTATAAGTTTACGTATTGATCTATACTAATTATTATACTAATTAATAACATAGTTAAATTTTAATAACTATAATAGTAACAATAGATAATAGTAATAATAGAAACTTAAAGCGTAAGGCCGTAGAAGAGCTCTCGACAAACCTAAACACAATTAAGGCACGAAAGTGCTAGGATACAGACGACAAAGTTGTTAAAAAGATTAATAAAGTAAAAGCTACTGACTAAGGGGCCGTAACATACGCTAAGAAAAAAGTAAAAGAGACATCTAAATTTATTAGTACATCTAATATATAGAAACAACAGATACTTAACGATGTAAGAGACCGAGTTCTACTATAAAGGTATGTTTAACTTCTATATACTAAAGTATTTTATACTAATCTTTATACTAATTAATATTAGATCGTAAACAGGAAAGGACTAGAAGACCTTAGCTTAAGAGCTAGGCTATAGCGAGATCGGCAGACAATTTGCTATTAAAGATAATAGAAATCTTGCCTAAGAAGATATCGACTTTAAAGAAGAAAATACTACGTAATATAAAAAGATGTAGTAAGAGGATAAAAAATTAAATAACAAAAGCGTTAACAAAATTAGCGATAATATTAATAAAAGGGGAGTCGAGGTATAGTAGAGCTACGTCTAGGTATACTAGTTCTATATTAGATTAGTATAAAGATTAGTATAACGCTAACTACGCCTAAGGTAATATAGCCTAAGAGTTCTGCCTCTAGTAGCGGAAATAGCGCTAGAGCAAGAGAAGCTTTTATCGTAAGGTAATAAAGCTTAAAAAAGGAAGAATAGAACAGCTAAAGAAGGATAGGCCGTATTATCTAACGACAGACAGGTACGTGTCCTAGTAATTATTATACTAATCTTTATACTAATCTACTATAAATAATAAGGACTTACGAGACTTCTTACTACCTAAGCGATTTTTTACATTAGGGGAGAAAGCTATATAGAGGAACATAGCTGTATAGTATAAAGAGGATAATAGATAGGTAGATTTGCTAGGGCCTACAGATTAGTAGCCGGAAGATCCGGAGATTAACGATATAGGGTTTACGTTTTCTAACTAGCGCTCTAAGCATTACTAGGCGTATAGACTAATCTACGCTAATAAAGAGCCCTCTAATAGAACGTACGATCGCGTCTTCTTGTCTAGTACAGACCTCTTTGTAATAGAGGATTCGATTAAGACTAGGGAGATGCTAAAGGCGTTTTTTTGCGTTTAATTTTCTATAGAAAAGAAATACAAAATAATCGTTCTTTTCTTTACGTATAACTTGTATTTAGTTATAATACTCTTATCTATAATAGTATAGCCTACAATTTATGTAGTAGAAATTAAGATGTCTAAAATCAAGGATTATTAGAGGCGTACTACATGTAGTAAAGATTACGATTCCTAAAATAAATAAACAAAAGGACGGCTAAGTTACTAACAGTACATAGTAGTAGAATCAAAGCCTTTAAAGGATCTTTAAGAATTCGTTATTACTATAAGGACGTACTTAGCATAACTTAATGTATTATATTATATATTTATACTAATCTTTATACTAATCCCCTTAATTCCTTCTTTTTTAAATACAACTTACCTCTTTTTTTAAACACAACTTACTCTTCTAAACATTTGTATTATCAAAAACTACCCCTTACGATTACAACATTATATAATGTCTTTATTATCTACTACTATGTTTATTCCCGATTCCTCCTTAGCTATAAACCTATTTAGTAATAATACTATTACTAACAGACCTTCGCTAAATACTATTAGCTAAAGAAATTAATGTTTCTAGTAGACTAAAGACTAACATCACTAATTCCTTACCTAGTAGCTACAGACAGATTAGGTAGCTACAACAGTAGGTTTAAATAATACTAACGTAGTAAAACAGCTAGGTTAGGACACAACTAAAAGATTAGTATACTAGTAACAATTCTACTAGGCTACAAATCGGCATACTAGTAAACTAGTAGTTATATGCTAAAAGTGTTCTATAATACTTGCCTATCCTAATTTAAGAGTACCTGTAACTAGTACTACTACCCTTACGAAACACCTAATGTCTAAACAATGTATTAACGTATCTACAAGTTAAAGTTAAGGCTTACAAAGACAACTCTCCTTTTATAAGGCTGTTTTATTATCTATAACTATAAGTATAACTAGTTAGTATAAAGATTAGTATAAACTAACTAGTATATATAGTCTACTGCCCTTACAACTAAGGCTTTTTAGGACTAGGTCCTTAAAACGATCGTTTCTTTACAACTTCCTTTCCGGGCTATAGAAAACACTAATCTCTAACGGCTATTAAAGCTGTTAAATCCTCGTTTTTAATTGCTATTAGTAACAACTATATAGACCCGCCTAACATAGCGCGTTACCTAAGTTAAAGAGAACATGCTTACAAACCTAGTACTAGGCAGTAAGGTAGCCTTGTCTCTTAATTATTAGTCAAGTCCTACACGCCTTTTGTTTATAGGCGTTATAGTATATTATATTAATAAAGACTAGGTACTTTAAGAGGAGTTGATTAGGTTTAAAAACCTACGTAATGTTTATTTAGGACAGGCCCTAGCGATAGTTGTTAATGATTTACTAACAAATCTTAACCTAACTAGTTAAGTAATATTAATTACAACTAACAATACTAGTAATAACTATACGATAGTAGATAAAATTAATTTGTATCTTAAAGACGTACTAAAGAACAGTCGTTTTCTTAATAGGCAAATCTAACATATTCCTTATTTATTACATATTCTTTAGCTTACTATAAAAGCGCTCTTAGGTACAATTCGACTACGACTAACAAATAAAACATTTATTTAGGATTAGAGGAATAAACAAGAGATAGACGAGCTTAAAAGGATGCGACAAGTAGGTAACTAGGGCATACTATATATACTAGTAAAGGTATAGATTAGTTATAATTTTTATACTAATCTTTATACTAATTAGATATAGATTTAGAAGCTCGTAGTACTAGTTAACTCGAGTAGGTAAAGACAAGAACATTTCGAACAGATTTAAAACGGGCTAGCTCGTAATAATCTAACACGTCCTCTTTAATTAATTATAGACGTAGCTACTCGATAGGACTCTACTGTTTTAATGTTAATTTAAGTAATAAGACTTTAGAACGCTATTAACAAATTTTGTAAAGATTATACAGTAGTATACCTGTTTTAGATCTTAAGTGTCGAGTAGGATCAAATCAGATATTTAATTAATCTTCTTTGCCTATTTAATTTTTTTACGACTACTATCGGCAAGACAAAGAGCATTACCTTACTATATACTCTACAGATCTATAACGAGTTGTTTAAACGCCTAACTAAATCCTACTGTCGACTAAAGGTAAAAGTTAATTAAAAACCATAGGTTCGTATTCTTATCTAAGGTATTAACGCTACTAAGGCTAAACTCGACTAATACTATAACAAGATATATATAGATCTTAGTAGTATTTATACAATAAGTATAATCTTAAACCTAAGGTTAAAATTAGAGACTTTTAATCCTAACTATTGTTAGCTTGATTTTAAAGTAAAGGATTAGCGATTAGAGTTTAAGGAGTAGTTTTATAAACTATACTAAAAGAACTATCGTAATCGCGCGGGAAATTCTAATCGTCTTTAAATACTCTAAGAGGTAAACATAGATACTATAGTATTAGCATTAGATTAAGATCGATCGTTAAGTATAGATATAGTAGATAACGAGGTAGATACATAGCTTAGGATAAGTAAGTTATTTTATACTAATCTTTATACTAATCGCTAACTTAAAACTAGAACCTAACAACCGTACACCTCTCTTAGTTTAGTAGTAGCTTAAGACTCGTCTCCCTAGCCTTATAGCGATAGCTAGAGACTTACTCTATATTCCTCTTGTAGGCGTTAGTGTTAAGCGCCTCTTTAATTTTTTACGTGATGTATATAGCTATTGTCGTAGCTAACTTAAACCTCTAGCTATCTGTGCCCTTATGTTAGTTTTTTTCTCTTAACTTTAGGAGGAGTAAGGTAACGAGCTTAGAAGGATACTTTCCGACACTATTAATGTTAATAGTATAACTAAAGAAGAGATAGAAGCTAAGCTAAAGGAGCGGGAAACATCTGTTAACTTACGTCTAAAAGAAGTCGACACGTAAGTAGTAGATCACTATATTAGTAATAAGGAAGGAGAACTAAACCGGCCAGGCTATTAAGCGCGAACACTATAGATATAGAGACGCCTTAATACTATTACACATAAGAGGCTCTTACAGGCTCGTTCTGTAGCTTAAGATAATACCTAGGTACTCTCTATATCTATACGTAAAATACGTAGTACACAAATAGTAGAGCGTAAAAGGAGGAATACTATATAGGATCTGTTAATCTATAATCTACTAGAAGACCTTAAGGATAAGGACATTCTTAAGCTAGTAGTTAATAGAGATCGTAATAGCGTAGAGTCGGTTTTACTAACTCTACCTCTAGGATCTAAGCTAGAGACTCTTAGGGGTATTAATACGCTAAGGAAACAGGTACAGGAATTATAGGATAAAAGATCTATTTTAGATCGCGTAACAAAGTAGGCAAGGACTTAAGGATAGTAGAGCCTAAGTACTAAAATAAATATATATAAAACTATTTTGATTTATTTATTTTATAATCGTTTAAACTTAGGATAACTATACTAATCTTTATACTAATCTTTATACTAATCTTTATACTAATCTTTATACTAATCTTTATACTAATCTTTATACTAATCTTTATACTAATCTTTATACTAATCTTTATACTAATCTTTATACTAATTAATGATTATGACCTTAGGTATCGCGTAAGTGTAAAGGTACCTTAGTGCCTTAAGATACACTATACCTATAGGTTAGGTCTACCCTATAGGTTAGGTCGTAGATTTATTTAGGGACCTATAGGTTAGGTCCTATTTACTATAACCTACCCTATAGGGTAGGTACCCAACCTATTTGGTAGGGACCCATAGGTTTCTGCGCAGCCTAAGAAAGAGGGGGGGGGGATCCTCCAAAAATCCATTCAGCGGGTTTCCCTCGAAGGTCAAGCGCTTCTGTTCTATTATCGGGAAGATAAATCAGGTTATTAACCTCTATCCTGTTGGGAACAACTAGACATCATGCTGAAGGTTGCACAGTTCCAGATTCGCTCTCACATCTCTCGCGCCATGTCTTGTTACAGGTGCCTCATTACCTGTGCAGTACACACCAGTAGCTGTTCAACTCTCGACCTCACAGCCTCCTCCTGTCTTGTTTTTAGGCTTCTACGACGCCGATACCACCCTATCCTGTCTCCCTCGCCATCCTCGATCCCCGCTCCCCGTCTCTGAGGGCGAAAGTGTGGGTGGGAATCCTCGCGAAGATCTATGATCTGGCCCTGCCCTGCAGGCATCTGCAACGAGAAAAACTCGGTGGATGCCATACCTCCCGCAGTGATCAGCGAGCGTGGCATCTCGGCATTGGAGATTTAAAGTTTAGGCGTGAAACTCTCGGCCATAGGACCTCACCACGTGAAGAGCGCCTCCTTCTCGTGCAGTGCCAGTACTCACGAAGGAGCAGTAGGCTTTGATTAAGCCTGAAATCCTGCCGTGCCTGTGCCGTTTTCAGGCATGTTGGCTGTTTGTTTTTGAGACGGTATGCAGAAATAAGTGACTTCTTAGGATATATTTAGAAATCCTGAACGGCGATCATAGATTAGGTTGGAACCAAGAACTTTCTAATCTCCCTTTCGTCTTTTTGGGCACCTTGAGACTTGACCCTAACAGAAGAGGAATGTAGTAGGTGTACAAGATGTTAAAACAGACTTTTTGGGGGGATCGAGAGCTGAGCTGTGCCGCTTGCTGTGCCGTTATACCACCACGAGATGAGATGATCACAGAGACGTTGGCGATGACGCGCTTTAGCGTTGGGTGCGAATCTGAAGATCAACTTAGGTATCTGACAATTGGATAGAGATCTATGTTTATGAGATTTTGTGCATGTGTGGGGGGAGAGGATGAAAGGGAGGGCGGGAGCGAAATTCCTCAGGATAGGAGGTTTCCATCTCCCCAAATGCCCTTATTATCGCACTGGCGACGACTACTGCTAGCAAGAAAAGACAGGACTACGATCTGTTTTGCTTTCGATACTCATGAATTATTACATCAAGCGGGGGCGTAGAGAATGAAAGAAGTAGCAGCACGATTCGCAACTCTGGCTCTGATTGCGAGCCAGCACCAACTTATCACGAGGCTATTCGGGAGGGTACCGATCAACAAAGTTCAAAACACAATCACCTGTAACCATAACTAACAGAATCCCGAGCCCGGAAAATCTAATCCGGACTCCAATCCGTTTGGCCGGCTCTCCCCGCCACCAACATTACCGCATAAACCATAAACCTTCCCAGCAAACTTTACTTCACGTATCCGGCCGATCCGCCATGTCTCCCCCTCGCAGAATCTCAAACAGCGACCCTTGCCCTGGCCCCCGCTAAGTTATTAATCCGGATTCGAGGGTGCAAAATGTCTGAAGCTTGAATTGTTCGCTGTCGCTTTAAAAAAGCTTGAGATGTATCGGGGATCTAGAGATAGGATAGTGCTCTCTGAAGAAAAAGATAAGGGGACTTCGAATAGATTGCTGATTATAGAGGGACTCACATGTTATGGGTACTTGGTAGGGATCTCGCAGGGACACTGTCTGATTTGCTAGGGTCTGGTGGGGTTATAACTGGGGTTGGTAGGGGAGTGATGAGGGGTCTGAGCTCCTGTCAAGTAAATACTCCGAATTGAACCCGAATTTGGCTAATGAAAAGAAGAGAAGAAGTAGAAACTACCTGTGTCTATTGTGGTATATTTTCAGGCAGTGGATGGGCTTTTGTGGCGAGTGTACAATATTTTACAGTAGGGATCTGAAGTTGCGGATTCGAGTGGGACATCAGATATGATAAGACAAGTTCCTGGCTAACGAACCCACAACCCGACAGGGCCCGTCCCGGGACATTTGTGAGCGACCCAGGTATATGAAAGCATCTAGAAACAAGGGTCCGCAAGTGAGCTAGGAGTTATTCGGGCGATATGCGGAGATTCGAGTCGGTACGTCTGGATTCTTGATTGATATCCACGTTTTCGCTGTGCATAGCGATTTCTTGGAAGCAAAAAGAGAGAGGGATAAGGTGGAAAAGATTGGAGATGAGGGACCAGGAAGAAAAGCTTGGTGGAGATAAGATGCTTGGCATAAGGAGGGGCTTAATACTCCGAGTATCAGATAGATTATAGATTCTTCCACCATACAGTAGATACAGTAGATTCGAAGATCACCGTACAGGAGGGGGGACCCGTCTCCGGCTTTTGTTGCAGGGCTTTGCGTTTTGGATTTCGATCTCTATATGATTGAATGATCTGAAAAAATGAATGTGCGGATAGCAGTTGCGTTGTTTCAATCCAGAGATGTGCTCTATGACCCTCATGATGTGATTGATAAGTCCTGCGGTTCCGCATAGCTTTTCACAAGTTGTCTCTGGTTCAATCGATCGGTCCAGATTCCAAACTTGAGAGGATAACGGTAGTAGCACCTTAAAGTGTCCGTGTGGTTACAGCATCACAACAGTGACTATCGTCAAATGCTTGGCAATATTAAGAATATCCATGGCTATAATAAGCGTACTAGGCGTCGATGAAACCAAACTCTAGTACTATAAGCAAGCAACGCCTTAGTAATATACGGAGTAGTCTCGAGAGCTTCCGGATCCAGGACAGTGACCGGCGAATGCGCGATCAGACACCAAAGCTCAGAACTCACAGTAGAAACTCGATGCTGGTTCGTGTGATATCCCTATTGCCAACCATCTGGGCTCTTCACACGAGAGTAGAGCAGCGAATAACCTCACTAAGCACCTAGTCGATGACTCTCGGTCCCTCTCACGCGTGGCCGCAGAGAATCTCTCAGCTTCCAGGTTTGTTTCTTGCTGGCCGTGGTGGCGCAAATAGTGATCCAGAACAAGTACAGCAGAAACAGCTGCCATGTTTAGCCATCGTTTCCATGCTCCACCAGAGAGGCTGAGTCGAGCCGTTCCATGGGCCCAACCGGCATAGCTCCCGACAAACGTCGTGACAGGAGATGCCGGACGAACGCACCCTTTCGAGTATCAGGAGCGCTGTCAGCTAGAGCTCCCGGGTCATCCAAGAACCATCCGCTGAGATTCTGATGCGAGCGTTCTGAGGAGTACGGAGGGAGGGAGGAGAAGTACAGTTCTTTGTTCAAGCTTTCTTTGAGACCGTCGTGGTTTGAGCACAGGGATCGTCGGCTCGCACCCCAGGATATTTGACGCACAGGCGACCTGCCAACCTGCCAGGCTACCAGTGCTTGTTGACAATTCAGGGTGTGTACCCTGGACGGCTTCTTCTATACGAATAGAAGAGCGTGGTTGCGGTGAGGTACCTTACTACGCTTCCACCAGCATCAAAAGGATGTTTTCTAAGTTCCAAAAGTACTGTTAAGGTATAATAGTAGTCTCAGGGTATTCAATGTAGGGTTACCATAGTAGGACTCTAGGGTTACATTGAATGTTTCGGAGATCCTTTCGTTTCCGGGGGTGGTGAGGGGAACAGTATTGGTCCCCGTAGATACTGTATGTAAGGTACATGGCTGATATCAAATCAAAGAAGACCAGAATTCCGAAATGTCGGAGCTTTTGAACTGTGGCAAGCTTTAAGCTTTTATCTAGGTATAGATACGTGTTTGACCATGTCCTTCGTAATTCGAAAATCTTCTGGCAAGCGTGTATGGTTGACATATAGAGCAGAAGGCACCGGAGACCCGGAAAAGGAACACTTAGAAGCGAAGATCATTCAGCAATACTGAGATCAGATCCAGGGAGTTGAAGCCCTGATACAAATAAAGTAGAAGAGGTGAATATACTGAGCACTAACAAAGTATGTAGGGAATGTTCTACCTTCGAATCTTTGGCCTCGAGTCTCGCTATGAAGTCAAAAAGGTAGCGTCCGTGCCAGAAGGAACTCCGCTTCAATTCCGACTGTGACGGTGCAACTTGCTTTCCCTCTTTACCAGAGTTGATCACCCTAGATTCTTGGACAGACACAGTAGAAGTCTACTGATCCCCTCTCCGAACCCATCGTCAACTGTTCTTCGTAGCATCGTGTCCCGCCCGCAATTGCCCCGGCCTCTCTCCTACGCGATCCCCGGAACATGCATCCAACCCATACACACACTCCCGCAGGAGGATCAGGGTACATCGCGAGGTATTCAACTCTCAAGCCTGCCATACCGCAGTACCATTCTCTCAGGGTGCACGGCACTCGAGCCCTGTCTGGTAGCTGCAGCGCCGTGCTTGTGCAGGCGGGCCAGGGCCCCAAGCGGTTTCGTCCCAGCCTTCAGGTGCAATGCCAGAACACCAGAACTCCTGGCTAGATGCTACTACGTGCCGTTGCAATCCAAATACACGACTAATGTGTAGACGGCACATCAAACGCGCCCCGTGCATCTATTTTCATCCAGCCCCCTCTTCTTCGGCGTCTCAACACCGCAACGCTCCTGTTTCCTCTCGTGGGTTCGCCCTCCACCCGGCACCATCGTTGGAGCCGGGTGCCCCCAGTCATCCTGGCTGCAGAACATATATGTGACCTAGTGGTTTTCTATTATGATGTATAATGCTACTCGCGATGCTAGATGCTCCTCCACGATACTAAATTCTTCTTCTACCACCCACAAGCCAAGGGCGGGTCCAACCGCTTGGTGCACATAAGTATATCCTCCTGCCGGCTCGTTGGGTCAACTGCATTGAGTCCCTATACAGGAATCATATATACCTACCTGCCTTTGGTACCCCTTTAATTTTTCATCCTTGCTTTCGATCCCATAATACTTTTGTACCTTCTTTCTTTCGCCGCCTTGAGAGAGCAGGTATCCTTGACGGCAGTATAATATGGCCCATATCGCCAACTGCTTGTTCGACTCTTCAACGGGGTTGGGACTCAATAATTATATAGCGAGAGAACTCTCCCCCCATCCCCCATATGAATCTGTATGTTGTTTCTCATCCTCAAGAAGCTATTACTCACCAGATCTAGAAACCAAAGACTCCACCTCCAGAGACCCCAGCAACAGAAGAGAGGGAGAAGTTCGTCTGGAGGATGCATCAACCCAGCGAGACCCGCAAATATTTGACATTCTCAAAAGAGAAGCTTTCAATAATGGCAGGACGCAAGAGCCCGGACTCAGAGAGCACCTTATCGTTAGGGCAAGGCGGAAGCAGCGAGAAGGACCGATCCATGCGCGTCGCTGGGCTCCGGTTAAAATCCAAGGACCAGCCCACCATTCGAACTGGACGACGCAAAATAAGCGTACCCGAATTGGGGCCTATGACAACGGTGCAAGAAATAGCCATGGATTCTCGTGAGTCTGGGTTCAATCCTGTTCGTACATGTGACGCTGATCAAAAATGAAACAGCAACAATACCTGGCCGGCCACCGGTACATGAAAGATCAATCAGTGCCCCAGGTAATAGCTGGCGGCAAAATCCTTTTGGAGAGAACATGGTGAGATGCATAACTGGGCCTTCATTGGAAGAGCATTCTGAGAAGATACCTCTATCCAATACTTTATCAAATACCAAGATCCAGACGGGCGACAATACCAGATCAAGGCCACTTGGCTCAGTACCAGCACCAACGAGACGGCCAGGATCACCAAGGTCTCTTATGCCGCTCATCATTCCCTCGTCGTCGGCCCCAAAGCCCCGACTTGCCCAACAAGGATCAAGGAACGAGATTGAGTTGGATGACGAGACTCCAGGCCCGGATGTCCCACCCAAAAGTGCGAGGTTGCTATTGGAGCTGAAAGGGTCCCCGTCGACTGCGCCTGTCTCCACACCTCAAACATCTTTAACAAGTGCGCCCATAACAAGTACTCCTCTTTCATCTGTACCACAGCCCACACCCTTCTCCGCACCGGTAAACCGCAGCTCCCCCCAACCATGGAGTGCTTCACCCGTGACCCATACTCGCTGCAATTCGGAAACCAGTTCCCGCACCGAACAGCACCCTTGTCACCGACGAGGGGAATCCGAAGGTGGAAGTATCATGGATCGAGGGCGACCAAAGAAGCGATTAATATCAAGTCCCCTGAGAACAGAAGAACGAGAAGCTTGTGAGGCCCTTCCACAGGGAACTAAGCCCTCAGATGTGATGAGCTTACTGCCAGCAATTGAAATTGATTTGCTTAGAAGGCAGGCCGTTGGGCAAGCGTCCCAGTTCGAGGTTCTCAACTCCAAAGACGTCGACGCACTGTCTCGCGTAAGTTCTCACTTCGTCTCATCAACCTTTCTCCCATCCCTTTCTACACCAACATCCTAACGTACTCAAAGGAACTCCGCAGTCTCGACGAGCGCTGCGAATACCTACGTAAAACCCACCGAAATCTTCGGTCCGGACGCCGCAACCTGCACCAGCGGATCTGCTCATCACTGCGCTCGCCGCGCACCGCCCGCTTCTCGAATGAATCCATCCTAAAGCAAGAAGAAGCACTAGCTGAGCTCGACGCCTCAATCGATAGCTGGGTGTCTAAGCTAGAGCAGGCGGAGAATCGACGGATCCGAGTGCGCCAGAAGCTGCTGGAACATGTGGCAGCGGCGCTGATCGTGCAGGCACCGGCAGCGCAGGAGAAGATGAGCGCGGCGATGCAGAGCATCCAGATGGGGATGCGCGGCCAGGATACGCCGCCGCACAGCCCGACCAAGAGCCAGAGCCCGACACGGCTCCCGACACCACCCGAGGAGGTCAGCCCGCAGTCGCCGGTGCCGGTTGCGCGCGGCGACGTCGAGTCGATCCGCATCTATGCGGACCCGGGGGTGTACGCACTGCTGGCAGACATTGAGGACGAGATCAAGGATCTTCAGAAGGGCAAGGAACGGAAGCTGAGCTTCGAGACGGAGAACGCTATCGAGGCAGGCATCACGCTCAACCCGGTAGCGTTCGAAGGATTGGTGGGAAACCATGCCAGGTCGCAAACTTGCTGATCAGGTCTATGGACATCATCATGATCTTTTTCTTCCTTGTGTGGATATGATGTATGAAGGATGAGTGAGATGTTGATGCTGCAACGGCCATCCGGTTTCCTTACCTAGGCGCACCGCATCAGTTTGGTTCGTGTGATACATTTGTTGTGTTCATAATACTAACACCTACCGACCTACCGGCGTCCTTCACTCGTTCAAGACCGGTGTGGATGGCAAGACGTTCCTTCAAAAAATGATACCCTGTTTTCAGAGTCGTTCGTTGCATAGAGCACGACTACCTTAGATTGTTCCTTTGTTGGTTGGGAAATGGGGCGGCTTTGTTATGTATGTACCTATCTTAGAATAACCATGAATCATCTTCACCAGAACCTCGATATCATTTCGTGACATGTACTCACTCGTCTTGGATTTACTTGTTTTTGATTAGATGACAAACCGCATTCCGATAGCTGGACGAGGCTGCTGATTGATATATGTATAGAGACGATCTCTGGGGATTGAAAAGGGAGAAGGGGAGTGGGAGGTGGAAGAAAGTGAGGAGTCGTACTTGATTAGAGCAGAGTGGAGTATTAGGAATCGTGGGGAGAGCTGTAGGAGCTTGTGAATATCTTAGTTCGAAAGCTCAACATCTCCAGCCGCTCTAGCTAAGCAGACTGCATGCATGCGTAAGAAATGGAAATTTCACGGATGAGGACGCAGAGGAAAGATACCCCGGCTTTGATAATGGAGAGGATTGTTTCGTATCAGACGCAGTTGATTTTTGGATTTTCGACAAAAACGAGAAACCCATGCGAGAAAAAAGGCAACCTTGTATAATTGTGCTCCCAGAGGAGGAGGGGAAAACAAGACAAAACACCCTTCCCTCCATCCCTTTTCCCTCCATTTTCCCTTTTGCTTCCTAGGGTTTGGACATTATGCATAATGACTAACGTACTATAGCTCCCTGCCATTGCTGATGCTCTGATCCATTCAACCTGCAAATACTAGCCGCTGCGTTTTGAATTCATACTCAGTTCGCCTTTTCGGGGCAGTTCTTCGAGACGTGTCCGCTGTTACCGCATGAGTAACATTTCTGGCCTTGGGTGCAATCAGCCGCACGGTGACCGATCTCTCCGCATGAGTAGCACTTCTGGCCTTGGGTGCAGTCAACTGCGCGGTGACCGTAGCCACCACAGGAGTAGCAGGTCTGTCCTTGGCGTCCACCGAATCCACCGCCGTAGCCACCCTGGTTACCGCCGAAGCCTCCATTGTATCCTCCAGCCTCTGGGCAGTTGCGCGCAATGTGGCCAATCTTTGAGCACTAGAGAAGTGTTAACGAAGTCCTGGTCCCTGTTGCTGTTGCTGCATACCTTGTAGCACTCCTGGGATCCAGCACCGGATGAGAATCCACCTCGACCAGCACCCTCAACTGGGGCGTTGGTGCAGTCTCCTATGTTTTGTTAGAAGATGTGTTGATGCGCAAGGAATCAGGAGAAACGGACTTGCGATATGTCCTGGCTGAAGGCATTTGTAGCAGGTCTTGTCCTTTGGTCCCTCGGGGCATTCACGGCCTAGCATATTGTCAGCATGGTCTCGTTCTCAGAGTTCAATGCGTGTCAGTGAACATACTCATGTGTCCTTCACCTAAAATCGCATGCTCATCAGTCTCAAGTTCATGGCAAAGGCCGTTGTGGTCACTCACCACCACAGTTGTAGCTATCAAAACAACATTAGTTTATGAGCATCTGAACTGCGCAGGGGAGCCTTACCACTTAGCTGGGCCACGGGTTGGGCAGTCGCGTGCCTAAGATTCAACGTTAGCAATGGAAAGAAAACCAAGGGTAAACGGTCGGTATTTCACAAGCCGTACCTGGTGAGAAGCATCGCCGCCTATTCAAAGTCAGTTGAGTTTCTGGTATCATGTATCATGGTGTACAAGTGTGCTGCAGTGGTGTCGCATATACGGTCTTGGCGATCGATCTGCGCCCATTCGGGCAGACCCAGGCAGTGCTGATGGCCGCGCTGATGGACCACGCCCGTCAATTGGCCGGATTGAATTGTAGCAAGTAGAGTGACTTGGACGAATCTCAATGACCTGGCAGCGCGATCTATGCCAGCGCGAGTGCGGTCGCAGGATAGAAGAGGACGGAGACGTGCAAGACGTGGGATGGACGGTGTGGGGAGTCAAGAGAGGATCGGGCGCAAAACTCACAGTTGTAGCAGCCACGGGGCTGTCCACCGCCATAGGAATCCATAGTTTGGGTTTTTGAAGGAGTGTTTTCTGCAAAGAAGAGAGGACCTGTTAGTGGGAATGCGCGAAAGTTGACTGGCAGCGTGAAGGCCGTAGAGGGAGATTGAGGTCTTGGAAGGGGAGTTTCATGGTGGGGTCAAGACTGAGGGCGGTGAAGGCACGAATTGCACGTACTTTTGGGTTTAGAAGAGGCGGGTTCTGGTAGAGAGAGGCAAGAACTGCGGTAGACACGACAGTTCTCTTTAATTTGCGTGTTGGACGAGAATAATTTTGAGGATGGAGGATCTTAGGGGAGAGAGGGTCAAAAAGTTTCGGTTGCAGTTCTTTTGTTTGTGGCCAAGCTAAGCGTGCTAACGAGTCTCCCGCCGCGAACAAGCGATCAAAGCGGCCAAAGACCCCCCCAAGGACCCCAAACGACCCCAAACCCGCTCCGCAGCACTACTGTGTTTAAGTGCGGACTACGGCTATTATTGCCATCAGCTTTTTACTATTCTTGTCTTCTTTTTTGGAACCCGCCCACCGCGCCACTATGGATGAACCCGCCCCCGTTGACAGCGGCACCGTCGCTTTGTCTGGAGCGGCCGCGACTGGGGGAGGATTGAGGGGCGGTCCAGATTGGAGTAAGGCAAGGCAAAGTAAGGCAAGGCAAGGCAAGGCAAATCTATATTTATTTATCTTTATATCTATTTGCCTATTCCTACTAATTTTTATATTTGTTTCCAGAGGACGCGGGCCCTTCCTCTCTGCTTCTCGTGACACACGCCCCTCCCTATATTTCTCATTCTCCCTCTGCCTGGGTACATCCAACTGTTAGTTGCTGGGTGAAGTCTCTTCGTTCGCCCTCATAGCACACTCTTCCTGAGCAAAGCAAGGCTCTGGCGTGGTGGGACCAGGTACTGCGTCCGGGACGAGGATTGCAATACAGGTCCAACCTCATCTCGCATTCTCTTCCGCGCCTCCTTGCATCAAGTGCGCTGACGAGGCCCTGCTCTTTCCTTGCAGTAGCAACTTGCGATCAACCTCTCAAGCTCGAATAGTAGCCAGAGCCTTGAAGAGATCGAGTCTCCCCTGAAGTATAGGGTCGACTTGGCTCTTGTATCGAGTCCATGTTTTTCTGCTTCTATCTTTTGTCTCGACAGATCTTATGTTTGTTGTCTTATGCGCTTTGAATTATTCCACACACAGAGAGAGAGTCGGAAGACTCGACACGGACAACTGCATCCGTCTGCGGGGTTAATCTAATTCGATTGTGAGAGGGTTATTACATTGCATGATATCCGCCCCGACTGTGGCCTACCTAGCGGTGGCCTCTTGCTACTGTTTCTAGTTACAGGTGCAGATGACTTTGTTCCAAGAACAGTTCGGCGGAGTGGGCAATGCGAACGGCGTTTCCATGTCTTTAATTCTCGGTTGATTGGGTGCCACGTGATACCCATTTTGGGAAGCCAGGACGATGTTTGCTGGCTCTCTCTTGAAGATGACTACGGCGCTCAAGGTATACTGTTATACTAAATATGGGACTGAGAAGCTGGTGCCGTCTACGGTCGCTATCATGAGATATCGGCTGCAATTGCCGCCGTGAGAGTTGGGTCTGCAAATATTTGAAGCTGGCATTCATGACGAGAACTTACTTCTTCCTGCTTCAGCGTTCTCTTGGGGTCATTGATCTGATTTTCAATCAGTGAAGCATTAATACAGCTTCTATGCATGAGACTCTGTCAGGTTTCTTGGAGGCTACATATCCATGGTTGCTGTTGGGGGGTTCCATTGTCTTTGTAATAGGCCTTATATACACTCTCCTAAGAGAAGGAATATGTCGACTACAAGTATATTAGAGTGAGAGGAACGTGTCTCATTGTTCCATATTTCCAACATTTCCATTACCGCGGCACGTTTAACAAAGATTGACACACAATATGAGAGACCTATAGTCATATTATTTGTAGGAAATACGCAGTTCTAATATCTTTGGTACTTGTAGTTCTCATCATCATCTGTCAGGACCTGGGGGAGACTAGGATCAATATTAAGGGGTCAAAGACCTGACTCATATAAATACGCTAGGTAATGATAAGCAATATGAAACCAAGTGACCGGGGAGCCTTTTGATTCGACTAGTATCTAAGGTACCTGAGTATGTACCTAGGTATACCTCGTGACCTAGTACCACGTGACGGTTATTTATTCTATATCCACACCGTCAAGTGATCCGCCCGCACAGCTTCATCATTGCACATGTCGCACCAGTACTTTATAATTCGTACAGGGGTCGACGAGTTCACATTTGTTCCTCATCTCGCCGTGCGGCATCCTAGACGCGAAGACGCGCCTGTCAACACCCCCTAACGGCCGAACTCTAACGTCCACAGCTTTGATATCCTATCTCCGAACACGTCAATCTACCTCTATATATTCTTGGACGTGTTAGCTGGCTATTGTATACCACGAGGGAGTGAGGCGTGGCTTCTTGGGTTCTCAAATACACAACCCCCCGAATCGACGAAGACAGGAGCCATGACAACCTGACCACGCTTGGCATATCTGTGGATTATTCTCGATGCTTCCTCCTCTATCTCCAAATTCTAGACAGTACTTGAGTCGAATACCGGATCACAAACGCTTGGTAAATACATCGGGACGCCCGGGACCCAAAGCTGCATAATTAGCAAAGGCACTTGAAAGGGGTCGGGCGACATCAATAACCGCAAAGATGGCGCCGGGAGGGGGAGGAAATATTAAGGTGGTGGTGAGAGTACGGCCCTTCAATAGCAGAGGTACGTCCCGAGCCGTCTTTAATCGCAATCCATGTTCTATCACTTGCCGCACGCTCTAACGCTCTCCTAGAAATTGATCGCGGGGCAAAATGTATCGTGCAAATGAAAGATCAACAAACTCTTCTTACTTCACCACCCGATGCCGAAGAGCGAAGTCGAGGTGGAAAAGCGAACAAGGACACCGGGTTGAAGGTCTTTGCTTTCGATAAATCATACTGGTCGTTCAATCGTGCCGACCCTCATTATGCCGGACAAGATGACCTACATAATGATCTTGGGAAACCTCTCTTGGATAATGCTTTTCAAGGATACAACAATTGCATTTTTGCGTACGGACAGACTGGTTCTGGAAAGTCATATTCGATGATGGGATATGGGAAGGACCAGGGTGTTATTCCAAAAATTTGTCAAGATATGTTTGAACGGATCGGAACGATGCAGGAGGACAAGAACGTCAGGTTTACTGTTGAGGTGTCATATTTGGAGATCTATAATGAGAGGGTGAGAGATTTGCTGAATCCAAGCACGAAAGGGAATCTTAAGGTCAGAGAGCACCCTTCTACAGGTCCATACGTGGAGGATCTGGCCAAGTTGGTGGTTAGCAGCTTCAACGAGATTGACCACCTGATGGACGAGGGAAACAAGGCCAGAACGGTCGCGGCGACGAATATGAACGAGACAAGTAGTAGAAGTCATGCCGTCTTCACCCTTACCCTGACCCAGAAACGACTGGACACTGAGACCAATATGGCCATGGAAAAAGTTGCAAAGATTAGTTTGGTGGATCTGGCTGGTTCTGAACGAGCAACTTCGACCGGTGCCACAGGAGCTCGTCTAAAAGAAGGTGCCGAGATTAATCGATCGCTATCAACACTTGGTCGAGTCATTGCTGCACTGGCGGACTTGTCAGAATCCAAGAAAAAGAAAGGCGGAAAACCAACTCAAGTACCATATCGAGACAGTGTCTTGACATGGCTGCTGAAAGACTCCTTGGGGGGTAATAGTATGACAGCCATGATAGCGGCCATCTCCCCAGCGGATATCAATTTCGATGAGACTCTCAGTACCCTTCGTTATGCAGACAGCGCAAAGAGAATTAAGAACCACGCTGTGGTGAACGAGGACGCCAATGCTCGAATGATCCGTGAATTGAAAGAAGAGTTGGCTACACTTCGAAGTAGGCTCAGCGGAGGCGGTGGGGCGACGGAAGAAGTCTATGCCGAGGGAACGCCGTTGGACAAACAAATCATTAGCATTGTGCAACAGGATGGAACAGTCAAAAAGGTTTCAAAGGCAGAGATTGCGGAACAACTCAGTCAGAGTGAGAAGCTGTATTCCGATCTGAATCAGACCTGGGAGGAGAAGTTACAGAAGACCGAGGAAATTCACAAAGAACGAGAGGCGGCATTAGAGGAGTTGGGCATTAGCATCGAGAAGGGGTTTGTGGGGCTGCATACGCCGAAGAAGATGCCACATCTTGTCAATCTGTCAGATGATCCTTTACTGGCAGAGTGCCTGGTATACAACCTGAAACCCGGGACCACTACCGTCGGTAATGTCGAATCCAAGGCAGCTAATCCCTCTGAGATCAGGCTCAACGGCAGCCGTATTTTACAAGAACACTGTACCTTCGAGAATGTTGACAATAAAGTGACGTTGGTACCGAAGGAGGGAGCAGCTGTCATGGTAAATGGAAAACGAATCACAGAAGAAACGCGTCTACGGAGTGGATATCGTGTTATTCTTGGAGACTTCCACATCTTCCGGTTCAATCATCCTATGGAGGCTAGAGAAGAACGAGCACAGCAAAGTCTATTACGGCATTCCATGACCGCGAGCCAGATGCAGGAGCACTGTGAAAAGATTTCCCCATCCCCAAGTCCTATACCTAGACATGAAAGGTCGATCAGCAAAGCAACATCGGAAGCTGACTGGGAAAGCAGTCGGCCTGACTCCCCAATGCCCTCTCAACGAGGAGGTCGTGATTCCGACTGGTCCTTTGCTCGACGTGAGGCTGCTAGTGCGATTCTTGGTCCAGATCAGAAAATCGCTGGTCTTACCGATGAAGAGCTAAACATCCTATTCGAGGATGTGCAGAGAGCGAGAGCTGAGCGCGCTGGCCGAGAGATGGATGATGACATGGATTCGGTGACTTCCTACCCTGTTAGGGAAAAATACATGTCGAATGGTACTCTGGATAATTTCTCGTTGGATACCGCTTTAACGATGCCATCAACACCTAAGCAGGGCGAGGTGGAGGATAAGATGAGGGAAGTAAGGGAGGAAATGCAAACCCAATTGGACAAGCAGAAAGAAGAATATCGGGATCAATTGAAAACAGCTGAAGCTGCGAATGTGGAAGTTGAAGAGATCAAGAAGGAGAAAGCTCGGATGGAGGAGAATCTCCGAGAAGTTAAGGAAGAGATGCTGAAGCAGCTGGAAGCCCAACGGAAGGAGTTTGAAGAAAAAATTGAACAGATGGCATCCTCGAAGCCGAAACCTAAAGGTCGGACGCCGTTGTCCGAGGCAGAGGTGGCTATTGCAAAGAAGGTCGTGGATCATTGGCGAGGACGGAGGTATGTTCGTATGGCGGAAGCCGTCCTCCAATCTGCGGCCAATCTCAAAGAAGCACAAGTCATGAGCCAAGAGATGGATGAAAGTGTCGTCTTTCAGTTTACTATTGTCGATGTTGGACATGACATGTGTTCGTCCTACGATATGGTCCTCAATGGTATCTCAGGAGAAGGGGACGATCAATTCCTCGAGAGCACCGCAAAACCTTGTGTAGGTGTCCGGGTCATGGACTATAGGAATAGTGTCGTGCACCTTTGGAGCTTGGAAAAGCTACAAGATCGTGTCAGGCGCATGAGGCAGATGTACCAGTACTTGGATCGACCACAGTACCTCCAGCATTTCCAGCTGGACAACCCTTTCACGGAGACTTGCATGCCGGAGTATACCCATATTGGCGATGTTGATGTACCACTCGCAACGGTCTTCGAGAGCCGGGTTCAAGACTTCAGTCTAGACGTTCTCTCACCGTACACTTCGCACGCCATTGGTATCATTAAGCTTTCACTGGAGCCGTCATCAGCACGAGCACCGTCAAGTACTCTGAAGTTTAACGTCGTCATGCATGATATGGTAGGTTTCGCAGAGCGTGAGGGTACAGAAGTTCATGCTCAGTTATTCATACCTGGCATATCTGGAGAATGTGGCGTCACAACAACACAGATGATTAAAGACTTCGACGAGAGCGCGATCAGATTCGAGAGCGTTCACAGCATGAGCGTGCCGATGTTTGGTCCCACGGACGTGTCATTACGCATCGCTATCTACGCAAAGGTTTCTTCAATGCATCTTGATAAACTCGTTAGCTGGGATGACATGCGAGATAATGTTCCCAAACCTCAGCAGAAGCGGAAAAATGCGCGCATCTCGGAATCTCAATTCTATACGGAGGAGAAGCACGATGTCTTCGCAAGGATGCAAATACTTGAGCTTGCTGAGACTGGGGATTACCTCCCGGTAGAAGTTATTCAGACGAGCGACACTGATATGGGGACATATCAACTGCATCAGGGTCTTCAACGCCGGATCGTGATCCACTTGACTCACAGCTCCGGCGATGCCCTACCCTGGCAAGCTATCTCGAACTTGCGGGTCGGACGCATTCAACTCGTCGATCATGTCGGGAAGTCGCCTGGTCTGAGCTCTGCTACGGACGAAATCCCCCTGAAACTCGTCTCTAAACCGATGGTCAAGCAAAATGCTAATGGCACCAGCGACGTGACTGTAATGGGACAATGGGATTCCAGCGTGCATGGCTCATTGCTCCTTGACCGAGTCACCTCTGATAAACATAAAGTTCAGATGTCACTCCTTTGGGATGTGACGTCCGAGAAGCTTGCTGAGCCAATGACCTTCTGTATCAATGTGTGCTCTCAGATAATCTCGAGGTCCTACGTACGGTCCACAAGCATGTTCGCCTCGCTATTTCAGAACGTGAGAATTGTACATTCCATGAGCGGGGTCTTCACGATAGCGGTCCGACCGACGCCCGTGAAACGAGCAGGTGATCTGTGGCGGATGAACACGCAAAACGATTATGTCAAGGGTGAAGAGGGATTGACAAATTGGACGCCCAGAGGTGTATCGCTCATCCGCGATTACATCGCCGCGAAGCGTCGGAGAGTACGGTTTGCAGAACTGGATGCAGCACGGCCCCTTCTGCGCAAGATCGATTACCCCAAACGCTCCATGGTTGTTGCGAATGGTCATGCGAATGGTGATAAACACGGCGATAGCAATGGCGATGCGAATGGCGAATCACAAGATCGCCCACTTCCGGAGCACGAGAAGAAGATACTGGAGAAGTACGTAGGCTTGTGGAAGCTCTGCCACGACCCAATCACCAGCATATTGACACCATCCAACGTCGAACCGCCTACCAACGGTGCCCCTCCCTCCAGACGCCATCCAAAACCAACCCCTATCCACCACCCCCCGACCTCTGACGATGAGGAGGAAGCACAACGCCAACCGATGTTCCTGGCGACCGTCACCTCCGTCCCCAAGAACGCGACGATCCTCAAAGGCGGCTACCTCTTCACCCCCTCGGCCGACTCTACACGGTGGGTACGTCGGTTCGTCGAACTGCGACGTCCGTACCTGCACATCCATTCCGTGCCGGACGGGGAAGAGATCTGCGTCGTGTCCCTCCGCAACTCGCGCATCGACCACTCGCCCCAGATCGCTAAACTGTTGCAGCGGGAGGGGGCGGGTCGGGCGTCGAACGGCGCTGGGAGGGTCCGCGGGGGAGAGAGCGACGCGGGCAGCGTCTTCGCGGTCTACGGCACGGATAATACGTGGCTGTTCAAGGCGCGCAGCGAGCGCGAGAAGGTGGATTGGATCTTCGCCATCGACCAGGCCTATTTCGGGGGCGGCATGGGGCACGGGGGCAGTGATGATGATTGAGGGATATCCTCCCCGTCGTTGGAGAGCAAAGAAGCAGAAGCAGAAGCAAAAGTAAAAGCAAGCCAGCAAGCCAGCATAGCGAGGTGTTATGATTTTTGGGCGGGTACGCGTGACGCCCGAGATGGAAATGGAAATGTGAGAGTATATATGTATGTATGTATGTATGATGATAGATACCCATGTGACGCTATGTACAGCCCCTTTTCCCTTTGTTTGGTGGAGGTAGATAGGTACTGGTTGATGAGACAGCGAGGTTGTGTAGATGAGATGCGGATGAGATGAGATGAGGGGATTGGGGGTAGAAGGAGATGGGGGAGCTTGTTTGATTAGAGAGAAAGAAAAGAAGAAGATTTCCTGTGCAAGTCACTGTCTGTGATTCCTTTTCTTCCTCCAGTGCTTCACATCCTCTCTCTAGGTAGGTATGCCTCGGTGAGTGAGGGAATATCAATATCACGTGCAATGCAAACGGACCGGACCAGTCGGCGTCGGCACGTCCGTCCACCTAAGGTAGACGGCTCTCACCGAGTCACCGTCACCGTCACCGTCACCGCTTGGCGCATGGCGCATTGTCGCGTGCCCAGTTGCGCATCCGGGAATGTCGGCACGGTGTCATTCTTGTAATACTCAGAGATCTAGATTGCAATATACCATCGCCTTTGAATTTTATTATTGAAACTAGAAGAAAAATAGATAAGAGAGGAAGAGAGGGAGGGGAAAAGGAATTTTTTTTTTTTTTTTTCTTTCTTTTAGAGAAAAAAAAAAGAAGAAAAGAAAAAGACCAACCCCCCCTTCGGCTTACCTCACCGCACCTCTCCCCCCACCAACCAACTTCACCCCTCCAAAACGTGACAACTCTCTCCCTCCCCAGCAACCCGATCTACACTCCCCTCCAGCGGGGATAAGAAACCACCACTACCACCGCATCTCCTTCGGCCTTCGGGATGCGATGCATGCTACGATATGATAAATACGATCAGATATAAAACAGTGAAAACCTAAACGATAAGACTACATACACATCACTCGATAGTGGCGTGTCCGATCTCTGCTTTGTAATCCGGCACCTGGGCGGGAGAGGCGGCCGGAAGTGTCGGGCAGCAAGGATCGATGCGCCCGGCGGGATGATCCTGTCCGCCGGGGAACCGAAAAGGGGAAAAATACGTCTTCCCGCCTGCCGTATCCCTCGCTTGGTCTCGCTTATCCTCGCCTAGCCTCTCACACTCCCCCGCACTATCCCCTTCTCGAGCCTAGCGCCGCAGGGAAGCATCCCGCGTTCCGAGTCCAGACTTTCTCTCTCCATCATCATCCATCATCCATCATTCATCCATCATCCCCCATCGTCAGCATCAGCATCATCGCTTTATCTCTCCCGCCTTCGTTCGCTGTTTATATTGCTTGCTTGCCCTGCTGCCAGCTGCTGTCAATCTCTGCTGCTGCTTTCGTCTTTCGCTCTGTCCTCCTTTCGTCCCTTCGCTGCCCCTCCACCTCCCCCCCCTCCCACCTCTCACCTCTCACCTCTCCATCGTTATCGCCGGCCTCCCTCGTCGACCTCCCGGCTTCACGCCGCCTTCAATGCGTCGCGAGCCTGCCACTGACCTCACCTACCTCCCGCCCTTCTCCCCTCGGCGACTTCGCCCTTGAACCCGGCTGGTCCGCACAAACCCCCCCGATGTTCGTCTCGCGCATCTTCGCCGTCGTTCTCTTCGTCGCCATCTCCTGGTTTGCCCTCGCTTCCCTCCGTCGTCACCTCGACCCCAACACCCACCCCAGCGAGGAGGATCGCGAGAATCTCGCCTGGATTGCCTCATCTCCCTACCTGCTAGACCGTCTGGCCTGCCGCACGTTCGGCCTCTGCGGTCTTGCCCATTACCGTCCCGATCCCGCCTGGCAGCAGCGGAGACGGCGGCACCACCGGCACCAGGAGCTCCTCGCTGACATCGAGGCCGACACGAAGCATGCTGGCTGGGAAGAGGCGCCGGTGGGTGAGAAACTGAGGCCGGAGCATTTCGACGGCGACAAGAGGGTGCTGAAGGATGTCCCGCAGTACGTCCTCGACCACGCCCCGCTGATCCATCTCTACTCCGGCGAGCAGTTCTGGCCGTCGGATTTTGCCGAGCACCTCACCCATACCACGCCGTACCTGAACCATACCGCCATCAACACGTCCGCCTACGACCTGTACAATCTCGACCAGCTCAACGATGCGGCGCCGAGGGGGCGAAATATCTTCTTGAGGAGCGTCGATGATATCGAGGACCGCCCTGACTGGCTCGGGAGCGCTTATAACAAGCCCATCCCCTACGAAGACGAAGACGAGGAGGAGTCCGAGGAGGTTGAGACGCATACCGATTTCGTCGACACCACCGATGATGCAGACAAGGAGGTGTGGTTCGACCCATTCGGACCCAAGAGCGCCTCCCCTCTCCCCCCGACCTTCCGTGCGCAGCCACAACCGAAGCATCATCGCTCTCTCATCAAGCGCTCCAACGGCAACCCTGCCAACAAACCCGATCAATCTGGGCGATCTCCCGCTCCCGCCGTCCTCATCCTTGTTGATAAAGGAAATGGCATCCTGGACGCCTTCTGGTTCTACTTCTACTCCTACAACCTCGGGACGACGGTGTTAAACATCCGTTTCGGCAATCACGTCGGCGACTGGGAACACTCCCTAATCCGCTTCCACCACGGAGTCCCCAAGGCCGTCTTTTTCTCGGCCCATTCGGGCGGCACCGCCTATTCTTACAAGGCCGTGGAGAAAGGTAAAGGGAAGGGGAGGGAGGGCCGACCCGTGCTGTATTCCGCCCTGGGTAGCCACGCGATGTATGCCATGCCCGGCCTCCAGCCATACGTCCTCCCCTTTGGGCTCCTCGCCGACGTTACCGACAAAGGGCCGCTCTGGGACCCGGCCCTGAACTTCCTCGCCTACCATTTCAACACCACCATCACCCACAACGCCGATGCGAAATCCATGCCCCCGGAGCCCCCGTCTCCCGAATCCCCCCACACCTCCAAGGTGCACAGGAGGACCGACATGCTCCAGCCGGCTAGCTGCAACCCCGACGCGCCGATGGGCTGGTTCTGGTTCAAAGGGCACTGGGGCGACAAGTTCTACCAGCTGGCGGATGAGCGCCAGTGGCGCTTCGCCGGGCAGTACCACTACGTTAATGGGCCGCTCGGTCCGCGCTTCAAGAACCTCGGCCGGTCACGTGTCTGCCAGTCGGGCTCGAAATGCCGCATGCTGGATTCAATCGAGGAGGGCAAGAAATCGAGCTGGGTGGGCCGGCGGTCTCTCCCCGACGAGCCGGAGGACCTTGACGTAGAGGTGGATTCATAGATAGACAGTACATGTATGGAGTCGGGCGTTTTTCGGTGCTTGGGGTTAGGACGTATACGTTACATAGCCGTGATGGATTATTGGATTGGATTGAATTGATCGAGATAGGCGCGTGCGTAGTAGAGGGGGATTAGAAGAATCGGTCCTTGGTATTGGTATTGGTATTGGTATTGGTATTGGTATTGGTATTGGTATTGGGGCTAGACCGGATGGAGTTCCTTCCTATATTTTATATACCCCCCCATTTTCTCATGATCCATCCGCTGCATTTCTCGTGGGAATTTGAATCATAGGTACTCGCTCGTTGCTGTATGGCTTCTTGATAATGGAGCAAGCGGTATGTCATGTTATCATACCTACTTTTGATATTCAACCAACCCATCTACATTCCTACACATACATACATGAACCTTCCCATTCCCTCCCCATATCTCTACATATAATCCCCATATAATCCCCATATCTCTACGTATAAATCCCATCTCTTTAATTACTTAAATCTGTAGTACCGGACTGGTACCATCCGGAGAGGGGGAGGCGGGAGGCTGAGAGATACATAGTAGGTAGGTAGGTAGGGAGGTGCGATCTTGGAATTTTGGAAGCTGGGATATGGGATTGTGGGATACGGGATGGGGGGAGGGGGAGGAAAGGGGTAGGTAGTGGGCACCGAGGAGGAAGAAGAAGATATCTATCTGTTATAACTTATCACCACACACGTAGGATCCTGAGGAACGCAAAAAGATGATTGCCTACGGATGAAATGATAGCAGATAGGTTTCACGAAAACCAAGCACTCCCGAGGCTCATATATTCCAGATGTCAATTGATCAATTTGTTTCTGGCCTTTTAGCTATCTATACTATCTATAGAAGCTCGATATGTGTGTTTCCTAGATATGCGTAATGCGGTCAAGCAAGGAGTTCTATTAATATGATTTACATCGACCCCGTGATACCCGCCGTTCAGCGTTCTTGAGTCCATACCGCCTTGTCCGCCTCGACAACTCACAAGACAATCAAAAGCCCAGGCCTCACTCAGTTCTTTGTGGATTTCTTCCATTTCTTGAGATAGATCAAGTATGTCGCACAGAAGACCATGGTATAATTGAAGAGGATGAAACCTATGAATATACCGACATTTCGACTATGATTGCTGTAGTTGAAATCGTATTGCGCGATCTGCAAGAATGTTAGCACTACTAGTAACCTTGACCTTGACCTCGAGTGTGTAGATTGTAAAGACTAGTAACCTTGACCTTGACCTCGAGTGTGTAGATTGTAAAGACAACACTTACGTAAGAATCTCCTCCATCATAAGGACAATACTCGCACTGCGAGACTCCAGACGGATTGAGAAGATACCCTGTAGAGGCCGTAGAGTTGAGGAAATCTTGGGTATATTGTGCACAAGTCGTCGAGTTTGGGATATTGAAGATTGTAGTTTCGGAACTCGTGCATTGGATCTTCAATCCGTGCATGGCATTAGAAGCCATGCCTTCAACGTAGTAGAATAATGGCGATATATTGTAGAACCATCGCCAACCCCTGGGTGTGAGTGGTGGAGGCGATAACGGACCGTTGAATGTGTTGACCATCAGCCAGACGAAGCCCGTAGCTACGTGGGCCGCTCCGACGACGGGAAAGATGGCGGCGATGAGCTGAGCTAGACTGGTGACGAATACTGAGTAGAGTTCATACATGACGAAAGAATAGCCTGCACGGCTTGTTTCACCAAAGTAGCCAACCATGTAGTACCAGAGGACCCAGTAGATGAGGCCCCCTAACAGAGTGAATGGAAGCTCGACTAAGATGGCACTCATGACGAAGGCGACCCAGCTATACGCCCTATTATCTTTCTCCCGCGCCAGAAATTGATCACGGAGGATGATAAAGCGAGGTTCAACGGAAAGACTCAGCACAGGTCCTGTGATGACACTGACGAAGATGGAGAACATTCGATTTCTGGAGTCCGTAAGGCTGGAAGATAGTTGGAGGAATGTAAGGCCATTCATGAGTGCCATGGATATGTTGAGCTGAACTTTAGAGAGGACATATGTTGGCTCCCGCCAATAGTTCAGGAATGCCCTCTGAGTGACAATCAGGATCTGCTGGACATACCCAGTCGCAAAGGAATTGAGGTTCTGGTCATTTGTTTCAGGGGCTGCCTTTTCAGTGGTTTGCCTGTCAAATTTCTGAAGTAGAGCCTTTCGCTCGTCCGACTCGTTCCAAATCTATCTCAATTAGCTGCTTGAAGATTCCGAGACTGAGAAATACGTACCTGTGACCAATCATATTCAGGATTTACTGTCTGATCGAGAAGGTATTCTGCGGGATTTTCCTCAGGACCACATCGAGGAGCATGTCTTGCAAAATAATCTATGGCGCTCTCGCAGTGGGCCCCAAGAGGCCCGAAATAAGCCGTCTTCCCGCCTGGGACAAGCAACAAAAGATTATCAAAGTAGTCCATTAGCTCTGCGGATGGTTGATGAATGGTGCAGAGCACTGTTTGTCCGAGATTTGAGAGTTTTCGCAACAATCTGATGATTGACATAGCAGAATTAGCATCCAAGCCAGAAGTAGGCTCGTCCAGGAATAGCAATAGATCTGGTTTTGCGGCGAGCTCTACACCAATGCTAAGCCTCTTGCGTTGCTCAAGATCGAGGCCTGAACCTGGCACACCAATCAAGGCATCGGCGATACTCTCAATCCCTAGCATCGACAGGACGGTCTCGACATACGCATCTTTATCAGCCTTTGAGATATCTGCTGGCTGGCGAAGATAAGCGCTCAACTGAAGTGCCTCACGGACGGTCGAAGTGTCGAGGTGGATATCTTGCTGGTGGACGAATCCTGATCGCCGCCGCATAGATCTGGGCAAAGGCCCATCATCAAGGAACATTTTGCCTGTCAAGACCCCAAAACTCCCACGCTGTGAAAGCTCATGGAGTAAAGTCGTCTTTCCGGCGCCAGAAAGTCCCATAAGCGCTGTAGACGAACCTGGCGCTAGGTATCCTGATATGTCGTGCAGGATCCTTTTCTTCTCTCCTGCTACATCAACATCTAGTGAAAGCTGCTTCCAGGAAAATGTCTGTGGTTTTCCGATGCTCCTATGACTGGCATCTGCTTCATGGTACTTCTCTGCTTCAGTACCGACATCCGAATTCGCTTTTTCGATGTCTGTAGAACGATCTCCGCCTGCGACAGGCTCTTTACTGAAAAAGACAGTCGCAAGTTGACCGGCTGGTACCTTGAAGCCTTCCATACCAATAGCAACAAGTACAGAAAAGAACAGGAAAAATCCAGCATTGATACCAACATTGCGCCATAAATGAGAATCCCGAAAATCGTAGAAAGTCTCAATATATGCGGTCCCTTTGAGAAGTAGATCTCCAGGAGAAGATCCAGACAGTGCACAGGACTGGAATTGAGAATCACTGAATCCGGCTCCGGTGGGGACAATATCGGCAGTGCTACAACCGTAGCTCGAGGATGCGATTTCGTTGAGCATAACGGATTCAAATCCGTAGTACATCGGGTTGAGATAGCGAATCCAAGAGAGCCAGACCTTCATTCCAGGAGGAGTCACGTAGAATCCTGTATAGATAATGAGAATATTCAACATCAGACCGACTGGCAGTATGGCTTTTCCAGGCGTAACGGTGAATACGGCAATAGAACGGAATACGACACCAAGTGCCATCATCGTCATGTATAGCGCAAACAGCCAAATAAAAAAGTGTCCTGCACTGCGCTTGAGGTTGACCATCCAATAGATAGGTAAGTTGTAGAGCACAAACACAACCTTCCATGGAATGTCAGCGAAAATTTGTCCAAGGGCATATGCTGAAGGCCGATAAAATCGGAGGGCATTGTGTTTCAGCAAAATAGGCCTCTGTGCAAATGTGTTCCCGAATTCTGCAGAAGCCTGCAAGCCCATTATAAGCACACAGAAGAATATCGCCGACCCGCGAGTGTACAGTCCCAGAGTCGTGCTCTGTTGATTGAAGAAAAGAGTTCCCAGCATAAGTGCTTGTACCAAGGTTCCTGTGGCTTCAGCAACCCACGTTGTTCGATCGGTGAAATTGATACGGAAATGACGGATAGTGCATTCGTAAACCTGTTTGTGAAAGGGAACAAAGTATTTCTGACTAGGACCTTTCAAAGAAATCGGCTTCGACGACTGTGGCAATGTTTTCGCATCAGTTTTCAGAGCCACTCCTCGTTGACTTGATTTGAAGGCACGTTCGAAATCCTCGGCACTTAGAGGTACCTGTCCCTTGAAATCCTTCCGAACTGAACGACTTGAGGGGTCTCCTGACATGGATGTCAAAAAGTCCGGCAATGTTGTGCTAGGTGGGCAGTAGAACCCCAGCGCTTCAAAGTATTCTTTTGCTTCCGATACTGGTCCGAAATATATCTCACGCCCAGAATTGATTACCATAACTTTGTCGAAGTATTTTGCGTTCAATTCGCTTGCTTGATATAAGCTCATTACTGTCACACAGTTCGTCTCATCCGTAACTCGTCGTGCAACTTTGAGAAATCGGGACGCAGTAGCTGAATCAAGTCCTCTTGTGGGATTATCGAAGCAAAGAAGACTTCAAGATTTGATCAGTAAGGGCTACACATATGTCTGATTTGAAGACTTACCCTGCTCGAGTGACCATTGCTTCCGCAAGCGTCACTCTTCGACGCTCTCCTCCACTCACCCCTCGGATGTAATCGTTTCCGACTTGAGTTTTCGATACATTGTGTAGACCCATAAGCTTGAGAAGGGCTTCTAGATCATTTTCAATGCGGTTTCGACGATCCGGGACGTTCATTGGCGTGCGTGTAGTCAGTGCAAATCTACGTAGATTCCATTAGTAAACCCAGATCTAAATGGAAATCAAAGAATACTCACCTTAATGTCTTTTCCACAGACAAGCTGTGAAAATGTATATCATCCTCTCCTGGTTATCATTGTCAGAGCTATTACCCACCGATTTATGCAGGAATGAGATATCATACCGGCAAAGACAAAATGGCCAGGTGACGTTTGCTTCGTTTCGATAGCATCCCGGCCACCAATTACGATCTGTCCTTCAAAAGATTTGTACTCTTCGCGCATGTTGGCCATGGCTTTTAGGAAAGTAGTGCAACCGCTTCCAGGCTTTCCAATAACCAAGAGCATTTCCCCACCTCGAATGGAGCCATTGAACTTATGAAGGATGGTCCTTGAGGGTTCTGGACGTTTGGACAGATATCTGGCGGGATTCAGGACATTGATGAGATCCAATGCCGCTGATGGGATTGTTGGAGCTTTTTGAACCTGAGCAGTTAGCTAATAGTCCTGCTATATGGGAAGGAATCAACCAACTCCAAGTCCCCCTCCAACAATCGATAAGTCTTGGAAGCTAACATCATTCTCGCCACTTCGAGAAATAGAGATTCCCTCCAAGTATGATTGTAGAAGCTTATCGATATCGTCTTGCGGAGCGATTTCAGTGCTTGTGCTTGCAGACGCACCAGACGACATCTTGATGTTGGGGTTGACGAGAACGCTCTTGAGGAGAATGCTCCCAGAGTAAACGTCTCATCCAGCTTGCACATTGTGATCTTTTGAACAATCTTTTGATCAACATACTTTCTATGAATCTCACATAGCTCCAATTGAATATCAAAAGGCTATGCCACAAGGAGCAATTGGGTGTTGTCCCCAGGCCCCAGACGTTGATTCTTCGCGCGCTAACCGAAAGGAGTCATCTCCTTTAGGTAATTACTCCTTCTGGCGGAGCTCCTTCGGGAGTCCCCATAGCTAGTGGGTTTATTCCGTAAGAGGACATTGGGTGATTGGCACCAAATCAACGGGCAAAGCAATTGATTCACTGAAGCCGCCTTGCTTTGTATCATGTGATGCAACAGACCAACAACTGAGATCGAACTGCCGGATCACGAATGCTTGGTCAGCAGCGGCATGGCCCACTGCTTTATCTTGGAGGGGTAGCCACATGCGATGAGGGGTATATTGGGGTCCAACTAACATTACATTGGCATTTTAAAAAGACGTCTCGTAAATTTACGATGAATGTGTGACTTGTCCTATAATAATATTTCCATCACACTCCCTCACTACTTATCTTATCAAGATCTTCTACTGAACGCTGCTCTGCTATCACAGCCATGGCTTCTCAGTTTGACCCGGACCAGCATACCAAATCCGATCTCTTCACAAAGGACTATTATCGTGATGTGTATCCTGCAATTGATCCCACAAGCCCCGAACTGAGCCTGGCGGGCAAAGTTACTATCATCACTGGAGCTTCGAAGGGAATTGGTAAAGTCAGTCACGCACCACTCATTGATATCTGACCAAAGCAGTAGAGCTGACGATCTACAGAGCATAGCAGTTGCACATGCTAAAGCCGGTTCCAAAGGCCTCATCCTAGTGGGACGTACGACTGCAGGTCTCGAGGAGACAAAGGCTGCTGCTCTGGCTGCGAACTCAGCTTTGAAGGTGCTGCTCGTACCCACCGACATTTCGGACGAAGCGTCAGTAGATAAGCTGTATGAAGCCATATCAGGAAGCTTTGATGCTGTGGATACATTGATAAACAATGCGGGTGTTTTCACCGAGTAAGTGCCATCCGTTATTTTCTAGATCACCTACAAAACCCAGCATACCTTCATCAAGTCCCAGACGTATTCCAACTAAACTCGCGTCTGCAGTTCCTTCGATGTCGTCGGAAAAGTCTCGCCTGCGAAGTGGTGGACAGACTTCGACATCAACGTCAAAGGCACATTCCTCGTTACAGCAGGCTTCCTCAAGCTCAGAGAGAAGCAAGCAAGCTCAGGGAGCCCGACTATCGTCAATCTAGTCACCAGTCCAGGATTGGTTCCGCCTTCTCTGAGCAGTTACTTTATAAGCAAGCTGAGCGTCATGAGATTCACGGAGCATCTCGCCAACGAGAATCCTGATTTAGCTGTCTTCAGCATTTCTCCAGGAATTACTCTCACAGACATGACTCTAGACGGTTTCAAGCCTTTTGCTAAGGATACCCGTACGTCCAGGAACTCCCCGTAGATACCTTATCAGAAACAAACTATTTTTATGAAAGCTTGCTAATATCTTTGCAACGAGCAGCGGAACTTACTGCTGGAGTGACCGTTTATCTAGCTGCCAAACGACCGGCGTATTTATTTGGCAGGTATTTCTCTGTGAATTGGGATGTCAAGGAGCTCGAGGCCAGGAAAGCAGAGATTGTCGACAAAGGACTCTTGAAGGTTGTTGTGAAAACTTAGGGATGACGAATTAAATAGAGAGCAGTCATTAGAATAGAAGTTTCACTTAATTTGCACTCATCCCAACATAACTTCTATCCGCCAGAAGGCCTTCTACCACCTCAGTCTGATAATCAAACCACTCACTAGGATTGATAACATTCGTCCACGCCCAGAGATCATCGCCATCAATCCCAGTAGCTTGAGCTTCTATAGAATTCTGAGAATTCTGTAGCTCGCCGATGTTATCTGTACTTGATGAGTCTAACGCACCCAGATCATTGCCCCGAAGAGCTTCTTCGGAGCCATAATTAACTCCAATAGAACCCTGCGCTGAGTAAGGAGGTACTGTGCTTGCATTGGCGGGTGACTGCTCGTGCTCTGTCGGGCGCAATCGACAGTATTCGACTACGCTATCGATACGCTGACACAAGTCTCGAGCTATTGCTTTTGCTCGCTCAGCTGCCGGCTGCTTATTAGCCACCAATTCGAAGACGCGAATGGCGTCCTCAACACTTGCACGCGCAAATCTGAAGTGGTGGCAAGTGGGATATGCGAGCATAAATCCCAGAGCTGTCAAGACGGCATTCCACTGCCACAGGTAAACATCGCTCCATCCGTACAGGATATCGTTGGCGGCAAGATTGCATCGGATGATATCTGTTACAGTAAGAGCATGTTTGAGAGCATTGGTGGCGAGATTGTCAGCGTTGGGACTACGTTGCAGCGTAAAGTTCTTGGTTGGAAAAACGATGAACTGCCGGTATAGACCTATCAGGGCATCGTGGTACTGTAGTTGGAGCAAAATACGCTGCAATGATCGCATCGGAGGTAGATCGACATTACGGCGTATACTGCATCTTTTTGTTGAATTTTCGAGATCGATGAAGTCTAGCTCAAGGCCGAAGAATTCGTCGCTTCGTTGAATCTGCTGCTTCCAGTCGAGTATTGGCCACAGATCATTACTAAGAGCTTTTGCTCGAGACTCGACGGGCTGAACAGTCTCCAGTGTTGTTGTAGCATTTCTTGTGCGAGAAGTTTCCCAGACTCTCAAAGCCGCATCGGATAGTTTGACGGAGTAGACGTGGTAGCTCCATCGGCAGAAATCATCAGGCTCGGGTCCGTTTCGACTCGGAAATTGACAGGAGATCTCCGTCATAGAAACAGCCACTGGTAGCCCTAACTTGGTCGAACACTTGAAGTCAAGATGAAGTAGAAACCACCAGATTCGCCGTCGAAGTTCCACCTGACTATCAGGTATGTTTGTAGAAGGTTCTTTGTTGAGCCCAATGCTGTAAGCTAGACGAACGGCCGAACCAAGTATAGTGTATGCAACACGACCCTGTGCGGCATTGAGAAGATACACGGACAGTAAGGCATAGCATTGGATTGCTGAGAGGATCGAGTGTTCATCTGATGCGAAAGGATCGATCTGTTTCCGACAGCGCTGGATTAGCAAATTGCCAATGAGACTGTAGTTGCCATCTTTTGTCAAAAGAGGTAGGTTGAGGCCAAGCAATCTATCGTTTGCTCCAGAACAACATGCATATTGAGTGCTCAAGGCCGTAATGGCATCGATGATGGGCGAAACATATCGCTGTGTTCCGTCGGGGGCCCAGATACTGTTGTACCTTCTCAAAACATCATCCTCGTCCAAAATAGGCATCAATGGGTGCTGAGTAGTCCAGTAAAGATTTAATAGGCCGTCGATCTGGCTCTTCGAGAAGTCTAACGCGGACGGAGGGTCTTCTTCTGGTGTGACGATTTGGACTTCGTAAGGAGAAGAGGCTACTGATGTGTACACCGGCGGACTTTCATCGGTGCTCGGATAATGTATGAGAGAGGAGATAGATGAGAAGTATGCATCTATCTTAGAAGCGAACACATTGGCGGAATCGAGAGGATGAACATGGTTATTTGGCGCGTTTGAGGCTGGTGTCGGAGCTTGCGATTTACTCGGAACAACTTCAAACGGAGTGGATGATGCTATAGGCTCCTTCTCCGGGGGTAAAGAGAATGTGAGTGGTTGTGAAGTGATACTATTTCTTCTCGAGTCCCTTGCATACAATATTAGCAGGACTGATTTTAGCAGCAAGGCGTGAGCCTTACTGATTGTTGATGGACGCAGTCCGTCTTTTTTGACTTCCCCCCTCAGAGAAGGTACAGGTTCTCTTAAACTCAGTACACTGCGAACATCGAGGCTGTCCTTCACAGCGTACTCGAAATAGCCGGCAGCTATCACAGGCGCGGGCCGCAAGCTTTCGTTTGTTCGATGAGGGTGGGCGACGTTCTTTGCTGCCTGCCGGCGTCGAGAACGTCAGAAACATAGCTGTATATCTTCATGAACAGGTGTAAAGGGTCTGGTTATCAGAAGTAGGACAATTTCAGATGTCGACGCAGATGTTGTACGTCGTCTTACACTCCGAGGGGCGACGCCATGGAAATACCATACCCCGTACCCGATACGAGATAAGGATCAGCGCGATAACCCGACCCCTGCACTCGTCCCGTCCGAGGCATATGCAGGTGTCCATTTGTGGAACCAAACTACGAAACTCTAAGTGAACGAGCTGAATTGCCTCATCGCCCTGCTCTGTCATCGTCTAAGCATATATACCTTAGTTAACCCTTGGCAAAAATCTACAAATCCATTCATCTAGTCTACGATCTACGATCTATGTCTGTAGCCTCACTACCATTTATAAATACCCCTACAATATAACTGTGGAAAATAAGCGACGTGTCTCCGCATCTCCAGAACCCAGATCAAAACTGAGCCTCACATGGAGACCGGTACACCTTTCACGGTGTGGTCACCTCCTTGACGTCAACAGTCCCGTTGGCATGAGACTTGCCATTAACCTGGCCACTGGCGTGAGTCTCGCCATTGATCTGGCCATTGGCATGAACCTCGCCATTGATTTGGCCGTTGGCATGAGTCTCGCCATTGACCTGGCCATTGGACACGTTATCCAAGAACTTAGCAGTGCCACCGCCATTATTGAGCCATGATTTGGCAAAGGTCTGTAGTTCCGCCCATGACTTGGCCAGTTTGTACGACGTGGCAATACTGTTCCTCGTGAAGAAGGAATACTGCATTTTGGCCACAGCGTAATCCCAATCGGTGGTGTATTCCTTGAAGAACGGCTTGTAACCGAGTAGACCGCCGATCCAACGCCCAACAATTATCCCACCCCAATATCCGATGAATACTCGTACCGACTTGGGGAGGAATGCTGGAGGTACCAGATATGCGTCTCCGGCATCGTATGTCTATGTGAATGGTTGATTAGCCATGAAGCCCAGTACAATTGAGAGCCCAATATAGAGAATGTTTGAACTCTAGATACGTACGCAAAGTAGCTGAATCAAGTCAAATTTCCCCTCGTGGACAAGGTAATCATGCCAGATCCCATACCAGTTCTCAAAGAAGACACGATCCAACTGGTAGTCCATGCCATTGTCAGAGGCACTCAATATGATGACCATATCTTCTGTGCTGTCAGGAGATATCCAGAACCTATGAATAGAGCCAGCTCGGCCTATAACTTCGCCATCCTCGGGCGTCTGAATAGTCTGCTTTCCATCTATCTCGATGGCCATACGTCCAGATACGACGCGGAAATACTCGTTTTGAAAAGGATGGAAATGAGCTGGTGGCCCCGAAGGCTTGAGGAGAGCTGCCTGAATTGCCTCGTTCTCAGCTGCATTGTCGCTCGTGGGAGGTTTCAGCTTGTAAGTTTGCCGAAAGCAAAAGCATCGACCTGGAGGTGGTTCGAGAAACTCGGTGACAAGAGCACCGCCAAATCTACAGTCAAAACTTTAGTTTCCGTTGCTCTTTTCAGCATCCTGAAATCACAGGACATACACTGATATGGGGTTGCTCCCGGCTGAAACGTGATAGGGGATAAGAGGTGGCATTTTCAGGAGCTATCAGTATGTTGAAACTTGATAGTAGAGATGCTTATAGAGTTTATGTGTTATAACAAGCCGCTGGAATGGAACGAAGACAGCTCAGAGACCATCCTCCTTCCAATCTACTTAAATGGAAGTTCGCCATGCCTTTGCTTACGCTCTATAATTCTTGTGATACTCCACCTGATTGCGAGAAGTTCTATGTGCAAGCAGCGACAGCATCGTAGCCAAAAGGAGATATGCAGAGGTCCATTTCCCGAAGGAGCAATTGAGATGATATCGCCAGGATTTGAATCCTGACGTTCTATGCACCCATCTTGGCGTGCTCGTCACCAAGTACAGGCCACCTACAGATAACTTCTGAGATAGCTGAACGGCACGCACCTGCAAGCCTGAGAAATCTGTACGAGATTGTAGCCTCTATTGGCGGAACAAGCAGAGAACCTTGCGGTATTATCTTACGATGTTGAATGTACATACGCTTGGCAATCTGTTTGCTCGTGGACGAATAGTTGGGTGTCAGATTGAGCACTCGCCCCCTTGCTAGCGTCAATGTCGAGATCATTAGCGCTGACATGTTCTTATCAGAAGACAAGCCGGTGATAGGTACCGAAGTATTATGCGTGGTGGTGATGATAGTTTAGTAAGTATCGTAAGGAACTACCTTGACTTGTTGTACCAATTAGTTGTGTAAGTAATCTTTGGGAACGAGAATTTCTAGGGGAACGAAGAAAATTAGCGGGGGTCACATGACTAAGCCCTAGTCATGTGACCCCAAATATGTGACTATTACAGGTATATGACCTTCGGCCGATAGCCACTTGCCTACAAAATCCTTCTAACTACGCCGTAAAGTTTTTATTTGCTCTAGACCGGCCTGTCTCGCGCACACACCTAATTCTACTGTATAGAATCACCACCGGAGGAATCTGTGAACTGTTCTACGTTGAAGGTAAGGTGGTTACGTAAGGAGGCTAACGTATGCACGATCTAAGAATAGGGCTGACGCTTCCTTACTAATCGACGAATAAGGTATCTCGCTTGATACTCGGCGAATCGGCGATCCTTGAATGTGTCTGTTAGCCTGGGATCTGTCCGGAGCTAAAGCTGGGAGACGGGAACGAATAGAAGCGCCCCGGGCCGTCACGTACCTGGGTGGTTAGTAGTTACGGTGCCGCGTAAGAAGGGCGGGGATCGAGGGGGCGGCTGAGATTTCGGGCGTCAGCTGGAGGGGGCCGGAAGAGTCATAGAAATTAGTAGTTAGGTGGTTGGTAGATATCCATGAGGAGGGGGGGGGGAGGGGGTATTTATTTGTTAATTTATTTGTTTTTATGCAATTGGATTTTGGTTCTTTTTTTTAAGTATATCTTTGTAGGAGAATCTCTTGGCTTTTTCTTACTCTTTTTTTCCCCTTCCTTAAGATGAGGGCATGGGGTGGGATGAAAGAAAAGAAAATGATCAATTGAGAAGGAGAAGGTGACTGTGATCAATTGTGTTGATTCTTGGAATTTCAGAATTTCAGGGTTTAGAGGTTAGAAATTGATTAGTTGTCACTTGTGTAAAGATGGAACGGTTTGGGATGGGATGGAATAGGGAGATAGAAAGATTTTTGGGTTGGGCGCCCCGGGGGGGGG